TGTATCGAGAGTCCCTATCAGTGATGATCTTGCAGGGGACCCCGTGATAGCGGAAGATTCGGTCCCTGGTTAATCGTGCTACTCCTTCGCTGCTGATGTCAGTACTAATTGGTTCGACATGGATCATTTTGGTGAAGGTGTCACACCACACATGAATTGCGTCATACCCGTTACTGACCGGCAGGGGTCCGATCTGATCCATGGAGATGATTTCCCACGGCGCGTTTGGAACTGCATGCGGGTGTAAACTCCCTGTCCTGGCTCTTCTGGTCTTGGTCCGCTGGCACGCTTCGCACGTCTGGATGTATTTCCGAATTTGGTTTCCCATCCTTGGCCACCAGTAGTTCCTTTCCACCATCTCCTGCGTTCGGTTGATCCCGGCGTGTCCGACCAAAGGGGTGTCGTGGTGTAGTCCGATGATTTTGTCCCGCAACTCCTCGTCCCTTGGTACGTAAAGCTTCCCATGGTACGTGATAAGCCCCTCTTCCTTCTTCCATCCGGCGAGTGACTTCTCTAAGGCCGCCTTGACGCTTCCATCAATTGATCGAATGGCCTTGATTTCGTTGATTAGCTGCTGATCCTGTCCCTCGAATGTGACTTCTTGTGATCGGAAGAACTCGGGCTTCAGTAGCGTGACGTCCTTGTTATCGTTCTTGCCCTGATCGTGATCTGCTCGTCGGGACAGGAGGTCCGCCTTGCGGTTGAGTGCGCCGGGTCGGTGTCGTAAGGTGAAATCGAACTCCGCCAACTCCGTGATCCATCGTGCTTGCCGTCGATTGAGCTTCTGCGGCTTCCGAAAGTACTCGAGATTCTGATGATCGGTGAAGATCTCGAACGTTTCCGTGGCTCCCAGGAGCAACTGTCTCCATTCGTCAAGTGATAACATGATTGCGAGCATCTCCTTGTCGTAGATCTCATAATTTCGCTCGGTTTCGGTCAATGCGTGCGAAATAAATGCGATTGGGCGCCAAATGCCGTCTTGGTTTTGGCTCAAAACTGATCCTGTTGCCCCTTCCGAAGCATCGGCTTCCAGACAATATTGGCCAGTGTCATTTGGCAGTGCTAAGACGGCATCCTCCGCGATTCTCTTCTTTAACCCATCAAACGCCGCATGTTCATCCGGACCCCATGACCATCCTGCCTTCCCTGTCAGCCGCGTCAACGGCTTGGCGACCTCCGCATATCCCCGAACGAAACGTCGGTAGAAGTTTGTGAATCCGAGGAAGGCTTGGACTTGTTTGACGCTCTTTGGTTCCGGCCATTCCATCACGCCCTTGATCTTGACAGGGTCCATCCGCATCGAGTTGTGTCCAATGATTACACCCAGGTATTCGATTTCCGTGCGTTCGAACTCGCACTTTTCCGGCTTCAGGTATAATTTGTGCTTTTGGAGCAACTCGAGTACTCGTTTGGTGATTCGTCGATGTTCATCCAGATTTTCTGTGAAGATTAGTATGTCGTCCAGATAAACTACCACATGTCCCTCGTTGATCAGTTCCCGGAGTATGTCGTTCATCATGTTTTGGAAAGTTGCCGGGGAATTTGTGAGACCAAAGAACATAACCAAGAGCTCGTAAAGTCCGCGGTTTGTGCGAAACGCAGCCTTCCACTCATCGCCCTCTTTGATCCGTACGTTGTTGTATCCCCACCAGATGTCTAGCTTGGTGAAGAACTTGGCGCCGCACAGGTTGTGGACCAGTTCGGAAATCAGCGGTAGTGGGTACCGATTTCGGATCGTCATCTCATTCAGCTTCCGGTAATCTTGAACAGGCCGTAGCGAGCCATCCTTCTTCTTGACAAAGAAGAATGCCGATGCCATGGGTGATTTTGATGGCCTGATTCGTCCGCTGGCTAGGTTCTCTTGTAAGAACTCGTCGAGTTTGACCTGCTCGTTTCTCGATAAGGGGTACACCTTGCAGTCCACTGCTTTGGAGCCTGGTTTGAGCTCGATCGCATGATCCCATGCCCGTCGGTCCGGTAGCGAGTCGAATGATTCCTTGGCGAATACTTTGACGAATTCTCGGTATTGATCTGGAATCTTTCCCTCGGTCATTCTCTCCTTCTCCTTTTCCGCTTCTTCTGCGAATTTCTGCGCCGGCGTTTCCTTCAGCCGTAGGTCTACCTCCTTTCCAAAGTCGATCAGCAAGATCGATTCTCCCTCTTCCAGATCCGGTGCACCCGCGTCCAGGTCAATTGCATCCATGTCGATCATCGCTTGGTGCTCCTCGTGACCCCTCATTTGACATTGCTCTGGGCATCGGCTGAATCTCATTGTCTGCTCCTGCCAATCCACCTCGGGGTTGTGTTCCGTCAGCCAATCCAGGCCGATGAAGATCCGGGCTTTTCCCAGACACGTCAGAAGGAACGTGCGTGTCTCCACATGAGGGCCGATTCTCATTCTTAAGTCGACGTAGTGTGTGATCCGACCGCTGATGTTCTCGGTGTTGTCGGCGTTACGAGCCACAATGGGTTGCGGAAGCTCTTGGATATCCAGCTTTTCTGCCCGTGCGTAGTCGGTGTCGATGCAGCAGGTACTGCAGCCACTATCGAGCAGCGCCTTGACTCCACGCGTTTTCCCTGAGTCCAGGCCCGTGATCTGGACATATACGTCCATCGAATGCCTCTTTCTTTCGGCTTGGTAACTGCGCAATTCCTGCGCCAATCTGCTGGGCTGGGGGCCCTTCTGTTTCTCGGTCGCCAATTTCCTCTGGATGGCATCTGGCACCCTGGTGCGTTTGGGTGCTTCTGGAACCTCGATTTTGGCAGATTCCTTGGGCGCTTCCTCCTTTTCCAAGGATCGAGCCTTCGGAGCAATGCTCCCCTTTTCGGTCTTTGTTGACGTGGTTCCTTCTCCACGAGCCATAAATACGTAGGAGTCCAAGAATAATTTATCTGCAGCTTTCTGATCCTTTTTATCTTGTAAGTATTTTCTATTTAGAGCTATCTTTTCCTGGCGTTCTTTTTCCATCTCGGCAATAAGAAAATCGTGAATATTTGTACGTAGTGAGTCTGAGATCGTGTATGTAGATGAAATATTGTCCGTATCTTTAATCGAAACAAGTACAGAAAATCGTCCATAGTCCGGACGCTCCACCTCCTTGGCTAGAGGAGTGGAGCGCTTCAAAAACCCTTCTCGCGCAGCTTCTCGGCAATCTCCTTCAGGAACTCGTTGTCCTTGTCCCCGTTCTCGATTTCTTCCAGCATTGTGGCCCGATTGAAGAACGTGCGCTTCTTCTTGGGCTCCGGGCAGTTCCGCGCAATGTGCCCGGGCTGCTGACAGTTGTAGCAGATGATATTGCGACCGCGGGCGTGGGTACGATCGATTTCCATCGGAACCGGTTCGTTGGCGGCGGGTCGGGCCGGAGCGGGTGTGGGCGCCACTGGTGCCGTTTGGGGACGGAACTGGGGAGGTGGTCGTTGTGTGGGGTGCCCATACGACGCTTTGCGCAGCTGGTCACGCAGAGCATTGGCTTCGATGTTGATGCACCAGGCTTTGAACGCTCCATAGGCCTTGGGCAGAGGGACACCGGTGTTGTAGAGACGGCTGGCGATCTCGCTGCTGAGTCCGCGCTCCAGGAACTCGATGAGGATATTATCCTGGTCCCCCTTCTTGTATTCGCCTTTGTCGTCGGTGGTGTCAACCACATTGTAGCCTGCATCCGCGGCCAACATCTCAAAGTCGGAGATGTAGTCCGCGAAGGACCGTTTGTTTTGACGTAGGGCCATAAGCCGAGCAGCGGCGACTTGTTCCGCATTGGAGTCCCCGAACGCCCTCTGAAACTCCTCCAGGAAGTTCTTTGATGTGACTCCTGCCTTCAGTCCCTGGAAGCCATCGAAGTTGTGCTGCTTCCAGTTCATCGCCCATCTCGAGGCAGCGCAGCTCGTGCCGTTCTCGTTACGGAGGTAGGAGAGGACAAAGAGGATTTTGGTCTCATCTTGTGAGAACTCCGATCGATAGGCACCGATGTAAGTGGTGCACGCGTCCACAAAGCCCAGGTATTTGGACTTGTCGCCATCGAAGTAGGGGGGGTTGGCGGCGAGGGTGATGCGGTGATGCCCTGACATGGTAGGGGCAGGCGTGTGAGGTGGAGGCGAGGGTGGTTGTTCGGAGGGCAGTTCGTCGAGGTCGGGGATCTCGTCTTCAGGCGGTGGGAGGGCGAGGTAGGGGTCGGAGGGCCCGGGTTGGTTTTGATGCGCCAGATCGGGCGACGATGGTACGATGGGGGGAGGGGATGGACTCCCAGACGACGATGGGAATCGGTACGAAATGGTGGATTCGTGTGCTGTACAAGCACTCGAGGAAAGGTTCTTTTGCTAGCAAAAAGATCCCGGGCCTAGCTCTTCACGTGCCCGATGATCCCGAGGTGCGTTTTCCCGAAGGTCTCCGCAGCACTCCTTGTAGCTACCGTAAGGCTTGGGTCGGGCTCAACGTTACCCGTGGCCTGGTGCTGTTTGCTTGATATGAACCCTTCACTGCGATAGTGGAGGACGACTAGATGATTCGGTGAAAGGGTGAGTGGGGTGATAAGGGTTAAGAGGATATAGCGGGCGTAGCGGTGCAAGATGCAGGGTAAGAGGTATGAGGTAGGAGGGTATGAGGGGAGTCTTCGTATTATGTGACAATCAACCCAAAAACAAAGTCGAAAAGAGAAGTGAATTGGGAGACTGGAGAATACAACCAAGTAGCTACAGTATTTATACCCAAATCCAGTCTGAGTCATATCTACAACTAATGAGTCATAGGGCTATGTACCGCATGGAACGCTGGTCATGGGTCGTAGTAGAACCTTCTGGAGCATATGTCGCGCAGCCTCGAATCGATGAAGATAATCCCCAAAACCCCTAGTCCGGACCGTCTGATGCCGTGATCCGTGATAAGATAAGTTGTGCCAAGATAAGATAGGATCGTTGATGATAAGATGAAAAAGTGGCCGAACTATGACAAACCCTGTGTAAAGACAAGATTAGATGACTGATGAAATGATGAAAAAGTGATCAAATTATGACACAAGTCCATGCAGTGGGTGATTTGGCCACTGATGTTCTGTGTTATTAGTGTTTTGGGCCCCAATGGGTTGTGGAAGCTCCTGGATTTCCAATCTCTCTGCACATGCGTAGTAGGTGTCAATGCAATGAGTACTACAACTGCTATCAAGCAATGCCTTGACCCCCTGTGTTTTCCATAAATCTAGGCCTGTGATCTGGAAATAGATGTCCATTGAATGTCTCTTCCTCTCAGCATGATAGCTATGCATCTCCTACTCAAATCTGCTGGGCTGGGGCCCTTTCTGCTTCTTGGCCACCAAACTCCCCTGTACAGCATTGGGCACCCTTGTACGTCTGGGTGCTTCTGGAACCTTGATTTTGGCAGATTCCTTAGGCGCTGCCTCCTCATCCAAGGATCAAGCCTCCAGAGTGTTGCTCGCCTTTTAAGTCTTTGTTGATGTGGTTCCTTCTCCACAAGCCATAAATAAATAGCCCAGTGGCCAAGCTAAAACTGAGCCGAGCAATAAAGATTTCAGAGGCAAGGACCAATGCTCAACTGAGAAGAGGGGTAGTGCAGACAAGCCAGAAGGCATCTGGTACAAGCCTATATATAGCTGTAGACTACATCCACAGAGAGAAGCCCAAAGTAGAGAGGGAGAAGTGCATACAGCAGTAGCACTCCTTGGTGCAAGGAGTCAGGCTTGGCTAGACCACTTGCAGGGATTTGAAGAAGATGGCCAGGAGGAGGAGAGAGTGGACATTGGCACAGATGGAGATGGGGATCAGAGGAGGAGGAGGCTGGGTGATCAACAAGGTGAGCAGACACTGGTCAGCAAGGAAGGCAAAGTGGGTCACATGTGTGGTCACATGCCCAAGGAGTGTGGCATCCCCTGACAATATTACCTTTCTTCATTGCAGAAACCCAATTCAGGCAGACAAAAAGCCATTTCAGATTTGGGATGTGGCATACTTGAATAACAGTTGAACAAAGGTTGAGGGCCTTGCAGAAGTATTTGAGGTTCTGTAAGGGCAACTCCTGCCAGCCCGAAGGAAGAGAGCACACAGCACACAACAACCTCACATGAGTCTGAGCACAGAGGGGGATCCTTAGAGACTATCAAATACAAGGGAGGTATACTACTCACCTGAGCACAGAGGGGGATCCTTAGAGAACGGTTCAAGGATCCATGTGCCCAGGTGTCACACTATATAGTCAGCTGTGACAAGTGACTGATGATGATGGGATATCACTGCCATGGAACAATGGCAGATGACAAGTAGATAATGACAAACCCAGATAAGATAGTGAGTGGCTCAGAGGGGCCAGTGATGGCCAGCTCCTGAGACACCAACAGTGGAAGGCCACACTGGAGGAGCCCAGCGGCCAGGCCAGTGCCGGGCCGGCCAGTGGAGACATTGGAGGCAAGGACCAATGCCCAACTGGGAAGAGGGGTGGTGCGGATGAGCGCAAGGGCATCTGGTACGAGCCTGTACGGCAGTAGACCACATCCGCAGGGAGAAGGCCGAAGTGAAGGGGGAGGAGTGCATACGGCAGTAGCACTCCCTGGTGCAAGGAATCGGGCTTGGCTAGACCGCTTGCGGGGATTCGAGGGAGATGGCCGGGGGAAGAAGGGAGAGGGCGGATGTCGGCATGGATGGAGATGAGGATCGGAGGAGGAGGAGGAGGCTGGGTGATCGACAGGTGAGCAGGCACGGGTCGGCAGAGAGGGTGCAGTGGGTCACGTGCATGGTCACGTGCCCAAGGAGCGCGGCGTCCCCTGACAGGTTCTTGTAGTCAGTCCTAATCTTAACCTGGTTTTCAGCACCCTCCAAAACCAATTTTGAGTTTGCGGTTTGGCAGACTCGAAAATTAAAGCTGAAAGATTATTGGCCAGAAAAGCAGCATCACAACTCTCTCATGAACAAAAATCATCAACTTGACTGGCGTTTGTGATCCCACTTTTTTTCACAAATCTTGATCAATACTGATGGATCAGCCATCAGTTGATGCGGATGCATCCACATGCCGCAAATGGTTCAATTTTGCGCCGGCAACCAACACAGCAGTCTACACTGTGACATTCAGGCATTTTTAGGCGCATAACAAAAGCAATGGAATTGAAACAATGCTTTCATTTATTGTGGAGGTATCTGCAGCGGTGCTGAGGCATCAGCAGATTCAGGATTTTCTAGGCTTTTGCTTGGACCGTTTTTATGTGCCCTATGTTTTTCAAGTAATATAAACAAGTAATGTCGGGCAACACTCATATCCGTGCTTCGCGTCTGCACAGCGCGAAGAACACCGGGGTCTTTTCATGATGGCGGTAGTAAGGGAGATGATAAGGCTCCAACGAGTCATGGATGTTCACTCGCTTACTCTGCACCACACTCCTCGGGTCCGAACAATGTCTGACGCGGTTTTTTTTCGCGGCCGGCTCGTCATACGACCTGACTCCTTGGTCCGAAATTTCGAGGGCTTACGAGACATGGACCAAGGACTAGATAAGTAGCTCGTGCGTCCGTCAAGCTCTCCCAGACTTCACCATGATCACTGCCGTCGCAGTGTCCACTTCTCTCGCTATACTCGCGCCAGTCGTCGTCTTTGTCTGCAGGATTCTGTATCGCAACTGGACCTCGCCTCTGCACTTTGTTGACGGCCCGGCCTGTGCGAATCCTGTCCTCGGACACTCAAATTTGATCGCGGTCCGTGCTATGCTTGGCGCTCATGAGTCGATCCCGAGATTTGGCCCAGGATGTTCCCGGGATCACCAATGAGTGGCGGGAGAAATTCGGCGCAACATTCATGGCAAAGGGCTTTTTGGGCGTGAGTTCGCTGTTCGCGGGCCGCTGCTGGCTGTGTCGATGTTGATCCCGGCGCAGGAGAACGAGCTGCACACCACAGATGTTAAAGCCGTGGCTCATATTGTCAGCCACGGGGCGACCTATCAGAGAACGACAACAGCATTGGCGCAGGTCACCCAGCTTCTTGGAGAAGGCATGTTGTCCGTCGAGCACGATCCGCACAAGTGCCAGGCAAGTTTCTTGTATGCCGTTTCAAGACCATATTGTGTGTTCACCGCGTGTTCGGTCGGTCTAGCGACGGGTTCTGGTGAGTGCCGACCCATGTTCGTTCACGGTGCTTACATTGACCGCATGTTCTAGAACCCCGCGTTCGGCGTGGCACAGATCAGAATCATGAACGAGGTGTTCGTTGAGAAAGCAAACAGGGTGAGTTTGCCAGCGAGTGTCTATCTTGCGTAGAACTGACTGCTTGAATGAACGCACTAGCTGCGAGACCTCCTGAGACAGGAGACCGGAGACAGGGGCGGAAAAGCGATCGTCGATCTCTCTGGCTGGCTCACACAAGTCATCTTCGACATCATCGGACAAGCCGGTAAGCAGCGCCGGAATTGGCTCGATCCTGCGGGGAGCCTATACCGTAATCTAAAGGCTTTTTGTCGTGGATCTACCCAGAATTTCAGATGCCTTCGGGGCCGGTTCTACCCGTCCACTGGGTAGAACCAGAAAATTTCATATCGGTTTCAGTGAGGATTGAACTACTGACCTTGTAAAATTGATTCAAATTCAGTGAATGAACAGACTGAGCTAAACAGCCGATATAGGGTTCCCACTTTTTCCCTCCACTTAGGGTAACCCGCAAGCGGCTTACCCTAAGTGGAGGGAAAGCTTTATCCTACTATCATTTACCCCCTAATGAAATCGTACCCCCTAGTGAAATCGTTAGTGCTCAGAGTTTCCACAACACCCTGAGTTCACAGAAAAATTATCTGTGACCTCTAAATAGCATGTCCTTTGAGTATATGAGTTGTGTAGAATATTGCGTGGTATCAGTATTGTGTATAAATCTAAAAACATTGTCCTGGGCATGGTTTCCGACATCGAGACCTTCACCAGTGCCAGATATATTCAAAAATTTACATAGGTATTGTTAGACGTGCCCTTCCAATGCTCTCATACTACTTGCTTGGGTTCTCCGACTTTCATTCATTGAATACAGAAAGGCGTGACTGGAGGCTACTTATCCAAATTCAGAGTCCGACCGTGATCAATCCGCTGCCGCCCACCACTCTTGCCCTGATCGCCGTCGACAACCTTTACTTTCATTATCCGCACACTCTTTCAAGATAACACTATCCTTTTTTAATCCTACCGACATTCGATCTATCCTACCGACATTCGATCTGAAGCCAGCGCGTTCCGTCGTAGATATAATTGATCTCGGTCTCTTGTGATGTCATCGGTGGTGCAGAATGAAAGCAATCTTAAGAAATCATCAAGCGGCATTGGCTGCCGAAATCTGCCGGAACGTGACCCATTCGTGACACCGATTTCACTAGGGGGTTCACTCCCGCCAAAAACAATGATGATTTCATTCTCGCCGTGGCTGCATCCTCAACGCAGAATAAAATTGAACATTTTGCAAGGACATGTAAGAGACTTCAAACTGCGAGCCTGTCTAATTTATAGGCCTTTGGCAGGTATTGTTAAAGGTGAGCAAGCTCAGATCAAATCGATTTCATTAGGGGGTAAATGATAGTAGTATTGGTTATTTCAAACCCTCACAACCCAATAAACATATTTCTGAGTCTAACCAACCCTAACCAACCCTAACTGAGCCTATATCAGGTCTTATTTTTTTTTGCTACCTTCTCCCAACCATTACTGAGAGAAAATGACATCTTTGGGGACTAACCTTTAGCCCCAACCCGAACCCGAGCCCGAACCGCTAACCTCCGCGCCCAGAGGGGCGCGGTTTGTTTAAGACAGTTAGGCCTATCGTCACATCTTGTCAAGGGACAGTGCTTTTAACATAAAGCCAGTTTTGGCCCAGTGTGATAATGCATTGGTCAGGGATTTCTTTTTTAGAAGGTCATCAGTTCAATTCCCACTGAAACCAAACCCAAATGTCCTGGTTCTACCCACAGCCCGTGGGTAGAACTGGCCCGGAAGGCATTTGGAATTGTGGGTAGATCCATGCGCGAAGGCTTATTCCTACCACTAGGGTTGCTGCGGGTGCTAAGACAAGTCTAGGCTTCGGGTACCAGTTCAACTCCTTGGAGTCCGGTGGACAGGACGAGGCAGAGCTCAGCACTGTCTTTCGCTCGCTGTTTCACTCTCCCAATGCCAATGTGTACCAGACCGTGCAGGTCGCGCAGGCAATGTTTCCAGTGCTGAGATATGTCGTGCGTGTCTGGCTGCTGGAGACGGCTTGCTTTTCGTTGACGTGCTTACCCTGCCCTCAGCCACTGCCCGGGTGGCAGATCATTCGTCTCGCCCAAACCAAACTGCGCGCCATCGGCCAGCGACTTCTGCAAAAATCCCAACGCGAGTCTGCCGCTGCGGCCGGCGAGAAAGACCTCGGAAAGGGCCGTGATCTGCTGGCTCTCCTTGTCAAGGCGAACATGTCGGGCGATCTTCCTGCCAGTCAGAGGCTGAGCGACGACGAAGTCATTTCGCGTACGTCTGCTCCATTGCTCGCGTTTGGTGCCCCCCCCCCGGTTGATCCCGTGCGTGCGCGTGTTCAGAGATCCCGACGTTCTTTTTTGCGGGACACGAAACGACCAGCACCGCGCTGTCTTGGGCGCTGCACGCTCTGTCCCAGCACCCCGACGTGCATGACAAGCTCCGTCAGGAGCTGCTCTCGCTCCCAACCGACCATCCCACCATGGATGAGCTCAATGCACTCCCGTTCCTGGAGAACTTCATCCGGGAGTCAATGAGATTGTATGCGCCGGTGGTCTTCAACCAGAGAATGGCCAACCGGGACGACGTGTTGCCCCTTGCGAAGCCGTATGTCGATCGTCAAGGCGTGTCGCACGACACCCTCCCGTCCGTCCTGTTTATCTGCTGTGTCTTCTCTCTCCTCATCAAACGTCGTCGTCAGGATCCGCAAAGGTCAAGTGTTCACTGTCCCCATTCTCGCGATCAACACAGACAAGCAGACTTGGGCTGAAGATGCCCTCGAGTTCAAGTGACTGTTCGGTCTGGTCATCTGCTCCCGCTCGTTGACGTGGATTACGCAGACCGGGCCGGTGGGACGATCTCCCTGAGGCGGTGCACTCGGTCCCGGGTGTGTGGGCAAACCAGCTGACGTTCTTCGCTGGCTCACACAACTGCATCGGCTTCCGATTCAGTATCGTCGAGTGCGTTGCGCGTTTCTCTGTGATAGCGGGGCACTTTGACCAAGCTGCTTGAACAGACAAAAGGCTATTCTCTTCTCGCTTCTCCGCGCGTTTGAGTTCTCTCCCGGAGCAGCGGTCATTGGTCCCATCATCAGCAATGTGCTCCAGCGGCCTGTGTCGTTCGAGCCAGGAACTGCGGGCCTCGTGTCGACGGGGAAGTTCCCGGTTATGCTTCGGGAGTACACTGCTCAATGAGCATTGGCCCTGTTGCAGACGACAAATCTAATACCACTTACCACTCCATTACACTGGCGAATATATTCTGTTGTCGATGTGTACGGTTCCAAAAACACGGAGTGTAGCAAGCAGGCCACAGCTTCACTGTTGTTCGCATAGCTCACACTCGTTTCCTCACGACGCCTGAATAGTGAAATCACTAGAAGAGCATGCACTTTGTCATTATACGAGTGAATCACCGCACCTCCCAGACGCGTGTGTTGCGGATCCAACAACAATCGATACCCACGACGTTTAAGGGCTCGACGGGATACAGCATCAAGCGTACGCAACCCAAAGCGACAGTAATCCGCTTCACCGCACGCGCATGGGAGTTGTTGTACTTGTAGCTCGTTCGATGGCATGGGGCATGCGGCGAATGGGGCTGCTCGCTTTTTCAGAGTTGTTGAGGGAGGGACCCCGGGTAGGAAAATAATATCCCGCAAACTGACGCATCGGCGCAGATCCCAGTGCCCGTCAAGATTTCAAAACGTCCGAAATCTGAGCGGCGGGCGCACGTCAGGCCACGTCAAGAATCATGATCCCGTCCAGCTGCCTTGTATTATCGATTGAGCCTGAAGTCCTTGGAGACTGTAGATCCAGCAGTGTATCAGTCCGGATGAATCAACGACACGTGCGAAGATGCGTGGAGAGCTGTGTTGATCGAGCCTCTCCTAGTGGCCAGTTACACGCTGAGGCAGTGGCCGTGCGGATCCCACACGTGATGAAACATAGTCCGCACTCAGAAGGCATGGCATAAACCCAGTTTCCTCACCAGTGCCTCGAGCCTCGTGTGAGCTGCCCCCGCGGATGGCAGCAGATGAAGGCTGTAGAAAGGTCGGTGAGGAAAGCAGCCTAGGAGGATGGTTGTCGATGGCCTTTGTGTTCAAAACGTTCTCATCCTGTGTACTTAGCTGCAGCCATGATCTCATCATCTCCCCTTGACAGGCTTGCGCCGCACGATTGCCCGTCTGCCCTCCGACGTCGACCAAGCTGTTTTCTCTCACAATAACGTCGATGCGAACGTCTTCCGGACTCCGGACGGTCCTCAGTAGCCAAAACACCCGTTGCGAAGCAGTTTACTTGAGCTTTGCGAATGTTGGAAACGAGGGCCGGTGAGAAGCGAGCTTGGGGGCAAGGCTGAGAGACCCTCACGCAGCCGAAATCGGGAGCACGTGAGAAACGACTCTTTACACCCGCAGTTGACATTCGATGGGAACTATGGCACAAGACGCGAGACCAGAACAAGCGATGCCAGTTTCGCGGCGTGGCAAACTCGGTGATGCCATCATCAATCATGTGTTCGACAGCAATTGACAAGGGAGTGGCCTCGACCCATCTGTGTCAGCCCACAATTTTTCCCTCCGTTCGGTGGCTATTGAGTCCGAGTCCCACACCCCCCCAGAAGGCCGTGTGGAAGAGCTATCAAAGTCACGTAGTCGACGCTCAGCGACACGTCGGGTTTTTCACGTGAACAGGCCCCGGTGGCCGCAGCTCGTTCTCATGATAAATAAACGTTACGTAACTTGGGCGGTGCTGGATATTGAGAGCTGAGCGATGAGTGCTATTGGTTCCTGAGCTTCTGCGGCATTGCGGAGATCAGGGAAGCATTGGGATGCGGACCAAGCGACCGGCAGAATGAAGTCGGGTTTCGGCAGAATATGAGTCAGGGAACGGCATTGTCCAACGTTCCTGGAGGTCTTGCTTCTCACAGCTGCGGGGTACACCCAACTTCAATGCACGGTCGTTATCTCTCGCCGACACATTAGCTCTGCGTGCCCAGATTGATTTATGCACGTCGCCGGAAATGGGGCAGCTGTGTCATACGAATTGTTTCCAGGGTCGTGCACGCGCGCGCAGTGCTCGACGGATACTGACAGGCTCGAGTTCTAGCCACCCCATCCCATCCCATCCCATCAGAACGGTGCGCACTGACAGCCAAGCTCCAACCGGCTCGAAGACGTTGGCCCAGCTCGCATTCCTTCATTTAGAGCTGATGGCAATCACACCGATGCGTACCGTGACGCAGTGTGCTCCCTCGCACCCCTTGCATCCAGCCATCTATCCAACCTTCCTGCCTTCCTTCCTTCCGAGCCAAGCCAAGCCAGGGGCACTGCGTGTGTGGTCCGAAGCGGAAAATGAACCAGCCATCGCCAAAGTCGTCCCCCCGAATATTGGCCGACGAACATCAGAATATGTCTCGGGTTTTCATCAAATCGCTTCAGCGGAGTGTGTATATGCTGGAGTCCTGATCATCAGCGCAGAGTATCTACTGCGCATCTGCACGCTTCCCCACTTGCCTTTCATCCGGCCGCGCTACGTGGACGCTGGAGCAAAACAAAACAAACACCGCAGCAGACCGCGGAGGTACGAACCCGCTCGCGCATGACTATGCCGCGGGGAGTACAGCCGTCCTTGATGATAGGATGAGGGTGCTTCCCAGGCGCTGGAGAACAGCGGCTTCTGTCCATACATTCTGAGTCACACAGTGTGCGATAGGCGTCTCTGCACTGCACGTCTCGCATCAAAGCCAGACCCGTGCGTCGGCAATCACCGAATCAGAATCATTGGAAGCCGGAGACTCGACGACGCGCGGGCTGGGTCTCGGTCCCGCCGCGTCGTGTCGTGTCATGCCGTGCAGAATTCACCCGGATTCTGTGGGAGAAGAACCCGCCAGTTTTTGACGAGGAGTGTTCTCGCTTGGGGGAAGCCGTGCCGATCTTCGTTTGTCCAGCCGGTGGATTGAGCCTGTGGCTATCGAAACGACTTGGCTGTGTGATGATGAGGACGATGCTTGCTGGGATGCGTGAGCGGTGGAGACGCCTAGCCCAACAGGTGCCGGAATGGCGGTCTGAGAAGTCGGCCGTCCTCTGCAACCTCCATGGCAATGTCCGATCTGATCATCAGTGTTTGATCGACGTCGATCAATCTGTCGTCGGCGCGCGCGGGCCGCATCGTCGGAAGCAGTAGCAGGAACACAATCGATAGCAAGCACAGGACTTCCATCGAAGGCATTTGATCTGACTCGACACATTCTTGGTCGATATAAAAAAAGAAAGATTCGAGTCCAGGGCGCGGCCCCGATCGGCCGAGGATTGAAGCACCGCGCTGTACCACGCAGATCGGTGTCTGCCCCGCAGGCCGCGACTGAAGGAGATTTCGTGGTCTGGATGGTGACGCAGCATCGGCGCAATATGCGGATCAAGATATTGGTGGGAAGCTTGGGGCTCGCCGCGCCCCACCGCCTTGGCAACTCCAGCGAGTTGGGCCCGCGGACGTCGCATAAGTTTAGGCTCGGCCACCGGGAGGGTCCAACTCCGCTGTCAACTCGCGTAGATGTCGGTTCGCGAGAGATGGCCATGCAGAGATGAGTTTCTGGAGCGCGAGGCGAGGGGCCTTGGCTCCGTTTCATGTATTCTCGCTGACGCTGACGGTCGTGGCAGGGGTCGATACAGCGAGCCCCTTAGCTCGCTTTGAGCTAGACCACTTTAGAACACAGCAGATGAAGCGTCGCAGCCACCCATGGGCCTCTTATCCTGTCGAGCGCTGCACGCTATCTGAGTAGATAGCTACACGCACGCGTCTGATCACTGTGCATGTTGCAAATCACGTGTGGCAGGGTCCTGTTGTCAGCAAGACACGTGAATTTCGCTTTTGCCGCGTGCGGAAGGACAAGCGCGGAGTCGATTTTTTGCGCGTCAAAAATGAAGCAAATGTGCTTTTTCTGCGAATTTTGGTGTACTTCCAACGTTGGCTCGAGCCAATTTCAGTGCCCAAAGAGCACGTGCGGATGGGTAATCCGTCACGTGCGGCACCCGCTTCTTAGTCACTTCTCTCAGCCAGCATTTTTTATGCAGCGCCCAGGAACGCATCTGCCCATCTATCGCATCGCAGGACTTCCCGGATTATCGGTGACGTTCCAATTTTGGGGGGCTGCATCTGCCACGGGCCTGGAACAATACGTTTCTCGCGAGATCGCGATACGCCCCGTTCGCTGGCAGCCATCGAGTCGCGAACTGGGTTCGAGTGCCATTCGGCGGAAAAGACTTTCGCCGGAGGTCCATTCACACTGATCCATCAAGTCCTCCGTTGTAGGACGCTTAATGAACTGTGCGATCTCGGGCGTCAGGCGTACGTGCGTTTTTCAGCGCGCAGGCTGCGGCGGCCAGACGTGGCCGCGGAAGCCAGTCCGTCGTGTTTTCCACGCGCGGGATCATCTAAAATGTCGTCACTCTATGCCCAATAGAAGCCAACCACTACCAGGAAATGAACAAATCCACTCGGGCACGTTTCGCCGGGGACGGTTCATCTCACGGCCCAAAACACAACTGTCAACAATGCTCGATTCTGGCAGATAGTCATAGCGCTGTGAACCGGGGGTGCTGCGCGTAAATTGAGGGAAGAAAATTTGAATCGAAGTACGTACAACCACTACATTCGTTCCTTGTCGACGAGGGCGGGCGTAGCACGGCGTGCGGTTGGACGAGCGGGCTGATGGACGCCGCAAGTCATCGTTGAGACAACGAGGGTTCCCCAATCCCCGTTCCTTTCTCAAGTTCTTCGCTTCTCCGTGGCTGACACTATCAGCCAAACGGCCTATGGTGCCAGTTTCGGAAACTTGAAAGCGGGATTCACCCAGTCCTCAGCGTATTATCACTGATGACACACGGATTATGCATACGTCGGGCTGCTGCGGTTACCCTCCCCAGTTGCTCGCGCTGGCAGGTGGCTGTATCGTCCCACTCGTCGCTTGGGAGATCGACAGTGCCAGGCCCGCGGAGCGCCGGGCGAGTTGGACTGCCCGCGCCTCAGACGCGCCGGATGTGTTATCGTCTGTCAGACTGAGTCGGATGCTTGCCATATCGCCGTTCATGGCGCTGGATAGCTTGTATTTTTGACCATCTCAGCCTCTGATTGGAAAACATCGGGCTCTGATTGAAAAAGCTATGTCCGGCCCTCTTGTGCTCACGCTTTCGGAGAGCGAATTGGTCGCTGGGGGCTTGCGTCGCTTATGATCCCAGCAAAGCACGCTCTGTGATTCCTCTCGCTTCCGGCTGAAGGCTGCGTTCCAACTTGATCCTAGCTTCTCCTCTCGTTATGTACATTTTCGTGTACAAGTTTGGATCATGATGAAGCAGCGAAGTCGAATCTTTTTTAGATTTCGTGACAGCCTGAGACACCAACGTGGCCAGATTTGACTCGATGAATGAATGTCACACAACCAAAGAGAGCTGCCGAAATCTACACCTCTTGTGTTTCATCAATGGAGTTCCAGAGATTCGTTTCTGGCCTCTCGACTAACCGCCCGAAGCTCCACCGGATGATCGAACGATATTTTGTAACGGAGCAACAGTTCCGGTTCGGCATCGGCGACGAGTGACCTAGAACCGACATCTACTCCAGGTAAGCGAGACATTGCTTCACTGGTCGGCTCGGCTTTTACGCAATCCACATCACCGACTGATGTGACGGGGGCTGTCACCGCAGAAAGGTTCCGCGGAGCCAAGCCACGCACGGTGAGTTGATCTGACTTGTGATCACCGTGAGACCGCGGAGGCGGCACTACACGCGCATCCTGAGCCTGAGCGCTGTCTCACTGGGGACGGGGCCGTTACAGTGCGCTCTCGCGCTGGAATCTCCATACCTTGGCTCAATCGGGGAACAGGCAGAGCGTAGCCGATCGCGCCGGGATCTGACAGAGCAACAGCAGCTTACGACTGTTGTCCATCACACAGATGTCGTGGACCTGAGAGACCACAGACTCGCCGGGGATAATCTGAGAACCGAGCCGCCTTTCAAACTGGTACAGGAACGTTCCCGCGTTACCGCCAATCATCCGAACCAACCCGATTCATCAAGAAAGCCCGATCTGTGAGTGTTTATAAGAAGCAACGAAGCTTTTGTTCTCCCTTGTCAAAGTCCTTTCCCAGCCTCTTGGAACAGCGCGATGCCAATGCCCCCGCACCACAGCATGTTGTTCAGCACAATGCTCAACCAGCCACACGAAGACGGCAGCAACACGGTAGACGTCATGTCCCCGCTTCTGAAGCTCAAGCCAGATCCGTACTGGGGAGAAGGTGTGTGGGTCCAGATGATAGTCAGATAGTCGCTGAAGGTGCTTGCCACGAAGACCTTGTTCGTCCGCTGTCGCGCGAATACCCGTATGCGACATCGGCCTCCGGCATGTATCGGCCAGGAAGCGCTGCGCCGCTCTCTGACATTGGCCCGCACCATCAGCATCAGCATCACCACCAACACCCATCGTCCGCCATGCGCATGAGCCATTCGCGGCTGGGCCCGCCCACCCCGTCCCCCATGCCCGCTTTTCACGCGCAGCTGCACCGGGACCACTCCGCGTCCCCCATCTCGCCTGCCCCGACGCCGACGCTGGATCTGAGCGGCCTGATTCCCATGTACCCCGAGCCCCCGTCGCCGCATTTGGGCTCCCGCGTGGGCCACCTGACCGACATATCGTATGACCAGGACGCATGGGCGACACCTGCGGGGCTGCCGCCCGCGCATGCGCACGGGCACTATGCCCCGCCCCCGTCCTACCGCCAGAAACCGACGCTGTGGTCGGCCGACCCGGTGCAGCATCACCACCAGCACCAGCACTCGCACTCGCACATGGGCGGGTGGAGCGGGCCGTCCTCGGCGGCGAGCATGGGCTCGCAGTTCGGCGCATACGACGCCTACTCGCCGTCCTCCCCGTACTCATCCTCCGCGAGCTCAGGGGCCTCCTCACCCGGCGGGTCATATCTGCTCCCCCGGCTGCCCTCGCCCCCAGAGTCCAAGCCGTACCCGCTCCCGTCGCCCATCCTCCCGCACCGGTCGGCGCAGACGCTCGTGGGTGCTGCAACGCCCGTTGCGACCTCTGCCGGCGCCATGCCCGGCAGCAGCAGCAGCTCGAACCCGAGCCCGAATCCGAATCCGAAAAAGTCGTGCTTCCACTGCCACGCGACGTCGACCCCGCTGTGGCGCCGGGAGCCGTCGACACAGCGCACGCTGTGCAACGCGTGCGGGCTGTACCTGCAGCAGCGCAACAAGCTCCGGCCGCAGGAGCTGATTGACGCGGACCGGGACACGGACGAGGATGACGAGCTCGCCAAGATCCCGGACGCGGAGTACACCGGGCCGAAGTGCAGCCACTGTGGGACGCGCCGGACGAGTGTGTGGCGGCGCAACAAGGAGGGCGCGCAGGTGTGCAATGCGTGCGGGGTGTACGCCCGGCTGCGTGGGAAGGAGCGCCCGTTGAGCCTGAAGCGCAATAAGATCAAGCCGCGCACTAAGCACACGCATAACACCCAGTCGAGGTGAAAATGCCATCTGACTGTTTTGTATCTAGACTTCATTACTCGAGTGACGTTATTTTTCTGTAAGTACTTACTTGAGGGTGCACACTATGTTGTAGGCTTATAGCTTATGTTTATTTTCTCGCTGTATACTTTCCCTGAAGCATCACTGTCTATAACGCATCAATCGATTCAACGGCCCTCGGTCGAACTGACCGCTGCCAAGGTGATGCCGATCAGCCGCGCTCGCTTCGGATGACATTGACAAAACGTCCGTGAAATCTCTCGCGGCTCTGCTTATCCCTTCGCGGGTGTGCTTAGACCGCACTCGCTCCCTGCGCTTCACTTCACGCCTATTGGCCGCGAGCAGATGAATTCCCGACGGATCTCCGTTGGCCCCTTCCATCTGCAATGACCTTCATTTGGTGTCATCCGGCTCGGCTGAGCCAAGGGTGCACTGAGAAGGACTGACTGCATGCACGCATCATTTTTCCGGATATGGCTCGCACTGTGACAGTGGCAACCACTCAGCTGCTACGCCGCTCCATTCCGGCTCGGTTCTTCCGGACTATGCCCGCGCGACATACCGTATGTGCCTGCCTCCCGGCCCCAGTTCGAGACCGCCCCAGCGCCCGCTCCCACACATGCTCTGCCAGGATTCCCCGGCGACAGCCGACCCCGGAGACAAGAATTTGCCGATACAGATGGCCCCCAAAAACGCCATACCCTCTTTCTGGGGGGGAGGAGCCCAACCCCACTGAGCTCGATACGCGCAAATGCGATCGCCAGCTGCGAAGTCGGAACATGGACCCACCGCAAGATTCGTACCGCACACAAGAGACCGTCCATCGATGCGTACCGCACCCACAAACCGCGTTCTCTTGATTACGTTGCGTTGCGATCTCAGACCTTTACCCGCAAAAACCTGACCGGCGACACACAGCGGAAACGTGGACGCGTGGAGATAGCAATCACGGTTCGCGCGAGCGTTTCCCTCGCTCAGGACGCACTCCCCGGGGCCCGGGTGCGCCGCACGGGTCAAGGATGAACCCCAGATTAGATTGACGGGGACTGCGAGATCGCAGGGCCTTGCGTGGAAATGAACGCACGGGTGATGGCGCGAAGGCTGGGGGAGTAGGGATCGTGGGTGGGTGACGCTTTGACCGCTGGCCCGGATGGAAGGTTGGTGTCGCCAACCACGTGCCCTGCGGTCGCGCAGGGTCCACATCCCTCCTGTGTCGGAAGGGTTTTTCATGACAGCAAACTCGGGCCCCTGGCCTTTTTCCCTGCGCAACGAAATATGTGCAGCCGAACTGGTTAGATTGTTGACGTGCGACGCGGGAGAGGAGGACAGAGCACACGTGATGAGGCTGGGCCCGCACGGCCAGGTGGATCCAGCACCAATCAGGAGTTCGGCCCAATATGAACTGAAAGGACCAAAAACGATGTTTACTCCTCGGAAGCATGCAAATCTTCGTTGAAATAGGATGAGAGTGGACCTGTGGACACCCCCGAGGGAAAGGATCAAGGTCGAAGTCGAAATAGGCTCTCATTGATTTTCGGATGTCACACAAGCACAGCTTATTTGGCCCCATCTTGAACGTAGTACGACGCGCTCATCATGTTCGGGATCAATTGCCTATTTGAGCCGTTGGGCGGTCATGACCGAAACTGGTCACTCATCTCTGGCACTGCTGTTTAGATAAGATTGTGCTATCGCCCAGTTCACTCGCAGTGCAAACGGCTCGTAAAGAAAACCGATGATGATACAAAGATACGGACAGCAATAGAAATGTACATGATGAATGCGCAGGGATTGCTAATACACAGAAGGCAGAAATGAAAGATGCAGCGAGAATCTATGAGAGTCGTGACAGGGTGAGATCGTAAAGTCGGCTTTCAGCCATGTCGTCGAGGCGTGCGCGAGAAACCAGAGGTGCAACAGCCCCTCAATCAGCGAAGCGGTGAAAGACCCGGTCGGGCTGCCGCTGCTGCCGTTCCCGCCCCGGCGGATACAGCCCATACACCAACGAACAAGCCGGCCACGAAACCCAGCCCAGCGACGACCGCGACGCCCAGGTTGCTCCATTCCTGCGCAGCCCAGGCGCCGCACACGCCTCGCGCGAGGGCGAACAGCGACGGCAGGTGCAGCGGATCCGCGTGCGGGTAGAACGACTTGGGCACGAAGTGCGCGGGTGAGGTCGGGGGTGAGGAGGACGGCGTCCGCGTGAGCTTCACGCGCCGGCGGCGGGTGATCGTCCCCCGTCTCACGTGCGCTGGAGAGGGGAGTGGGGCACTACCGGAATGCGCCGACCCGGTGAGGCTGAGCGCGAGTGCATCAGCCGGAGGTATCGCACGGACCGGAGACACTTCGGCCGGGGAGGGCTCAGCTTGACTCCCGATCCGTCTCCACCACGCCAAGAATAGCCCGGCTGCTTCCCTTCTGAGCGATCTCAGCGTCGAAGGGGACAGCAGTGCCCGCGGTGGATCTGGGGCAAGGACCGCGGACGACTGGGGAGTCGTCCCAGTGATGACGTGACCATCCGGGTCGTCCCCAAGCACCGAGTCCTCCGGCTCAAGGATGAGATGGTGGGCTACAGATGGTGACTGAACGGCAGAGCAATCCTGTAAGGATGGCGGCGAAGGAGATGGTAGGGCCAGAGGTATCACGGGGATCAGCGATCGTAGGGTGGCGGGGATGAATCCGGTGATGTCGTCATTCGGCGGGCGGTGTGCAGACAGCGACGGGATCAGATACGAAAGCGGAACGTGTGGGTCGATAGGCGCAGGTAAGTCTCCCTCCGGATACGTGACGATCAGTGCTGTATACAACGGCACCGACGGGCCCGCGAGGATATCCTGCAGCACGGACTTGTCGCCTGACAGCACGGGAGGGGCGAGAATATCCGAGACGACATAGAATGGCGCGAGGATGCGGTGTGCTAGAGCGTCCAGGTCGAGCTGCGAGTAGGTGGGTATGGTCAAGGCATGCACAAGACGCTCACGGCGGGATACCGGAGACGTACCTCATGCATAGAGTCGACACCGTAAACCTCGACCATCGGTACGTGTGCGGGGCCGGGAGAGTCTCGCGTTCCGTCGCCGCCGGTCCGTGACCAATCATCTTCACCTACGCGCACTCGCAGGATGTGCACAGCACCCGCACCGCCCTCATCCACTCCTCCATCTTCCACCCCGCCATCGGGGCCAGTGAGGCTCCTCGCAACGGCACGGTAGTCTCCCACCACGAACAGCCGAGCCACGACATCGGATGCTGACACCCGCACCCGTGGCTGCGGTTGCGGCAGCACGAGCTCCGGGATGATGAGCGTCTCGTCCTCCTCCGCATGGGCAGGCCCTGGGCTCACGGCCGCTGAGCTGAAGAAGAACGAGCTGGCAACGGAGGGGAAGGACGATACAGAGGAGCCCGAGGCTGCCGAGAGCGATGGGCTGGGTGGGAGCGACGGCGATGGTGAGCGCGAGCGGTTCGGGGGGCGTGAGCGCGAGGGGGACGGCGGGAACCGGGTGTGAATAGATCGCACCGTGTCGAGGCTGGTGCTGAGCGTGGCTTCGTCCGGAGGCATGGCGGCGGTCGTTGGTGAAGGCAGGTGCCAGGTGGGTTGGTAAGACATTGATGGGGTTTCCATATCGGGCCTAGTGTCTCAGTGGAGGGACAACAGATAACTTGACCAACTGTGTGACAAAAAATTCCACTTGACGGACTGTGGATTATCTTTAGATCTTTTGAGTTCCTGTGTGGGTCTCTCACGCCGAGGGAAATGAAAATAACGGGTTTGGAGGATGTAGCTCTCCACGTGATATTGCTGACACGTGCCATTTTCGAAGCTAGCACTGTGACGGGTTGAGTCACAAGGAAGGAGTCTCTACCCCACTACTTCATGGCCTGGCGCATACATATGACCGTACAGTCCACTTTTCTTCCCAACTGATCAACTCCAAGATCTCTGATGGTCTTTCAGCCTGGAAATCGGTCGCAGATTGTTTGTGTTTTACACCGATCTCTCGTCCGTTTGATTAAGTATGCGTTCGATGATCAAAGTCGATAGCGTCCAAGCCGTTCATCCGAAGCATCTGCATGATGTAAGATCTCCAAGGTCTGGAACCGGCAGATTCGTAAACTGCAATGACATCAAGCACCTCGAGCTGATGCAATGTTGGCATGTTCGTCTATCAAGCGGCGCAGCGACGCCGTTTCATTCCCGCTCCGTGCTGCGTTTGCAAGGATGGAGAGAAGAAAAAGCGGGATCATGATGATTCGAATCGGTCGCGAATGAACGCGAACCGCTATCCGCGAGCAGCTCGTCTGGGTTTGCTTCCACCGGCGTACCTCCTTGCTTACGTTGGTGCGATCGAACTCAATGACTCGCAGGATGTACAGCTTGGCGATCTGGCCAGGGCCGATCTGGACTCTCAATCATGCCGCGAGATTGTCCAGATGTAGGTGATGTGTCTATGAGTCAGTGCTCGAAGTAGATCAACTCCATCAGCGTCAACCTCTGTCCCGTGAAAATGCGTCGGCGCGCGCGGAGTCCGACTGCTTCTTCCGCCGCACCGCACCACGCTGATCTTGGAGTCAGCGTCACATACGGCTCTCGGTCATTGGCCCGGATTCATGCCCGCGGCGAGCCGGAGACGAACACCGGAGACGCGTCAGCCCGGCAGTGCGCGGCTTGACTTGAACGTATTGTTACTCTCATTCGTCACATCGATATGAATGACCAGTGTGGAAACCTCTTCGGGTGAAATATAATCTGTTCTAACGCTCGTTACACATGGATGAGCTTTTGGATAGCGCACACGTCACACGTGAGGTCAAAACGGAGACTGGCTCCGCTCAGAGAGAACTTCGAGATATCACCAAATTTGTTGGATTGGCCAAAGGATCGTCAGCAGATTCTTGTTTGCATAATGACCGAGTTGTTGATATCTGGAGCTGCGCTGCGCAAAAGCCCCCAAAAGTCTCAAATCCGACAAGGGGAGGAGCGCCCTGGGCCGCATCAGCCGTGGAGAATGACTACGCAGTCAGCTGAGGATTAAGACATGGAAACACAGACCTAGACGATCGATAGTCGCTGCGAGACTCGGCAGCTAAGATTTCAAGATATCAGCTTGACACGACACTACACCGGAATTGTACCGTAGAAGTATACTCAGAAAGTCTGTAAAAGGGATTGTCCAAGTCACTTGTTCGATCAGGCATCGGTACCGCACAGATGCGCAAGTTTCCCTAGTTCACAACACACGTGACAACCTTCCGGTCCGACTTTGCTCCGATGCTCAGACGCGCTCAACCAAGATGCGTGATTCGGTAAGATATCGAACCCTGATCGGGACAGGGACTTTGATGTAGAGGCCAAGCTGATTTATGGACAATAAGACGGCGTCTGCAGAGTTGAAATCGGAAGGTCATCAAACATGACGAAATCCTCCGTCCGTTCTCCATGTCGATTTGATCGCAGAGCAGTATAATTTTGAACAGTAGTTTTCTTTGCCGCCGTGAGACGTCGTCCACGCTCTTTGCAAATTTGCATCGGTCTTTGAGCACAATATATAGTGCCGATGGATTATGTTTACTCTACTGATTCAAGTGCTCCTCCAGAAAAAATATAAATGCCAAGACCTAGACGCCTCGTGATATATGGGGACCAGACTAGTGTTTAGCTTTATATCTCAGACTTGGAGCTAGTCAACTGGACGTAGTCTGAAAAATGATTTCAGATGGACAGGTCTGAAGAACGCCTGTGCAGCAGCCATGTACCTGCTCTGTTAGGCTCCTCGACGTGTCCCCAAAAAGCGGTGGTAAGTTGTCGGACCACGTGCGATGTTGCAGCGGGCAGAACTGGGGTAAGAGAAGGAGTTCTGGTACCTGAACGATGTGCGTTCGTGTTGAGATCGTGTGCGGTCATAGGCGATGGTGGGAGCACGAACCGTCTGGGATGTTGAAGCTCGAAGTTGGGGCTGCTGTCACGACTCTAGATGCGAAAAACGCAACAGCAGCGAAGACGAGCGCGCGAGTGGTAACCATTATGGTGTTTGTGAGGTGGCAGGAGTAAGAGGGGGTGGGTCTCAATACCGCACACGGTTCAGGACCGGACTCTTATAGTCCTGCATTTCTCCCAAAAATTGAGGTCCAGGTGGCGTCCCGATATCACGGATGATCCGACGATGGATCCATCGCCCAAGTATCGCATGTTCATCACTCTCCCGTCCGAAACGTGGTCATTCACCGTCGCTTCCCGACTGCGTGAAACTGAGACTGGCTTGGAGTATACAGCTTTCACGGGAGCGGGTCAGGATTGCTTCAACAGACGGGCGGCGGTGGATTTTCACCGCACCGGGAGTCATTCACCATTGGATCCCACCCAGGCTGTGCGGTCCTACGCCGTCCATGGCGCGGAGATCGAGATATGGCATTGTTGGTGTGCCAGCACGGGTTACGCTGCCGAGCGTTCAAATATACTGATTCGCACGAAGAACAATAAGAATATAAGCCAAGGGCGCAGCGGCTGATGCAGGAGCACGGGTAAGGGATTGACACCGATCGACCAGGATCAAATCTCCCATCATCGATCCGATGCGATCTGATCCGACTCAATTGTAATCACATCGTGTTTTCGTTCGAGCTGTCAGCACTCCAAAGAAGGCTCGAAACCTTAGCTTCAGCAGACATTTTGAATCTCGACCTTGGCACGAAAATATAGAAGACGGCATGGGCAGAATACATTGTGCAACAGGATCTGTGAAGGAGTAATCGCGCTCAGACAACAGACGGACAACGTTCCCGCAACGTTCACAATGATTGACAGAGAGAAGCAGGTATTCTGGGCTGACACAAGGGCCCGTGATCTATGTGCATTGTAGTGCTTCAGTAGATGCCAAATCCGTCTCGTTGTCGACCACATTCTGTCCACCCAAATCTACCCAAAAGCTGTATCCTAGTACTGGTTATTTTAAACCCTAACACCCTAGTAAACATGTTTCTAACTATAACCAACCCTAACTGAGCCTATTTTTTTTTTGCTTCCCAGCCCTGACTGCAACTTAGGGAAAATGACATCTTTGGGACTAACCTTTAACCCAAACTCTCACTGCTAACCTACCACTAACCTCTGTGCCCAGAGGGGCACGGCTTTATTTTAGACACTAAAGCCTTTCCCACTGGGTGCACATCATATGAGTTGAGAAAAATATCCATTCCTTGTATCAGACCTTTGGTTCAGTCTGCTAATGAACTAGATATGCAGTGTTTTTGGGAGGTTAGATGTTCAATTCCCACAGAAACTTTTATTTTGGCTGGTGGACACCTTAGCCTGATGATGTGGTTATAAGCACCCAGTGTATATATCCACAAATAAATTAATCAGTCAAAACTGGTCATATCTACACCCGTAGTGCTAGGATTTAGCCTAACGCCAGGGCTGTAGCCATAAAAACCATACACTATTTTATGGATGGTAGCCATGCATGGCTACAGCCATGCATTTTAGTCTTCTCGCATGATCACGCAATGTATCACGCGACGTCCATCAGCCGCCCCATGTGTGATACCTTCTTGTTGAAGGATGATGTCATCACGAGGTGCTCAGCAGTGTTTGATCATTGTTTGGATGATCGAGCACAACTATACATGTCCTCCGATCGTTTTGCGTCCCTCAGTCTTACCATTATCTGGTGTGGCTGAGGGTACGTGACTCTTACTTATCATTCTTAGACGTTCACTTATATTACCTTGTAGACTTACTAAGTACATTCGTCTACAGGTATAAGAGTCTTACCATTATCTGGTGTGGCTGAGGACTTACTAAGTACATTCGTCTACAGATTCGCAGTCAGACGCTTGTGCACAATACGTCCAACAATCAGCAGCACAAAAACAGTGTAAATCGCAGACTCAAGACGCGCACAGAGTACCACGAGAGATTACCCCTATCACCAGGATGACGACCAATCTCCCCGCTACCCCGATTCTTCCCGAAGAGCAGAAGCTCACAACAGATGGTGCCAACTGGGCGACCTTTAAGGAAGTGATGATCAGCATGGCACGGGGAAGAGGAGTCGAAGGGTACCTGTTTGGGACGGTGGCTGAACCAGCTGGATTCGTGGCTAACACTGGGAGCCTAGGGTTCTCCCCGTTGAACTCAACGATGCCATCGCCTGATGAATACTCCCTCCGTGACGGATGGGTCGCCGCAATGCTGTTTCAAAATATCAAGGACCCTCGATCACACGATCTTAAAGGAACAGATTCGGCGCACCTGATTTGGACCACGCTCGTTAGCAAGTTCAACAGAAGCACGGAGCTCCTGGTCGGGATGAAGATGGAACGTCTCCGTTCGCTAGAGCTCAAGGACCCCCGCTACCTTATCTCCCACCTTGACGAACTCGTGAAACGACGCGCAGAGGTACACGATATCGGGGGAAGTGTCCCAGATGCGCTGATGTGCACCATAATCCTGTCGTCACTCCCAAAAGAAGAGTTTGGTCCATTGTTAATCACACTGCAAGTCCACACGGTCGTTGCACACCTGGTTCAGCACCTTCGCGAGTGGTGGGACCTCGTATGGAAGAAGCAAGTGGAGGAGAGTGGGACATCAGCAAGCACCCTTGCCGTAGCCGTGGGAGACTCACCTTGCGAAAACTGCGGTGTCCAAGGACACAATCAACGTGTTTGTTGGGCGCAAGGGGGAGGGAAAGAAGGCTAGGCCCCGGCGTGGTGGAAGGCGCCACGTGGAAAGGAACCAGCCCAGAATCTGGTCCAAGCCCATCGACAGGCCCGGGAGGCGCGCCGATCCCAAAACCACATGCCGTCACACCATAGCGCCGCAAACGCTGAAGGACAGCTCCAGAACCCCACCGCTGCGATGTCAAGCCCAATGGCAACCTACGTCCTCGCGGCTCAAGCGCCAGGGAATGGTACGTCGCAGGACTCAGGTGATCCGGGCCGTCCATCTAATGAACCGTTCAGAATGGGATGTGGAGGGACATCTCCTACCGTTCTGAATGGGGAGTCGGGGCGGTTATGTGAACCTGTAGTGTATGCAGCCATGTCGAGCCGAATGAATCAGATCCCAACGTTCCTTGATTCGGGGGCGTCAGAGCATTGCTTCGTTGATCGATCGAAGTTTGTGACCTACGAGGAAGTTGTGGGAGCGGAAGGCCAAACTGCAATCAAATCGGGAGGTCGGTTCCAGATCGCAGGGCATGGGGACGTCGAAATCATCGTGGAGACAGAAGGGAAGGAACGTCACCGCATTCGCTTGCATGCCCTTCACACGCCGGAATTCCGAATGAACTTGATATCGATCACGACGCTCGATTCACGGGGACTCAGAGGATCATGGGGCGGAGGCGTATTATCGGTCATGAGTCAGCATGGCAAAGTGATCTTAACGGGCAGACTCACAGGAGGGACCGACAACGGACGACGCCTGTATGCGGTGGAAGTGATCGAGGATATGCCGTATGTGGCGATTGCCGGACGAAATAGGAACCAGCCGACATCATTAGAAAACTGGCATAGAAGATTGGGCCATGCCGACGTACGGACGATCAAGCAAATGGCAACTAAAGGCGCGGTCGAGGGCCTAGAGATCACCAGGTCGGACGTGCAAGGAATGTGCCAGGACTGCATCTTGGGTAAACAGGACCGCGCTCCGTTCGACGACGAGGTCAATCATGAGACATACCCGTTGGAGAGAGTCCACCTTGATCTGTGGGGGAGAGCACGAACACTGAGTTGGGGCCAGGCGGTGTACCTCTTGTTGATATCAGACGGCGGCACAAGCATGAAGTTTCCGGTATTCCTTCCGGACAAGCGGAAAGAGACGGTCCTCAAAGTGTTCGCAACGTGGGTGATCGAAGCTGAAGTCCAGACCGAGCGGCGCCTGAAAATCGTACGGGTTGACCTAGGGAGCGAGTTCGACAATGATGCGTTCACGGGGTTCTGCCAGGAGAGGGGAGTGATCATCGAGCGAGTCCCGAAAGCGTCGTCGTCAGCTCACGGACATGCTGAACGGGGTAACCGAACCGTAATTGCCGGCGCGAGAACGCAGCTGATAGAAGCAGGGCTTGACGCGCGCTTCTGGGCAGAAGCAACGGCTGCACACTGCTACGTCCGCGGCTTCATTCCCTCAGCGAGGCACCCAGATTCAGTGCCATGGATGCGCTGGTACCAGAAACGTAGGGCCGACGGAGGGACGGTGCGACCAAACATCTCCCACTTGCGAGTCTGGGGAAGCGTATGCTGGGTCAAGGACCTCGACGAGCAGGAGGGAAAGCTCGGTCGCCAAGGCTGGGAGGGTCGCATGGTCGGATATATGGGCCGACGAGGTTACCGCGTGTATGACCCACGACGAATGAGGGTCTTTGAAGTGAGAAATGTGATCTTCGAAGAAGGTGATCCTCACCGGACAATGGGCGCCGAGTCTCTACAAGATGGCAGCGGGGTCCTCGATACAGAAAAGGAGCAGGCGGCAACGGATGGTGGCGTTGAGATGGCAGAAAGCCGGGCAGATCATAGAGGAAGCAGTGCGGAAGGAGAAGGCGAGACAAGGGCAGACGATGGAGCGGCTGAAGAAGGGACGATACAGCAAGACGTTCCACCCATCCCGAGACGAAGCGCACGGGCAACGAAGCCGAGCCGTAGGATGCTCGAAAGTACGATCGCAAAGCGAAGGGAAGAGGAAGCAAGGATCGCAGATGAAGATTGGGCAAGAGATACTATCCGACCGAGCGTGAACTTTGTGGACATCAACAACGACGAATTCGATGAAGAATCAATGACGTTACCAATGATATTAGCTAGTGCAACGAAGGGACGACTGCCACGGTCGGGAATGGAGGCATTGAGGGAACCGGAACTGTGGGGAGAGCCGATGAGAGACGAAATGGATCAGATGAAAAAGAAAGGTGTATGGGAGCTGGTGGACCTACCAGAGGGGAAAAGAGCGCTGGATGGGATGTGGGTGTTCGATGTGAAGGTAGATGGCGCAGGCGCAGTGGTGAAGAGAAAGGCACGATGGGTGGCTCGAGGGGACCAGATGGTGGAAGGGCGCGACTTCGGCACAAAATGGGCAATGGTGGCAAGAATGGAATCGGTCCGGATGGTATTTGCAGTTGCGGCTGTGAAAGGATTGCACGTGCGGCAGTGGGATTTTTCCGGTGCTTACCTTAACGGCAGGATGGATCGCGACGTCTACATGAAACAACCGCGTGGGTTCGAAGAGAAGGGGAGGGAAGACAAAGTCTGTCTTCTCTTACGACCGCTCTACGGATTGGTTCAAGCCGGTCACATATGGTACAAAACGCTAAGCGCCGGTTACAAGGAGCTTGGATACCACGAAAATGCAGCCGACCCGTGCATCAGAACCAGGAAGCGAGGAGAGGAGTACACCCTCACAAGTACCCACATGGACGATGTCGTCGGTGCATCTTCGGGAGAGGCAGAAAGTAAACGAGTGGTCGAGGAGTTCGCGGAAAAATGGGACCTCAAGCAAGTGGATCTCAATTTATTGCTGGGACTGACCGTGGAGAAGCTGCCGAACGGGGACATCTCACTGGGCCAACGACAGTATTTCGAGAAAGTACTCGATCACTTCGGCTACTCGAATTTGCCTCCGCTGTCTACCCCGCTTCCACCCGGCTATCAGATCCGCGCCTCGCCAGCTGTGCTCCCACCGGACGACGCGTTGTTCATGAAGGACAAACCGTTCCGGCAAATACTGGGATGCATAGTATGGGGGAGCAGCGGAACCCGTCCGGACTTGGCCTACGCTTGCTGTGCACTCGGGCACGTTCAGTCCAACCCCGGTCCAGAACACTGGAAGGTGCTGATTGGCGTTCTACGTTACATCCGAGGGACCTTGGACTACGGGATCAAATACTGCCGAACGGGGATCGACGGCCTGAAACCAGTCGGCTACGTGGACTCGGACTGGGCGGGATGCGTGGACACCCGGAGATCAACCGCAGGCTATATCTTCTTCATGGCAGGCGCACCAGTCACGTGGTCAGCGAAGCGCCAGGCCGTTGTGGCCCTATCGTCCACCGAAGCGGAATATATCTCCTTAGCCAGAGCGTCGCAGCAATCGATGTGGATGAAGAACTGGCTGTCGGAAGCCTTTCTGCCGCAGGATCTTCCCATGGACCTCCGAGGTGACAATCTCGGATCTATCAGTCTCACCGAAACGACAAAAGGCCACGGACTCGCTAAGCACATCGATATTCGGTATCACTACATCCGTGATCGCGTCAGCGAGGGGGAGATATCGATCACCCCAGTCCCCGGAAAAGAGAACGTCGCCGATATCATGACGAAAGCTCTGAACCGCACCGACCACCATCGAATTTGCCGTGCCTTAGGTCTGGACTGGAGACGGGCTGAGCACCAGGGGGAGTGTTGAAGGATGATGTCATCACGAGGTGCTCAGCAGTGTTTGATCATTGTTTGGACGATCGAGCACAACTATACATGTCCTCCGATCGTTTTGCGTCCCTCAGTCTTACCATTATCTGGTGTGGCTGAGGGTACGTGACTCTTACTTATCATTCTTAGACGTTCACTTATATTACCTTGTAGACTTACTAAGTACATTCGTCTACAGGTATAAGAGTCTTACCATTATCTGGTGTGGCTGAGGACTTACTAAGTACATTCGTCTACACATTCGTCTACACTTCTCGGCATCCATTGCGGCAGATCACATTGACACCGCAGTGATCTACCATCACAGCTACTCGTTCCGCACGGCTGTGGATGCTCGTCGGCCACTGACCTCACTATATCTCGTACATATTGTCGGTTTCCCGCGCTTGTCCCACCCGCCTGTCATCGCCTACGGCATCATATCTGGTCTGATCGTATTCTACACTATATCATTACGCCTGCGCTGTACATATTTGGCTCGTTTGCTTCCCCGATGCTGCCTTGCCACTTGTTCTGCAAAAAGGTGCGCAACTCCAGATGCCACGCTGACTGCTTCAGCGCGAACGCCCGTGCCCCTGCCTCCACTTCACGTGATGAGCTCACCTGCCCCGACGACTTCGTCTTCCACCAATCGGCCTGCCATTCCAGATAAGCACACACTCGACGCATCTCCTCCTTCAGCAGCAGGACCTCCTCGGTCCACCTATCGCGACGTGCCAGCGCCCAACTCCATTCCACCCGTATTGCTGTAATGATGTCAGTCCCATCCAGTACCTATTGCACCAGGAACTCACAGTCATGCAGATCCTTCTCCTCATTGTCCAAAGCTCCAGGCGCGGTCCAAATCCATGATATCACCTGCATCAACGATCCTTGGTCCTGCCTCGGTGCTTTCCCTCCTCCTAGCGCCCCAATCTTCATTGCTGTCAAAGCATCCGTCCTCTCTGCGTCCGTCTCCATAGCTGCACCACTCATCTGCAGATGCTCATCCTTGAGCTCTCGTAGATGCTGGAACTTTTCCAAGCAACCGGCCGCCACCAGAGCCTCCCTTCCCCTTCGATACCGGTTCGCGCTCGCTGTAACCTTCTCCCCGACCTCGCTGATGAGTGTCCGTGCCTTTGTGGACTGGTTCTGGCCCATCACGTTTGCATTGCGGAAGCTGATCAGGTGCCTCTTCGCGTGCAGACGCGCCCGAACCAGTGTGAGTGAGTTCTCGCACTGCGCTACCCGTAGCTTCATCTCCATGTCCAGCAACCCGCCCACACAGCCCTGCACTGGACCCAACAATGAGGGCATCTCACTTGGCATCCACAGCTTGATGTGCTCTGGCCGAGGACTTGCAGCTGAGCAGTCGCGTCGGGCTTCGGCCTCCTCGATGATAGCAGGGGCCGCAGGCATATAGAGCCCCTGCAGTTCTCAGAAGCGTGCCAGCTTTGTGAGAACTGTATGCCGCCACTCTTCGATTTGGTTGGCATGCTCGCCTGCAACCAGTGCCGTCCCCTTCAGTTCGCGGATGATTCTTGCCCTGTGCAACCAGGTAAGTGTCTCACGTCTGGCATCACAGCTACGACACACTTGATATCTTCGATTAGAATCCCGGCCACTAGAAACGCTGTTGCGCTCTGTCCTTGCAGTGGCATTCTTCCCTCCTGAGTGAGTCTCTCCTCCTCCTTGCAAACCTCCAAGCGGACTTGCGCCTCTGACACACAAGCTGGAGCTCATCCTCAGCACCTGTACATGATCTAGAACCCCACGCGCACGTACCTGACATCTCGAGCATGTACGGGGTCGGCGATGTCTCGGGTCTCTGGAGGAAGATGTTGATCATCTTGAGCCACTCCCCCATGACCTTGTCCTCCACTCCCTCGCTTGCTGCCCTGAAGGCCTCAACCTGGATATCCCGTTCGGCTTCGGCGAGCTTGAGCCGCGCAGAGAGAACGCTACCTATGCAACATGTCAGTCGTCGTTTTCCTCTCCAACCGCATCACGCACCAAGCGACAGATTCTTACGGAAGTTGTGATGATTGACATGCTCCTCGATGAGGTCAGCCCAAACGCCGACACCTGCAGTCTTTGTAGCGTAGCCAATCGGGTTAAGCACTGACCACATCCGTTCAATCCCCTCGCCATCCGTCTTCCCGACACCCGGCTTGAAGCTCAAGCTGTGGGTGTTCTGGCACTCCTGGTTGTGGGAACCCGCGTGCCACACCGGCAGACCACATTGGACCTTCACCTGCTCCAGGTCGAGGTGCAGATGGGAGGGCAATTTGGCCATGCGATCGCGTAGCTTGACATTCCACTGGCACCCGATGTCGTAGGAGAGCGTCAGCCACCATAGTGTAAACCCAATCAGGGCGGAAAAGACAATGTAGTCCATGTTTGCGTATCTGCAACTGTCCTCAGCATCATGAAAAGGCGGAAGCCAGTGTTGTATGCACCGCTCGCCCTTTTGCAGGTCTCCCAATCCATTGGGCCGCAAGATTTCATGTCTCGCACAAACGCAGCCCCCAACTCCCGAGACCCTCAAGCCGGTCGTCAAACGCGTATCCTTCTGTAGAAGAGCAGCAAACGCAATACATGTGCTTGTCTGGAGCAAACAATGAGAGCAAGCAAGAGAGAGCATGGACAACTACAAACATCTTGCTCACTAACGTAGTTCTTGACGTGGTCCCTGTATGGCTCTGGCTCCACCCAGTACCCGAGCCCAGGGCCTAACGGCGGGTCGTCGATCTTGTTCGCTCTTAAGCGGTTCTTTAGATGGAAATTCGCATCCAGCGCAAGGAGCAGCATATATATAAAGCTGTCGTAGTTGTCAGCACACACCCGCGTGACACAAAGCCTGGCTCACCGGTATGCTGGATTGATGTCTCTCCAATTTGAAGGCAAGTTCCGATTCTCGTAGGGGCAAGCCCAGCAAATCACTGCCAGTTCGCCTCTCTTGGCTGGCAGGGCGCCATCCGGATCGTGTCCCCTCCCAGCACGGACCAAACGAAGCAGGAATGCCCACTGGCGCGACATGCGCTGCAGTTGCTTGTATCGTTCCTGTTTATAATCAGCATATCACTCTAATTCTGCACCGCAGATGTACCGGCAGCTTTCGCATCCCTGTCCGAGCCATCACATTGCTCATCTCCTCCAATGATGTCACAAAGTCGCGCGCATTCAGATTCCCCGCCACGGAATACAGGCAAAACGACTCTAGAGTCTGGAATGTCGCGCATGTCTCCGGGTCAATGCCGGTCGCTGGATACCACCCGTTTCGCAGTAGCTGCTGGATATTGCTCGCATAGTCTGATCGGTTGCACTTGCAATATCTGAAACGCACTCGGTGAATGTATGGTGCATGGAGCACTGTCATCTCTCTCACCGTGCTTGTAGGATATGAACATTCCCACCCGCCGTGTCCCATCTGGTACACAAGACCAATATCCGCCAGTGAACTCTTCTTCCACCATGATCCCGTCCATTGCTGTCGAACAGCCTATTAGTCAAAAGTCCTCGCGTGCGCACAGGGTGCGCACCTTAATGACATGCAGCGGCGTTGTCTGATGCGCCTCCAACAGACACCCTGAGCACTGCTGTCGCAGACAATACCGCGCAGTGGAGATATGACCAGTAGCGATCACCTATAGAGACAGAGTCTCAGCGAGTGTAGAAGACACAGAGCTAACATTAGCAGTATCTATAGAGACAGAGTCTAGGTACAAGTCATGAGTATGAGTCGTAAGAGATCATAAGAGAGTATGCATACCTCAGCGAGTGTAGAAGACACAGAGCTGAGGATATGGAGCGTATAGTACTAGGTTTATATACCAGTCTGGAGCAGATATCATGATGTCATAGTGGAGTAGTGATATCATAGATGAGTAATGGATGACGCAATAATGAGGTCAGGTATGAGGTCATTGTGGAGCGAGCCAAAGTAATCTAAAGATACTACATATGATGTCATGTCTACATACTGTGATAGTCGCTAATACAAACAAGCTTCAACAACTGCAAGAACGGGCCACAGTCCTCACATTTGAAGTACTCTGTACTCAATTTGAGGTCCACGCCACATCGCGCGCAGCACGGATCATCAATGTCGTCCGCCAAGCCTTGGAAGCGCAGCAGCTCGTTGACATATAGCTGTATCCGTGACCGCCATAGCGACATAGGATCTTTCTGTCCTGGGGTGAGCTTGTCTCCGCTGTCTCCTACAGACTGAAAATGCTCACACTGCTGCGATACACCTTTCGGTGGACCCCTTCGCTTTCATCGTCCTCGAACTCTTCCTCTGACTCTTCTCCAGATTCTCGACGCACCAACGCGTCTGGGAGCCAAGCCATTTCATTGTCACAACCATCCTCCCCATACCACGGTGCTCTCGATGCCCCTGGGTGCCATGTACCGCCCGGTGTCTCCTGCACGTCGGAGGATTCGTCGTCATTGAGTTTGCAACGCTTTGAGCTGATGCTCATCAACTCCTCCTGGAGTTTGCTGGTACCGGAGGCATAGAAACCACGGTCTGCACTGTATAAGGCTGTTCGTGAAGTTGCCGCTGTAGCCCATGCAGGCGCGGCGGACGGCCGTCCGCCTTTTTTTTGCCTTGGGAGGCTCATTGCAGGCTCAGATTGACAGCTGTGTCACAGGGTGTCACCGTCCACAATTCGTCAAATCAGTACCAGATGCCGTCACGTGCGCTACAGGCAATGTAGAAAACGATGCTGCCCACAATATCCAAACGTGTTTGGTCGCTCTCAACACGCGTCAATGTAATCACAATGTTTCAGGGATGCCATGCGACATACCGGTATTAATAAATTTGCGCAGAATCTTTGAAAGTCATGCTGACTGAGTATGGTGAGTTCATATATGTTGCTTCTGCACGGTAGGGTGGGTTCTATGTTTCATAGAAGGATGGGGACATGTATTCAGATCACTATACTGGTCTGAATACCTAATACGTACCAGATTGAGCTTCGATCTAATTGTTAAGGAACAATTCAGCACCTGGCTGTAAATGGTGTGTTCACACATGTTGCAACACTCGGGTGCGATCATAGAGCCGAAAAAGTAGAGAAATAAGATATCTAATACCGAAGCTAATACGGGACAAGTTTCCAGAACAGGGAAGGGAAATGTACGAGATAGTGCAAAGTGGGCTGTAAAGCAGTACAAGTATTCCTAGTTCTCATAGTTCAGCAAAAGGTTGCATTATGAAATCACTTAATCCTTCACAGAAGCAAATAATTTTCAGACCCCACCACATATGAAAACCTTCTGCAGGGTTTTGAACCTCCAGTTGGTCCTTAGACGCACACAGGACGTTGTCAATGAATTTCGGGCTTCTCAGGCGAGACCGATAAGATATGATGTTGATGATAAGACAGGTCCAGGCAGTGCCGACTTACCATATCAGGCTGGGAACACAACATGGCAAAACAGGCTCAATTCCGTACAAGACAATATACAACAACAAGGGCTCTCGTATTGGCACGCAGAGTTCCTGTGCAACAAGTGTAAGAGGAATGTACTCCCAGGCTGAGTTCAGTTGACTTACAGGAAACAGGTCATACACAATGGTTGCCACAAAGAACAAAGCCCAAGCAAGAAAGCGGATGTCAAAGGTGGAGCGCAAGAATCTCCGTTTGTGGGCAGAGGGAAAGCGCGAGGAAGTACTGCAGGAACACCTCGAAGCTATCACCATTGCGCGTCTCTCGGGTACTTGGGCCAAAGAGCGCGAGAGGCTGCAAGCAGCCTTCATGTGACAATCAACCCAAAAACAAAGTCGAAAAGAGAAGTGAATTCGAAGACTGGAGAATACAACCAAGTAGCTACAGTATTTATACCCAAATCCAGTCTGAGTCATATCTACAACTAATGAGTCATAGGGCTATGTACCGCATGGAACGCTGGTCATGGGTCGTAGTAGAACCTTCCGGAGCATATGTCGCGCAGCCTCGAATCGATGAAGATAATCCCTGGAACCCCTAGTCCGGACCGTCTGATGCCGTGATCCGTGATAAGATAAGTCGTGCCAAGATAAGATAAGATCGTCGATGATAAGATGAAAAAGTGGCCGAACTATGACAGTAGAACCCAGTTGTCGAGGCCACAGTGCGGTTTCTCATGCACAAACAGGGCAAAACATGCTTAATAAAAGAACAAAGCAAAAAGGTCTTCATTCAGGAGTGTTACGTGGGTCAAAATGCTGTGGAGTCCTGCAAGAGCATAGGACTGAGTTTGATTGAGTGGAAATTTGAGATGTTGGGCATGGCCGGCATGGGTGTGGAGCATGGTGTATGTGAGATCAGTGAGAACAGCGGAGTACTGATGAAGAGAGTTGTCCCCGAGCAGTCTCAGTTCCTTGTGAAATGATTCTCTAGGAGAGATAGTTAGAACATTGTACTGTGGTGCTGGTGAGAAAACTTATATGCCAACTTGTACCATCAATTTCCACAGTCCTCTGGGAGATTTGGTAATAGCAGCTTGTATTGCCTTGCAGTAGACACAAGAGACAACATTGAGGTGTGTAGAGATCAGCTTCTTATTGGGAGTGTAGGCGGTACATATAATGGACTAATTGACCTGTTGCAGGGTCAGGAATCCAACAAGTGAATAAAAGTTGTGATTTTTGGAAAAGAGGTCAACGTTGCAGGAATTGACTGGTTTTGAGATTGGTAGATGCACGTAGTTAGGCCTTAGGAGGGTGGTGACAGTTTTGGTTGAAAAGGCAAGACATCAAATACGTGGCGTGACAAGAGAGGTGTCGATGGGGAAGACGATACATGTATTGAAACCGACTGTTTGTCTATATGCAATGAAATGTCCAGGTGGCTGTCCAGAGGAATGTGTACAAGTGCACTAATAATGATGCAACACAAGCAATGATGAACTGGAGTACCCGTAATGGCACAAGTCACAGAACAGGAAAGTATTAGGAAGGATAGGAAGGCCATACACAGGCTGAATTTGAGAGGGGGGGAAATCCAGTCATTGGTACCCATGAGATTGTACTTGGCTTCTAGCTTTTCACCAATGTTGTCTGGAATGTCAAGGCAAGGCCATTTGTCAAGGATGTGACATCACAGTCAAGCAGAGACCACAGCCTTGGAGCACAAGATGCAGATAATTAGTTGCAATTGAGTGTTGATGACAATGTTGCAGCGTTCAAGATTGTAGTCATTGTTGTGAATGTCGGTTTTGGTCCCAGGTGTGATTTTGCAGAGGGTTAGATCAAATTGAGGCCAGTTGTCAAGGGACTGGGGGAGGACAGAGGGGATCTGTTCAGCAACAGGTAGTACACCAGCAAGCAAGGGGGGCTCGGCAGTAGGGACAGTAGTCATTGGGATGGGATGGGTGAGAGCAGAGCAACAGCAGGCTCAGGCAAGTGAAAGAGACACGTTTTGGATAGAAACAGCCAGGTGACAAACATGCTGAGATTGGAGGTAACGTGTGAATTTCTATGTGCAGCTGTGGTGGATGTGGATTGAGGGGGGGGGGGCCAACCTCCACATCTACCTGTGCTACATTGACCATCTTCATTTTCTATGTCTCCTCCTCTGTCTCGACCACTTTGAATTGCCCCACCTACAGTGAACCGGGAGAAGCGGAATTTTCCAATGGGGTGTTGTATTCCTCAAACACTTTAGTCTGCGGGCATTTGTTTTGGCGTGCAACATGATCCTGTAAAGAGGATGAGCATGGTGGTATAATATGGGAGGAGGTGTTACTCAAAATGCACAGGGATTGTGATGTTGGAAGAGACAGCAGAGACAGGAGAAGAGGCTGTCTGCACTACAGTTGAAGGTGACATGGTGCTTTTCCCATAGTATGCTGTCTATATAATGGCCTGATGAAAGAGGCACCAGTGGACTGCGCTGCTACCAACCTTTTTCGGAAGTAGCAATAACACGTCTTGCAAAAGAATTGCCCTGGCAGGTGTGGCTTGCGTTGTGAGGCTTTGCAGTGGTGGTCAACATTGTAGGGGGAGAGGACGGTCAGAGAGGAGCTAGTGGAAGTGCTGCAGCAGAGAGTGTACCAAGAAGGAACTAGAGTGAAAATTAATAGTTGGGAGACAGAGGTTGTGGTAAGGACTTATATATATGTGTACATATGAGATAAAATCAACAAGGGGTGAGCTGGTCTAAGGTTTGAGTGTGAGTATAGTTGTGAGGCACAGCTTGAGGAGATGTGATGTGATGTGACCAAGTGATGAGAACTACTGACAAAGGTTGATAGTGACGTTCTCAACAAATAAGCAAGTAATGGAGATGATATTTAAGAAAAACAATCTAGAGATGTAAAGAGAGATATCTACTGGTCCAGATTTGGATTGGAGACCTGGCAACCACATGAATGAGATGAAAACATTTCATTGATGTGATTGTGGATCTGACAGGAATGGTTTCATCTATATCTTGCTTGGCCTGTGAGTCTAGTAAAAATACAAAAAATTCAGGGAACATCCAGGAGGGTATTTAGAAGCATCCTGGTTATTGCTAACCACTTCATGGAAAGGTTTGAGATTGGCAACCAGGGCATCAGAGAAGTTGTGATTTTTGGTCAGGCTGAAAACATATGCTCTGATGGATGGTTTCTAGGGGATGCAATCATGCACCAAAAGTGGTTGCTAAACGTGGGGTGGCTAGAGGAGACCCTAGGGCATGTTCTCATATAGTTCTCTCTGCTATGGCTTGGCAAGCCCAAACATTTTCTCATTCCATTTTCAACCACTGCTGTCCAATCCCACCTTCCTTTGACCTTTATGCTGCTATTTTCCTAGTTTGTGAGTTTTAGTGCCCATTGTGGCTGAGGTCCGTGAGATGCAAGATGAGGTCCATGAGGTGCAAGATGAGGATGTGTGGTGTGTGATGATGGTGTCACACCCTCTGTGGGCTGTTCTAGTGCATGGATTCTGGCCTCTGGGTGCACTTTCTGGCAAATTTGAGTTGCCAGGAATGTTCTGCTCATGCTGACCTTCAATTTAAGTGGCAAGAATTTTTAATTGTACAGGAGTTGACTCTGGGATCCACAATTCTCACCGTGTTCTCCCAGACTTTGTTGACAGCTTCCATTATTTCTTGTCTCCTTGCCTTGCTCTGGCTCCCTATCCCTCCACAGCACAGGAACAGCTGTTTCGTATAGTCTACTGCACAGTACATGTGTTTTAGTACATACTTTCTCAAATGAGCAAATAAATTCAAGGAGGTTTGCCTCTAGGATCCACTGTCTAATCAGCATTAGTGATTCGAATTGTGCTGGAGAAAGATGCTGATATTGCACCACAACAGCTGGTTGAATAATTATGAAACTTGGCATGTGTAATCTTCCATATATCCATGTAAGAATGCGCAAAGAAAAATCATGAGTGTTGAGTAAACTGCAGTTGAGATCCATCCTCTGATCGTTAGGCCAGTTTTTGAGGGTGCAAAAAAAGACGCCTTCATGGTGGGGCTGCTGCACAGCCCTACCCTCTCAGACCCATGGATCCATGTGGATCCCAGATCCAGGGGAACTTAAGCTACGTGTGGATATAATTTCCATGAAATTTTGTATAGAAATGAGCTCAGGATCCATGTTTGCAACAGGATTGCATCTGGGAGGAAAAATATACGCATGGCACAGTGATCCATCTTTTTTCTTGACAAAGAAGAACACTGATGCCATTGGCAATTTTGATGGTCTGATCTGTCCACTAGCCAGATTTTTCTCGAGGAATTCATCCAGTTTGATATGCTTATTTCGTGATAGAGGATACACCTTGCAGTCCACTGCCTTGGAGCCAGGTTTCAGCTCAATCACATGATCCCATGCACGTTAGTCCGGTAGGGAGTTGAATGATACTTTTGCAAAGACCTGGACAAACTCCTGGTATTGATCTGGAATTTTCCCCTTGGTCATTCTTTCCTTCTCTTTCTCTGCTTCTTCCACAAATTTCTGCGCTGGTGTTTCCTTCAGCCGTAGATCCACTTCCTTCCCAAAGTCGACCAACAGGATCGATTCTCCTTCTTCCAATTCTGATGCACATATGTCCATGTCAACTGAGTCCATCTCAATTATTGCTTGGTGTTCCTCGTGACCCCTCATCTAGCACTGCTCTAGACATTGGCTGAATTTCATTGTTTGTTCCTGCAAATCCACCTTGGAGTGGTGCTCCATCAGCTGATCAAGACTGATGAAAACCTAGGCTTTTCCCAGACATGTCAGGAGGAATGTGCATGTTTCCACATGAGTGTAAGGGCAACTCCTGCCAGCCCGAAGGAAGAGAGCACACAGCACATAACAACCTCACATGAGTCTGAGCACAGAGGGAGATCCTTAGAGAATGGTTCAAGGATCCATGTGCCCAGGTGTCACACTATATAGTCAACTGTGACAAGTGACTGATGATGATGGGATATCACTGCCATGGAACAATGGCAGATGACAAGTAGATGATGACAAACCCAGATAAGATAGTGAGTGGCTCAGAGGGGCCAGTGATGGCCAGCTCCTGAGACACCAACAGTGGAAGGCCACACTGGAGGAGCCCAGTAGCCAGACCAGTGCCAGGCTGGCCAGTGGAGACATCGGAGGCAAGGACCAATGCCCAACTGGGAAGAGGGGTGGTGCGGATGAGCACAAGGGCATCTGGTACGAGCCTGTACAGCAGTAGACCACATCTGCAGGGAGAAGGCCGAAGTGAAGGGGGAGGAGTGCGTACAGCAGTAGCACTCCCTGGTGCAAGAAATCGGGCTTGGCTAGACCGCTTGCGTGGATTCGAGGGAGATGGCCAGGGGAAGGAGGGAGAGAGCGGATGTTGGCATGGATGGAGATGAGGATCAGAGGATGAGGAGGAGGCTGGGTGATTGACAGGTGAGCAGGCATGGGTCAACAGAGAGGGAGCAGTGGGTCACGTGCATGGTCACATGCCCAAGGAGCGCGGTGTTTCCTGACAATGAGGACCAATTCTCATTCTCAAGTGGACGTAATGCATGATCCAACCACCAATGTTCTTGGTGTTGTCGGCGTTATGAGCCATGATGGGTTGCGGAAGCTCTTGGATATCCAATTTCTCTGCTTGTGCGTAGTTGGTATTAATGCAATAGGTACTGCAACCACTATCAAGCAGCACCTTGACTCTGCACATTTTCCCTGAGTTCAGGGCCGTGATCTGGACATATACGTTCATCAAATGCCTCTTCCTCTCTGCCTGGTAGCTGCACAATTACTGTGCCAATCTGCTGGGCTGGGGGCCCTTCTGTTTCTCAGTTGCCAATTTCTTCTGGACAGCATCTGGCACCCTTGTGCATTTAGGTGCTTCTGGAACCTTGATTTTGACAGATTTCTTAGGTGCTTCCTCCTTTTCCAAGGATTGAGCCTCCAGAGCAATGCTCCCCTTTTTGGTCTTTGTTGACCTGGTTCCTTCTCCACGAGCCATAAATAAGTAAGAGTCCAAAAATAATTTATCTGCAGTCTTCTGATCTTTTTTATTTTTTATTTATTCTCTATTTAAAGGTATTTTTCTTTGACATTCTTTTTCCACATCAGCAACAAGAAAACCGTGAATATTGGTACATAGTGAGTCTGAGATTGTGTATGTATGAGGATAATTGTTTGTATCTTCAATCAAAACAAGTATAGAAAAATGTCCTTAGTCTGGATGCTCCACCTCCTTGGCTAGAGGAGTGGAGCACTTCAAAAACCCTTCTCGTATAGCTTCTCGGCAATCTCCTTGAGGAACTTGTTTTCCATGTCCCTGTTCTCAATCTCTTCAAGCATTGTAGCCCAATTGAAGAACATGCGCTTCTTCCTTAGCTCTGGACAGTTCCGTGCAATGTGCCCTGGCTGCTGACAGTTGTCGCAGATGATATTGCAACCATGGGCATAGGTGCAATTGATTTCCATTGTAACCGGCTTTTTGGTAGCCGGTTAGGCCAGAGTAGGTGCAGGCGCTGCTGGTGCAGCCTGAGAACCAAATTGGGGGGGGGGGGGGGTGGTGGTCACAGCCTAGAATGTCCGTAAGCTACCTTGCGCAGCTGGTTGGGCAGAGTGTTTGCCTTGGTGTTGATGCACCAGGCCTTGGATGCACTATACACCTTGAGCAAAGGGACACCAGTGTTGTAGAGGTGGCTGGCAATCTTGCTGCTGAGTCCACACTCAAGGAACTCAATTAGAATGTTGTTCTGATCTCCCATTCTTGGACTCGCCCTGGTCGTTGGTAGTGGTGACCATGTTGTATTCTGCCTCTGCTGCCAACATTTCAAAGTTGGAGATATATTCCGCGAAGGACCTTTTGTCTTGATGCAGGGCCATGAGTCAAGCAGCCGCAACCTGCTCCATGTTGGAGTCCTCAAAAGCCTTTTGAAGCTCCTCTAAGAAGTCCTTGGTGGTGACTCCTGCCTTCAGCCCCTGAAAGCCCTTGAATTTGTGCTGTTTCCAGTTCATTGCCCACCTTGAAGCAGCACAGCTTGTGCCTGCCTCATTGCAAAGGTAGAAGAGGATGAAGAGGATTTTTGTGGAGTCCTCCAAGAATTCCAAACAATAAGCATCAATGTAGGTCGTAAAAAAGTCTACAAAGCCCAGGTATTTTGATTTATCACCACCGAAGTGGGGAGGGTTGGTGGTGAGGGTGATGCAATATCCTGTCATGGTACAAGCAGGTGTGGTAGGTGGAGGTGTGAATGGTTGTTCAGGGAGCAGTTTGTCAAGGTCGGAGATCTTGTCTTCAGGAGGCGGGAGAGTGAGGTAGGGATTGGAGGACCCAGGTTGGTTTTGATGCACCAGATTGTGCAGAGATGGATGGACTCCCAGATAACAATGGGAATTGGTACAAAATAGTGGATTTGTGTGCTATACAAGCACTCAAGGAAAGGTCCTTTTGCTAGCAAAAAGATCCTGGGCCTAGCTCTTCATGTGCCCAATGATCCTAAAGTACGTTTTCCTAAAGGTCTCTGCAGCACTTCTTGTAGCTACCGTAAGGCTTAGGTCAGGCTCAACGTTACCTGTGGCCTGGTGCTGTTTGCTTGATATGAACCCTTCACTGTGATTGCAGAGGACGACTAGATGATTTGGTAGAAAGGTGAGAGGGTTGATGAGGATGTAAAGGATATAGCAGGCATACCGGTGAGAGATGCAGGGTACAAGGTAAGAGGTAGGAGGGTATGAGGGGAGTCTTGGAATTATATGACAATCAACCAAAAACAAAGTCAATAAGGAGAGTAAGTTCCAAGACTGGAGAATACATGACAATAGCTACAGTATTTATACCAGTCCCAGTATGAGTCATATCTACATCAAACAGGTCATGAGACTATGTACTGTGAGGAGCGTTGGTCATGGGTTGTAGTAGAACCTTCTGGAACACATGTTGTGCAGTCTCTGTACAGATAACCTCTCTGAATCCATAACCTGGACCGTGTAATGCCGTGATCCATGATTAAGATAACTCAATGTTGAGATTAGATAAGATCATTGATAGAATGATGAAAAAGTGATCGAATTATGACATCTGCAGGGACAGAGGGAATGGCCAGGGTCAGGGTTGGTGTTATGGTGTTCTTGCATGGTATCAACAAGAAGGGTTTGGTTGGTCTTTGGTAGAGTCAGGGAGCGCAGGGGATCAAGCCACAGGGACTAGAGCAGAGCAAAGAGTTGGTTTAGCTAGTACTGTCAAAAATATGTGATAGAAGTGTCTTGTATGGGTTCCAGCTGTAACGGAAGCGTTCAGAATGAAACAAGTTCCGCTACAAGGAGGAGGGGGGAGACAACACTGAGAGAGATAAGAACTAGACTGACTGAGGAAAAGGTCCCAAATAGGAGGTATCTACTTATATAGGGTGATCGGTGGTCAAAGCCAGGCGATCAAGGACCTCAGTCAGAAAAACAATCACATGACATCTGTAACAGGAGGTTCCTGCTACATACGCCCTCCAGCTCAATGCTGGCAGTGAGCTCAAATGCTCAGAAACATTATTTTGGGTACACAATTTGCCAGTTCAGTAACAAGTCCAAGATGGCATCAAATCCATCCACAGAAGTAAATGTCAATCAGTCAATCAAAAATCAAAAATCAATCAATATCAATCACACTTCATTCTTGGATCCACCCATCCTCCTTGATGACAGACAGACTTCATTCATTATCAAAGGATTCTTTCAGTGTCTCCATGGTCTCAGCAAGCAAGATATTGATTGCATGTGAAGCAATACCTGGCAGTTTCCCGGGATTCTCCGACTTCATTCCACTCACATTGAGGCAGTTTTGAGACAAGTGCCCATGCTCCCCACATTCAAAGCAACGTCCCTCGCTGAGGTACATAGCTTGACCCTTGGCAGGCAACCTTTTGCCCCCACATGTCACATAGTCCCATGGCTTCTCATTCTGGTTCTTCTTGGCAGTTTTGACAGTGGCACTTGACACTGAGAGAGCTTGCCCTCTGTTGCGGTGCTTCTCGTTCTCTGTAGCCGGGATATCTTTTTTCCACTTGGGCTGATGTTTCGGAGCCTCAGCTACATCACTGTCGGCATCCTCAAGGTCAAGATTCACGATTACCTCAGCAGCTTCAGCACCAGGAGTAACATCACTCCAGGTCAATGTTTCGGGATCCAGATTTGCACGAACATTTCCTTGCAAATCAATGTCTTCAAGCTGCGGCAAAACATCACAGCTTTCTCCTGGTTTGCTTCCAGACTGATGGTATTGAAGATCTGCTCCCACTTGGCCTTATGGACTAATACAGATTTGTCATCTTGCTTGCACGCATCTAATTTTGAGCGCTGTTTCTCAAGGAAGTTCACAGGAAAACAGAAGTTGAATAGACCCCAGAAGAAGTCTGACAAGGTCCAGATGTGTTCATTGTTTTCCACATGGCTATTGTAGAACTCACGTGCATGGCTAGACATGAAATAAGACAAGTAGAACGGTCTTTCATCAGCAGGGACACGGCCAAGCTTTAGGTAAGCTGTTCCTTCTTTCACAAATTGGTGGAATGCTACCACATCAGCAGATCCATTGTACTCCTTTGGCGGAATTGGCTTCAAGATTGTCTTCAGTTTGTTTACTGAGATGTTCACAGTCTCTCTTTGGCTGGAAAGGTGCGGCACTGGGGTTTGGCTCCAACTTCTGACATCTGAGGGATTGCTGGACAGCAGCTTGGATGGAGGGGGTCCGCCAAAGCTATCAACATTGCACCACACATGCTCAATGAAGCTTCCTGCCCTGGTACAAGGTGCAGGAGTCCTCTCACATGCGTCTGTCTGGGCGTGCATTGGCGGCACATCAATGCTGATATGGTGTTCGATGCTGTTCTTCACAGCAGTCTGGGCCTGGGACAAGCCTTCAGCTTGCTTGTCCTTGGCATTCAGGGCCTTAACGGGTGTCGAGGCCCAAGATTCTGTCATTGCTCTATGCAGGCTGTCAATCTGGCACTGCAACTCAACAAAGTGTTTCTCCACACTCTGGCTCTTGCGCCCGGAGATGTGCTCATTATGCATCATCATATTCTGCTCCAACAAGATGGTGGTCGGAGATCTGTGGCTGTCATGCCAAACCAAGACAGACGGAGGTAAGTAACTGTCCTCCTGCTTCACGTGTCATCTGATCTCATCAAAGTTCACAAACACAGCATGCTGAGCATCAAGATCATGCCCCTACAACTGGTCCAACAGACCTCCCCAGTTACGAGGATCAGGACCCTTGTCCTTCAAATGATGGGACGGGCCAACATTGGATGGGATGGCCAGGCTGACTCGGGCAGGGGACAGGTAGATCAACTCGAACACCCAAAGGGAGGACAAAAATGGAACAGGGGATGTCTCACTGGTTACTATCTGTTCATTAAATTTTGCCATTCTATCATTTAAATGACCAAAATCAACATCCTTGTACAGATTCTGTCCACTGCCCTGTGAACTAAGATCACAATCTGTGGCTGCAGCTAAAGCTTCCTGCGCAATAGCCTGGTGGCAACGTGCAAAGCTCACCAATTCCGTGACACTCATGCCTTGCATGGCGCGTGACATGGTTGTGGAAGTCTGTGAAGCGACGGTTTGTTGGTCGCTGACAGATTGATCCTGACTAACCCATGAATGCATCACTGAAACGGGAGATCCACTGCGCTGATGATCCTCAAACTGGCTCTCAGCAGCAGTATCCAAATTGATCAAGGGGTTCTCTTGTCCATAGGACGGCTTCACTGGCAGAGCTGGGCTGTCTTGTGCCAACTGGGATAAACCCACTCGCGTCGGCATGGCTGGGGATGCAAGCATCCCAGGGAGACACGAGATTTTTGGGGCCGAGGCTGGAAGGGAAGGATGCCCCTCTAGCTCAGATTGCAGTGTGCCGCTCTGTCTTGAGCAGACATTCAGGGGTCTGGCAGCGTCCAATGCTGTCGGTTGTCCAGTCATGGAGACAGTGTTGGAGGGAGCAAGCACAGTGGGCACATTGGGTTCAAGGTCTGGGTAGCTGTGTTGGGACTTTGGGTGGAATTGGTGGTGCATGCCACCAGACATTGTTTGGGTTCAGGGGTAGTCAGTCGTTGAGTGCCAGTTCAAGGTAGGGAGGGTTCGGCACAGCAACAAATCTAGCAGGTGGAGCTCTCAAAAACATGTAATGGAAGCATTCAGAATGGAACGAGTTCCGCTACAAGGAGGAGGAGGGAGACAACACTGAGAGGGATAAGAACTAGATTGACTGAGGAAAAGGTCCCAAATAGGAGGTATCTACTTATATAGGGTGATCGGTGGTCAAAGCCAGGCGATCAAGTACCTCAGTCAGAAAAACAATCACATGACATCTGTAACGGGACATTCCTGCTACACCGACACATGAGAGATGGATTGTCAATCCAAAGAGACACAGATCAGCTCTAGTATTAACTACCATACTTGATCTACAGTCTACCTATCTATACTTACTACAATCATTCTTCTACACAAACAAATATCTACGATTGATCAAAGCCATCAAAAGTAATGGGGATGTGGTGATCAGCCGCCTAGTTGATGTATCCGTCACACCCTGTCAATGTTGTCAAAAGTTGCCTTGCTTGTCAAGGCACTCTCCAGACCCTTCATTCCACGAATCAGATGCAATAGTTCCGTATGTTGATCCGATCATGTGCCTATGCGAAATACACTGCCGCTTCAAGTGATTGTTCCAGAATCTGATCCGATCTGATTGTGCTTACTCTTGTAAGTATGTACGCATGCGTCCGCCGTGCTTTCATTTCCGCTGTGCGCTCTTTGGCGTGAGTCCGGCACAACACCGTGGTAGGTTGTTCCAAGCCCCGTCGTCAAGTACATTCTGTAGGAAGGCTGGTTTATGTATACAGGGACGTTTCTTTCGTACGTGCATTGGCTATCTGCTCCTTTCTGTTCATTCTACTTGTACATTCCCGCTCTTACCTCTTGATTTGAAATCAACCATAGCGTACCGTAATTGAGTAGCAAGGCATGATGTCGGCGGAGCCGACACTTTCTAGTAGTAATCGATCGATGATGGCATCACCGCGTGTGCCACACTGAGCGAAAAACTAGGACCGCTTGTTCGAGCCTCTTCTTGACCTTGTCTCGAGGTCGCCCCTCGAGTCTCAATGTCCGCAAACGCCACTCGAAAAACATGCTGTCAGTATGGGAGCTTTGGCTGCGTGTGACTGTGTGGTCCATCGCGCCGGGATCGTGCGACCTATGTGGCGCATCCAAATCCTCCGTCATCCGAGGGTCTTATTGAGCAAAAGAGCAGTGGTCTTTGGAGGTTGGAACGGACTAAATCCATTTGTCGTGAGCAGGAGTTCGAATCTGTCTCATGCTCCGACTCACCACGATGACTCGAAGCTATCGTGGGATCCAGGCCCAGAGCTCCCCGAGAGCTCCCCGAGGTCCTGCCCGTCTCACGTGCCAACGACATGAGACCCTGGGGAACCGGCGGGGCCACGTTATACATATCGCATAAAAACTATGGGCATCTCGCACAAGAGCACGTATCGCCCACCCACTCGCACCCACACGATCCAAACCTCCATGGACGCGACGTACTGCACCGCACCGCACCTCTCGTTCCACGAACACGATCGCATCGCTCGCTGGGCGCAAGATGTCGCTGCAGCGCACCCCAGCCCTAATGTCCTCGCAGCGCACCCCGCCGTCGGGTTCCGCGCACCCGCATGCTACGTTCCGTGCGCCTGCCCGTTCCTCTGCCTCAAACACGGCTTCGCACCATCGGCACGCGTCGTGCTGATGCGCGCGCCGGCGTCCGCGGCGTTCATCCCGCCCTCGGTGTCAAGGCAAGGCAAGCCTGCTCGCGTGCATACAGGCACCCCCCCTACCCAGTCTCATGTGCTCACCCGCTTCACATCAGGACCCACGCGGAATCAGCGCGCGCCGCCGCCCAGCCTCAGCCTCGATCCGTATGCCAGCGCACTCGGGGGCGGCGCAGCATCGCGCTGCAACATGCGGTAGCCAGTGGTGCAGTCGGCGGTATCAGATCGCGGTGGCTCGTCGGGTGCAACGTGTGCCTGCGGTCCACCACCATTCCCTCGGATATCGCCGCGTCCATGTGCGCCCAGACGTCTTCGAGCTGTCCCGACGCCACGGATTTCGTCTGTGTACGGGGACCCTTTGACAGGTACCGGTGGTGCGGCTGTGAAGGGAGGTTCTTGCCCGCTGCAGGAAGACTGCATATATCCACGAGTGTAGTGTGACTATCGATACCCACGCGGCAACGTTGAGTTTGTGCGTTCGAGTTTGTGCGTTCAAAAGCCGGGGATTGTTGGGCGTGTTCGCGTATCATGCCGACGACGCTGAGTGGGACAACGGAGCTCGTGTTGGTGAGGTCCACTTTGCGCTTTGCATAGTTCACGCTAGTTCGCCCAAGACGTTGTGACAGCGCTCGCACCACCAATGTGCTTATCGTCTGCCGTTTATGGCCATCGCCCAGAAAAAGCTCTTAGCGACATGGGCCACGAACGCCACTCTGCTGTAGATCATCGCTCCCCGCAGGCTGTTGGACGGCAAGAAGCATGCAACAGCAGTGGATCCGCTGGTGCTACTGCATATGGCTACGCGCTCGTGATCGGGCTCGAGCAACGGAGACCGAGTTGATGAGATACAGGAGCCGCAGTGCGAGTGACGCCAGGCCGTTCCTGGAGGGCCGGCTGATGACCGATCGATCTGCTGGCCTAACCGGTGTGCAGCTCCGCTCCCCCGCTTGCCGGCTCTCGAGAGTAAACATCTCCACCTTGCTCGCCCTGCTCCCCAGTCCTCAAGGAAGGAGATGGAGTTCATCGTGCGGCCTCGAGCGCTGCCAATCGCTAGCCATCATCCACGTGTCGCCGCACTGGCGCAACCTAGAGCCAGGGTCCAGACATATGCGACACCCGCGGGCGCGGTACTCGCGCAGACCCTGCCTTGTTCACAAAAGCCGCGATGCAGTGAGGCAAAACGCAGAAGACGCGTGGTGTGCGCTCGGAGCCACTGAGAAGCATCGGAACCCCAGTGGAATTCGAGCGATGACTGTACCGAAGGAGGCGTCTCGCTGCGCGGGCCTGACGCTGCGGCGGTAGTGCGCATCCAAGGCGCGTGTATCGTCGATCCGATAATGATCGACCACCGCGGCTTGTTTGGACGTAGCGGCGATCCTACCACCATACGTATATAGGCACTCGCGAGATGGAGGACTAGGCTTGCCGCATGGAGATGAGTGTTGTTGTGTATGGAAATTGTTCGGCGCATGGGACTCTTTGCCTGAAGCAAACCTGGCGAGGGGACGTGGAAACGAGGCACGACGAACGACCCTGCGCAGATCCCAGTGCCAGTCAAGATTCCGAAACGTCCGACCTCTGGGCGGTGGATGGGTGCACGTCAGGCCACGTCAAGGTTCAGACTGCTTTCTGCTGTCCATCGAGTATCCGGAGTTCGTACATAGAGACAGTGCATCCAGAGACACGTGCGAAGAAAGGTGTCGGGGGCTGTGTTGATTGAGCCCGTCCTGCTGGGCAATGACGCGGATGGCAGGCCCACAGACACCGACATTTTTGGCTTGCCGAAGTGGCTTGTGCCCGCGCCAAGTGGCTTTTTTTGGCTTGTGATGGGATTTGGCCTGTGAGTGATGCCATCAGGCTTGCAAGCCAAAATGCCGGCTTGCCAAGCCAACATTTTGGCTTGTGTCCGGCGAAATAAAATATGATTATTTCTATATCCTAGTACTTTCGCGGCTCCACAAGTGCTTTCGGGTGTTCGTTAGAGATACCTAAGGTCTATGGTCACATGAACGAGCTACGGTTTGCCGCAAAATCTCAACTTGGGTCGCCACGGCGCTGTAGAAGTTCAAACTTCAACTACAAGCCGGTGGGCTTTTTTGCTGAATCAAGTCAGAGACTATCTCTACCGTCGAATTATTCACAGTAGCGGTGAGCAATACTGTGTAAATTCTGAGTCGCGACTAATTTGTCTCCGAGCCCTGCACCACGGCCGAGCAGCTGCCCTGCTCAGTATGTTTAGTAGTTGATGGCCATGAATACACCCAGTTCATAGGCATTGTATTCTGCAGCATGAATCAAGGGTCCGACTCGGTGAAATCGCACAGAACAAGCACTATATTGTGCATATGTGACTTAAGAATATCCGTCTCTTGCAGGCTAGCAAGCACACTTCGATTGATTTCGGAGTAGGAAGCTCTCCAATTTTTGTAAAACCTATTGAAGACATATGTTATAGGCAGCCCTGAAAAGCGCGCAAGCTTCTTTACATTAAATAGACTCGCGTATGCGCTGATTCTAACGAATATTGCTTGGAGACAGAGTGTGAGCCGTAGAAATTCAAAAGGTGTGTAAGAGAGAGACGGGAAAGCACTCTAAATATGCCTGATCTAATCTGTCTTTTTGACACTTGAGAGCCTTAGAGGAGCTTTAAATATTGATTGGTAGAAAATTCTGCACAGAGAGGTTGTTGGACATAACAAAAATCGTGGATTCTATCCCGATCTGCAGTGCAAGTGGACAAATGATCGCATCAGGCAGAATGGCTTGCGATTGATGTCCCATGCATTGCTCGTTCAATAAATTATTACAATTCTTCGCACTTCTCAGGTCAATAGAGGGATCTGCCACAGAACTAAGGAATGCCTTCTGCCCACTGTTTTGCTCAGAAGAGCTGAGACATCCTCTTTTCTGTTGTCCAACCAGTGCAAGCTGTCATGTCTGATCACATCAAGCAGATTGGCTTGCAGTGGCTTGCCAGACGAGAGTGCCAATGCACTGATTGACACGTGGCAGTGTAAATCTTTTTTGCTTCTTTGGACGCACTCAAATGCTTGATCGACTGAAGCGCTGGTTGGGTTGGAGCCCTTCCTCTGAGCAAGCTCTCCCTTTCCAACAACAATTCCCACCTTACTATGGCACTCCTCCAGGAAATGGCCCATGGGGGCCCATGCATTGTACGATAATTTTTCCCTGTATCAAGTGAAAAGACAAACACATGAACAGATCCACCTCCGTTGAGCTTTTCGGGCCCATCAACTCAAAATGCTTGGTCTTATATGAGTCTGGGTCCAAACCCAAATATCCCCCCTTCTTCTGCTGCGTCGTCCGGCACAGCGTCTGGCACCCATTCACACCAACACACAGCAGCTGGACTTGGACCTGGAACGACAGGATCTGTGCATGGGATAGGATATCCCCCTGCCTGTGCGTCATTTTATTCTGTTCAGGGCTCTTATTAGCTCACATTAAAGCTAGTCCCATTCAATCCATGGTCGATGTATCCTGGTACTGCTTATCCCTATCCACCGTTTCCATTCTACCCAGCTCCCTTCCACAATCTGCCCGGTCATCCCTCTGCTGCACCGACTATTCTTCCGGCTCCAAATGCCACAATCCCGCACTCTGGGCCTGCCGCAAAAATCGAGGTCATTCCTGACTCGAGCACTGTGCCCTCAACTCGTTGGCCAGATGGCAACTTCAAAGTTGACTGTCTTGTTTCCGAGCTTCCGCCTGACTGGAATGACGAAGGATGGGCCTGGAGATCATCAGGCTCACGTAGACACGGTCTGCCATCCGACGCGTACTCGGTCAACAAGAATCGCTGCCTTGGAGTCTATCACTGCGCGTGTCGTGATTCGAGCGGAAAATTCAGTCGTCTGATCCGCCCAAAGAAGGAGAAGAGGTCACGAGAAGCCCAACAAAACGATCGGTGTCTCCAGTGCCGCACAAATCTGGTCCATATCCCGTGTGATGCATCATACACAACTTACAACTATGAAGACACCGACGCAGCCGAGCACATTGTCCGACAGCACGAAGGCTACCATTCCCATGCTCGACCACCCACGAAGCGGCTCAGTGCAGCAGAAACGCTTGAACTGGATGTCCAAGTCCGTCAGAACCCAACTCAGACTGCGCAACAGCTCCGGGTGGGCGCTGAATTGGGTCAGACTCCGCTTGGAGTCATCAATCCTGCTTTATTCGGCTCACGGAAGGCTCGCTCTGAGGTCGAACGGAGTAAAATTCGGCTCGGAATCGTTGCTCCAACTCGCTCAAGACAGAGTGGCTTTGATCTGGTCGACACAATGTCCAGCCTGCGTGATATGTTCCAGACACCGTTTATCATCAAGTCAGAGCTCATCGGCGGTCAGTTTGTGGTCATGCAAACGCCATTCATGCGGGATGTGCTTCTGCGCGATCAGATTGAATCTTGGTCGGAAGAGAGACTCGAAGTGGAAAGTGGACGCCATGGTCTTCCAACAGACGGATGCCATGACTTTTTTAAACGCGGTGTCTTGCTTACATCCCTGGTATTCTCCCCAACACTATTGCGATGGTGTCCCGTGCTCTACACGTGGATCGGGCAACTCGACGAGGCACATCACAAGTCGCATTTTGATCAACTCCTTCCGGCCATAGCAGAGGTCTGTATTCGAAGTCTGGGCCACGAATTCAATCCACAGTTATTCAGCGCGGTGTGTCCGATGATCTGTCACCTGCATACCTCCTCATGTGTCCATCTCTCAGGTCGTTGATTTTTCGGCTGCACAAAGAAATGGATTCATTTCCTCGTTCGTCGAATTCATGTGCGCCCGAATCCCCGGATGGAGCAGTCTCAGTGATGAGGCTCGAGCGGTACAGAAGAGTGCGCTTCGAAAGCAAGCGGAACAGCTCTTAAAGGGCTGTGTTGTCCACTGGAAACGATCGCTGCACAAGATCAAGCAAGTGGTGGGCGTCAAATATTCCTATCGCTTTGACAGCCTGGTTCGAGTGCTCGAAAGCGAGCACACCTCTTCGGAGGAATTTCTCGATGCAGTCGAGAGCATTCGTAACGAGTTCCCGGAAATTCGGCCATGGTTGTCCTGGTGGACTCTCGAAGGAAACGGTCAACTCATTTTTCCAAGCATGGCTTCAATGCCGGCTCAGCTTCGTGCTCGCATTCCAGATTCAACAAACGCTGCGGAATCAGCTCACTGGGTCTTATATCGTGCGGCCGGAACTGGCCATGATCTCGTCGAAGGGATTCGACGCTTGTACGTCTTTTCACGTGAGACGGAACAGCTTCACAAAGCAATTCTCAGTGCGCTTTCTATCGAATTTTCCGACAGCCTCACTGACAAGCGTACAGGCGGACACGTTGATCCAAAGTTCGGCGGAACAAAACCGCAGCCAAAATCACATATTCAGTGGCATGAGAACGATGGCCGTGCTCCAGATACACGGGCCCGACTCGACGCTCTGAACCGCCTGGAAGCAGAGAGTACAGTCAGAGCTGCGGATCTCACACAGGATGAACGATTCACAGCGTGCAATATGCCCGAGGCAATCAAAAAAAACGCAGATCAGCCGCCGTTGGTCTCCCCCTCCTCTCTTGTTCTCCAATCGTATAAATGGGACTCAATGTCCTGTTTCTTGGACGCTTCGCTCGAGGCATTGTACCGATCTTTTACTTCGCTTTCGACGACTCAAAGGAGCGACCTCATGGCTCTAATCCGCACCGATGCTGCCTCAACTGGTCTGCGGGACATTTTCGAACATTTCTGGACTCGTGGTATTGCTTCTGGCGAATGGAGCTCGTCGTACCTGCATGGGAAGAATTTCCGCAACACATCAAGGCCCTCGATGCATTGGTTGAATGCGTGTCTGTATTTTGGGCAACAGCGCGCCAAACTTCTGCTGAGCAGGATATGGGATGGGGGGGATAGAGTTGACGGACAACCAGGATGTTGTCGAACTTGGATGAATCAGATGTTACGGGTTTGTTTTTCTGACTTTTGGATAGATATATTAGCTGAACTTGTGTCTTAGATCGATACAACTCTCGCCATCCAGAATCAATTTGGGATTGGATATCAGGTTCATTTTACCTGCAAGGCCCATATGCGTCACCAAACCACGCAATTCATCCGCCCGAAAATCGAGTTTGGTCTTCATCGCGATGATATATTGATTGCACAGGCCTCCTCTGACGGACGGGCCACACTTCAAGACTATTTTCTCCATTTCATTCCTCGGGATTCATTTCAGGGAAAGACTGCACAACCGTTACATCAATCCCTGCCCATTCACTGCGAGGACGGTTCTCATTGCGCCTCAGATTCCACAGTGACATCCATCGTCGTCGAATTTCCTCTCATTCTGCGCATCGGGACTGGTATGTTGGCAGACAACCCAAACGAAAATGGGTTTTGGCCCTGGAAAGGAGTCGACTGTCAATGCCCTGTCTTTCCACAAGAGTTCACTATTGGGCCCGTGAACTACAAGCTCGTATCGGCTGTCAAGTTTGTTCCTGGTGGTGTTGGGCACTTTATTTCGACGGTCGTCATCAATGATGTGGTGTACTCATACGACGATACACGCCATAACGGTACTCTGCAAAAGATAGGGCCGCTCTCCGACATCACAAATTGGGACTTTTCGACGAACTATGTGATCTATGTGCGGACGACCAAGGAATCGGTTTGTAATTGAAGATTTTCCGGGCTGCCCGTGGTACTCACAGCGCCACAGAGACTCAACCGATCTGTCGAAGAGATTGAACAAGACTATACCAAGATACCGTCTATCGATTCTCAAAGCAATCCTTACCACATCGTCGATCCGACTCCTGTTCCAGATCGACCGACGACTCCCACGCGAGCCATGCCAGATTGGTTGAAGCACCACGAAACCCCACATGCGTCCAGCGACAATCAGAGCAGCGATTTCGAGATGTTGGGAGCAATCACGTCTTCATGGGATGAGCTCGAGGTCGAGCGAATGATCGCAGAGACGCTGGATCCGGTGCAGGCGTCGCCAGCTCACATCGGAAAACACCTGCTGAGTAGTATGGACAAATCGCCTTCCCCACCGCCAGCGATCGCCACATTATCTGGAGCAGATGAAGCTGATTCGGACTCGAGCGACTCGGAGTTAGAAATGGACTCGGGGAAAGCTGTCGTGGAAGAGGGCAGTACGCTTCGATGCGATGGGTGCTCAGAGCAAGCTCAGTTTGCAAAACAATCAAAGCGGGCTAATGGCGGTCTGGTGCCCTGTGAATCATGTCGCCAGTGCTCTCACATCAGCTGCCTGGATTCCGACACGAATTGGCTCTTGGATCGTGTGCGATTCATCTGCAAGTTGTGCGATAATTCGCACCCAGGCTCGATTCTGGCTGTTCCTTATCCAGCGACCAACGATCCGGACGATTCTGGGAGCAGGTTTTATCCTGCAGTTCTTGTTCGGCGTCATGTTGAGCGACGAGGGCAGTCAGACGAGTACGAATTCAGCTGGTCCGAGTTCCTGGATGGCGTTCTGTTCAACGCTCCAGATCGACCAACTCAGCTGGATAACTTCTTTCTGCCTCATGCAACTTTCGTTCGCTACTCAAATATGATTCATAAGGGACGCAAAAAAGTCCCAGACTCAAAGGTGCGCCACTTATAGGATTATTCCAATAATACTAATCAAAAATGGCTTACAAAGATAGGGACATATCGCGTCCCATTCTACCTCAATCCGAAGGCGGAGATCCATGTGAACTCGAACCTTGCTCAAGTGTTTTCCGCTGCTATCCCGGTCGTTGGCAATGTCCTCCGATTGTGGGACCAGCGTCATGTGGTTATCAAAGCCTGGATTCGCTACAGCAGGGAGCAACGAAAAAAGAAGAAACGCCTCGGCCCCGATTCTTGGGCGTCGAAGCTGGGTCTGATATTCACTGAAGAACTCGATCAGACCCTCGGGTATGCACTGTCCCGGCTGATGATCCATACGACGTTGGCTGACATACCTTTCCATGAACGCAATGAGCGCGTGCAGAGCGTCGGTTGCGTTCTCTTCCACCTCCTCTTCGTCCAGCGGGAGCTTGGAGAGCCCTTTGACGCTGGCGGTGCTTCTTTCGACGATCTCCGCTCGGAATCCATTCTGGCTTGTCCCCCAAAGCACGTGGATGCGGTCGAAACAGCGATGTTCCAAATCTGGCGGGTCCGCTGGAATACGGTGGATGAGTTGGGGGAGGCGCGAAGAAAATTCCGTGCAAATCATTGCACATATGATGCGCACCATACTTGGCCGGTCTATCACCGGGTTAGTGGTGCCGCGCCGCTAGATGCAGTCGTGGCAGTGATTCCAGAGCACCTGCGTAGCGAGGAGGAACAAGAGCCCGCACCCCCGGAGCGACCGAAGCCGAAGCCGCGCAAGAAGGTTGCGACTGTGGCTAGCGTCTGCAAACGCTCACGCGCCGAGGAAGAACAAGAACCCGCAGCCCCGGAGCGACCGAAGCTACGCAAAGACATTGTGACTGTGGCCAGCGTCCGCAAACGCTCACGCGCCGAGGAAGAACAAGAGGAGGATCTCCCCGCTCAGAAACGACCAAAGCGGCAGCAGCGCAAGAGGGCTGCTGCGCCGGCCAGCAAGACCCCAGCGCCGCCTCAAAAGAAGGCTCGAGTGACTCCGGGAAGAAAAAAGAGGGTTTAGATGATAACTACGTACTACAGCCCATGCGCGATAATAAAGGGAGGTCTAGCGTGTCAGTCCCGACGTCATTGATAGCATTGTGGGTGGTGTAAGAGATTGAGGAGACAGCCGTTGAGCACTGGCACCAGTAAAGTTGACTTTGATTGAGCGCGAGGATGCGAAGTGAGCTGCAGCGGCGGAAGCGAGCCGAAGGACGAGCATGATATTTCCGTCAGCGAAAGTGATGCACAAGCCAAGCCCACGCCCAAGCCACGCAAGCCAAGCCCGATCAGCCAAATTCAAACTCCGACATGCGGGGCAAGCCACTTACGCAAGCTGGTATGTGAAGTCTGGTCGCATCATGATCAACATCAGATGTGCACGGACATCCCGTCATGCAAGTACTCTCCATGACATTCTAGACACCGTAGAAGTTAGGTTTAAAATTCTCGCGTACATCGCTGAAGCACCAACCAAGGCTGAGCTGGACCATTTCTTTGAGCACTCAGCTCCAACACTCCGAGCCTTGACTGCTGTGTGGAGAGCACGTGTCCAGACCTCAGCTGATCGCGACGCGGAATGAACCATGCGGATCTGATCCCGCGCGGAAGCCTGTCTCGGAACGATCTCAACTGACGGTCCAATGGCATCGAAAACCGGGACAGGAGTCTTGAGACTAGCAAGCCTCTTCTTCCTCTCGATGACCATGCCTACTGTGCCCTTCGTGAAATATGTCCTGGGCGCCTCGGTAGCTGGTGTTTCTCATGACATTTCCATCGCATCGCTGATGGCGGGTGCAGGAACTCGCCGTGAGCGCCGACCTAATAATGCTGGGTATTCTGCTGGGCCAATTCGCGACGTACATCTCGCACGGGTTCCACCGCACCGACTTCCTGGCACTGCGGATATGGGTGGCGGGGCTGTTTGTGCTGATGCTGTTCAAAAGCCTGTATGGCCTGTGAGTGCTTTGGCTCGCGTGCCCGTGTGTGCAGTGTGTGCTGTGCTGGCTGACACATCGCCGAGTGCCCTGATCCACATCCAAGTGACTACGAATTTTCTGGATCTGGAGGGCGCGCTGCGACTCGGGGCGAGCACCGCAGCGGGGCTCGGGTACACGTGGGTCATGCTGTCGGTGTACTACGTCGAGCTGTTCTTTTGCTGGAGACTGTGGGTATGTACGTTTCTGGTAGCCGACGAACCCTGCTGAATACTCCCGGAGCAGACCTTATCGAGGCGTCTGTGGATCCCCGGCGCTCTCGCGCTCATCTTCACCGCTGCGATTATCTGCGGGATATTCTCCAATTCGCTCGTGGGCCCCAAGTTGGGCCACATTCGCGAATGGGGTTCGCTCTCAGCCTCAATCCATTTCAACTGCTAACGCTGCTTCCAGACGCGGCCTATCTGATCGCTGTGTTTGTCGGGGACACTCTCCTCAGCGGGTCGATCATCTACGTCCTGCATGTGAGTCGTCCTGGCACTGCCCGCCCGCGTGACGTGCACCGGCTCACAAAGCGACAGGGCCAATCGCGACAGGTCACGCGCAACACCGCCAGCGTGCTGCAGCGCATCGCGATCCTCACCATCCTCTGCGCGGCACCCGCGGCAGTCTGCTCGCTCGTGCTGATCGTCAGCAGCCAGCTCGTCGCCAATTGGGTCAGCGGCGGCGGCGCGCTCGCCGTGGCCATCGTGTCGGAGCACCTGCTCCCGAAGCTGTACGCGTTTTCGGCGATGTGGACGCTGAATGCGCGCAAGGCGATCAGGGCGGAGCTGGACGGCGCACCCGGCTGGATGATCACGCAGCCGTTTCCGGACACGGACAGCATTGGGAGGGGGGCTGATAGGTACCCAGGACAGCCGCGCGGCATTCGAAGCATGAGTCCGTTGTCCGATGTATCTGTCAAGTTCGGAGCCCCGAAATCGCCCGTGGTTGCGGTCCCCATGGGGAGGGACGAGGTGGCTGGGGATGATGACGTACTGCACTCAGAGGAAGAGGGAGAGGTCAAGAGGAGGGATATATGAGCCGTGCTGAAGCTGCATAATGCCCGCGTTTTATCCAATGTATACAGTGCTCAAGTGCCTTATAAGAAGTGTGATTCATGTAGACGGTCTCATTCGAAAAGGCGAGTAAGTATATTGCGTGTTTCAACGCAAAGGCGCATTCCTCCTCAGGCTTTCCAACTGCACTCGTATTTCATGAGCTTACTATTTACAATGTGCTGTTCACGTGTGTAGAGAGTCTCATCAACGTTCGTCCAGTACTGCTGCTCGAGGGGATCTGACAGAAGCGAGGCCTGCGTTCAGTTCCAAATAACCTTCCTGTATGTTCGTTCAGAAGACCGCGTTCGACTCCAACCCAACAAAGACCATATTCCTCCCATCTTCCCACCGCTCGGTATGCCTGCGGATGTGCTCAATGTACGAGACGACATCGGGATTCGATTCAGAATCGACCGGATAGATGTACCGGAATGCCTCGAGCGCGCGATAGGCCGCCTGGCCACCGGGGCCGCCGCGGGCAGCGAAGAGGCTGTCGAGCACGTCCAGCTGCACGAAGCTCGTTGGATCCCCAAAAGTCAGTTCCCGCAGGTCAGGCAGGACGTGCTGGCGCGGTGAACCGAGCTCGAGGATGAGGTCGCTCTCGTCCCCGGTCCGCGTGTCCATGTCGCGCACGCGCAGGACCTGAACGGACGGCGCCCCGAGGGCGACGTTGAGCACCACGGCGAGGTTCACCCGGAAGAAGCAGAGGGTGTGCAGGAGGGAGGCGTTGAGCGTCTCGGCCAGGCGCCGCAGTGTGAAGCAGTCGCCGCCGCCGCCGCCGCCGCCGCCCTCGTGCGGGCCCTCGCCCCCCGGATCCGTCCGCAGCTCGCTGATCTCGAGCGTCTGCAGCGAGGGCGCGGAGAGGCTCCGCGCAAGCCACGCAGCGGGGCACTCGACCGCCGGGAGCGTCAGTTTCAGCGTCAGGAGCTTCGCGGCGTTCTTGTGCGCGACGATGTCCGCGGCCGCCGGCGTGCTCGGCGGCTCCGCGCCGGAGTCAATCAGCTCGAGCGAGACGAGGTTGGGCAGGCGCTTGTGGAGGATGAGGTCCTGGTACGTCGTGCGCGCCTCGTGGACCTCGAGCGTGAAGTGCGTGATCTGCCGCCACGCGAACGCCACGTGCACGTCCTCGGGGTGGCCGTTGCGCCCCGGCGTGACGCGGGGCGTCCCGTCGTGCAGGGGCACCCACCAGAGCGCGTGCGCGAACACGCGCAGGCGCACGAGGCGGGGCGCGACGGCGATGAACTCGGAGCCCCAGGAGTGGTGGATCAAGACTTCTTCTTCTTCTTCGCGGGACCACAGATCGAGCGTCAGCGACTCGAGGCGGGGCAGGTCGGGGATGAACTCCGTGCAGCGGCGGAAGATGGTCGCGGCCTCGCTCGGCGCCGCGATCTCGAGCGTGCGCCATTGCTCAGCGTGCCCCAGAAGGTTGACGAACAGCTCCACGAGGCGCCGGGGATCCGTGCGCGGCAGTCGCCCGCTCCCGCTGCGACTGTGCTGCTCGAGCAGCACCGAGATCGACAGCGGCAGGTCTCGCGTGCGCGACAGCCGCAGGATCAGATGCGCGAGGAATGCGGTCCATTGCTGGTCCGACACATGGGTGGGTGGTTGGAGATGGATGTGCGTCCAGAGCGCGGGCGTCGAGAGGGCGATGCTGCGCCAATGCCGACATACGGTAGCGAGCAGCGATGGATCTGGATCGCACTCCTCCACGTAGTGGAAGAATATCGCTTCTGTGAGCTCATATGGAAGGTCCAGGGCCGGAGGGCATGATACGGGCTTAACAGCTTGAGGATGTTCAATGTAGCCGTGCTTCAATGCGCGCTTGAGTCGGGAGAGCAGCCGGGACGGGCGAGACGTTCGCGTCGACATTGTTGTGTGAGAGATCTGCTTGGCCGACGGGAGAAGCGCCGGGCAATAGTGCGGCTCAAGGCTGACAAGGGGAGATCACGACTACAGCTATGTGCATAGAATGGGAATGTCTACAAGGGCCGTCGACAACCATCTTCCTGGGCTGTTTTCGTCACCACCCGTTCAGCAGCCGTCATCTGCTTTGTCGCCTGCAGACTTCACATACCAGCTTGCGTAAGTGGCTTGCCCCGCATGTCGGAGTTTGAATTTGGCTGATCGGGCTTGGCTTGCGTGGCTTGGGCGTGGGCTTGGCTTGTGCATCACTTTCGCTGACGGAAATATCATGCTCGTCCTTCGGCTCGCTTCCGCCGCTGCAGCTCACTTCGCATCCTCGCGCTCAATCAAAGTCAACTTTACTGGTGCCAGTGCTCAACGGCTGTCTCCTCAATCTCTTACACCACCCACAATGCTATCAATGACGTCGGGACTGACACGCTAGACCTCCCTTTATTATCGCGCATGGGCTGTAGTACGTAGTTATCATCTAAACCCTCTTTTTTCTTCCCGGAGTCACTCGAGCCTTCTTTTGAGGCGGCGCTGGGGTCTTGCTGGCCGGCGCAGCAGCCCTCTTGCGCTGCTGCCGCTTTGGTCGTTTCTGAGCGGGGAGATCCTCCTCTTGTTCTTCCTCGGCGCGTGAGCGTTTGCGGACGCTGGCCACAGTCACAATGTCTTTGCGTAGCTTCGGTCGCTCCGGGGCTGCGGGTTCTTGTTCTTCCTCGGCGCGTGAGCGTTTGCAGACGCTAGCCACAGTCGCAACCTTCTTGCGCGGCTTCGGCTTCGGTCGCTCCGGGGGTGCGGGCTCTTGTTCCTCCTCGCTACGCAGGTGCTCTGGAATCACTGCCACGACTGCATCTAGCGGCGCGGCACCACTAACCCGGTGATAGACCGGCCAAGTATGGTGCGCATCATATGTGCAATGATTTGCACGGAATTTTCTTCGCGCCTCCCCCAACTCATCCACCGTATTCCAGCGGACCCGCCAGATTTGGAACATCGCTGTTTCGACCGCATCCACGTGCTTTGGGGGACAAGCCAGAATGGATTCCGAGCGGAGATCGTCGAAAGAAGCACCGCCAGCGTCAAAGGGCTCTCCAAGCTCCCGCTGGACGAAGAGGAGGTGGAAGAGAACGCAACCGACGCTCTGCACGCGCTCATTGCGTTCATGGAAAGGTATGTCAGCCAACGTCGTATGGATCATCAGCCGGGACAGTGCATACCCGAGGGTCTGATCGAGTTCTTCAGTGAATATCAGACCCAGCTTCGACGCCCAAGAATCGGGGCCGAGGCGTTTCTTCTTTTTTCGTTGCTCCCTGCTGTAGCGAATCCAGGCTTTGATAACCACATGACGCTGGTCCCACAATCGGAGGACATTGCCAACGACCGGGATAGCAGCGGAAAACACTTGAGCAAGGTTCGAGTTCACATGGATCTCCGCCTTCGGATTGAGGTAGAATGGGACGCGATATGTCCCTATCTTTGTAAGCCATTTTTGATTAGTATTATTGGAATAATCCTATAAGTGGCGCACCTTTGAGTCTGGGACTTTTTTGCGTCCCTTATGAATCATATTTGAGTAGCGAACGAAAGTTGCATGAGGCAGAAAGAAGTTATCCAGCTGAGTTGGTCGATCTGGAGCGTTGAACAGAACGCCATCCAGGAACTCGGACCAGCTGAATTCGTACTCGTCTGACTGCCCTCGTCGCTCAACATGACGCCGAACAAGAACTGCAGGATAAAACCTGCTCCCAGAATCGTCCGGATCGTTGGTCGCTGGATAAGGAACAGCCAGAATCGAGCCTGGGTGCGAATTATCGCACAACTTGCAGATGAATCGCACACGATCCAAGAGCCAATTCGTGTCGGAATCCAGGCAGCTGATGTGAGAGCACTGGCGACATGATTCACAGGGCACCAGACCGCCATTAGCCCGCTTTGATTGTTTTGCAAACTGAGCTTGCTCTGAGCACCCATCGCATCGAAGCGTACTGCCCTCTTCCACGACAGCTTTCCCCGAGTCCATTTCTAACTCCGAGTCGCTCGAGTCCGAATCAGCTTCATCTGCTCCAGATAATGTGGCGATCGCTGGCGGTGGGGAAGGCGATTTGTCCATACTACTCAGCAGGTGTTTTCCGATGTGAGCTGGCGACGCCTGCACCGGATCCAGCGTCTCTGCGATCATTCGCTCGACCTCGAGCTCATCCCATGAAGACGTGATTGCTCCCAACATCTCGAAATCGCTGCTCTGATTGTCGCTGGACGCATGTGGGGTTTCGTGGTGCTTCAACCAATCTGGCATGGCTCGCGTGGGAGTCGTCGGTCGATCTGGAACAGGAGTCGGATCGACGATGTGGTAAGGATTGCTTTGAGAATCGATAGACGGTATCTTGGTATAGTCTTGTTCAATCTCTTCGACAGATCGGTTGAGTCTCTGTGGCGCTGTGAGTACCACGGGCAGCCCGGAAAATCTTCAATTACAAACCGATTCCTTGGTCGTCCGCACATAGATCACATAGTTCGTCGAAAAGTCCCAATTTGTGATGTCGGAGAGCGGCCCTATCTTTTGCAGAGTACCGTTATGGCGTGTATCGTCGTATGAGTACACCACATCATTGATGACGACCGTCGAAATAAAGTGCCCAACACCACCAGGAACAAACTTGACAGCCGATACGAGCTTGTAGTTCACGGGCCCAATAGTGAACTCTTGTGGAAAGACAGGGCATTGACAGTCGACTCCTTTCCAGGGCCAAAACCCATTTTCGTTTGGGTTGTCTGCCAACATACCAGTCCCGATGCGCAGAATGAGAGGAAATTCGACGACGATGGATGTCACTGTGGAATCTGAGGCGCAATGAGAACCGTCCTCGCAGTGAATGGGCAGGGATTGATGTAACGGTTGTGCAGTCTTTCCCTGAAATGAATCCCGAGGAATGAAATGGAGAAAATAGTCTTGAAGTGTGGCCCGTCCGTCAGAGGAGGCCTGTGCAATCAATATATCATCGCGATGAAGACCAAACTCGATTTTCGGGCGGATGAATTGCGTGGTTTGGTGACGCATATGGGCCTTGCAGGTAAAATGAACCTGATATCCAATCCCAAATTGATTCTGGATGGCGAGAGTTGTATCGATCTAAGACACAAGTTCAGCTAATATATCTATCCAAAAGTCAGAAAAACAAACCCGTAACATCTGATTCATCCAAGTTCGACAACATCCTGGTTGTCCGTCAACTCTATCCCCCCCATCCCATATCCTGCTCAGCAGAAGTTTGGCGCGCTGTTGCCCAAAATACAGACACGCATTCAACCAATGCATCGAGGGCCTTGATGTGTTGCGGAAATTCTTCCCATGCAGGTACGACGAGCTCCATTCGCCAGAAGCAATACCACGAGTCCAGAAATGTTCGAAAATGTCCCGCAGACCAGTTGAGGCAGCATCGGTGCGGATTAGAGCCATGAGGTCGCTCCTTTGAGTCGTCGAAAGCGAAGTAAAAGATCGGTACAATGCCTCGAGCGAAGCGTCCAAGAAACAGGACATTGAGTCCCATTTATACGATTGGAGAACAAGAGAGGAGGGGGAGACCAACGGCGGCTGATCTGCGTTTTTTTTGATTGCCTCGGGCATATTGCACGCTGTGAATCGTTCATCCTGTGTGAGATCCGCAGCTCTGACTGTACTCTCTGCTTCCAGGCGGTTCAGAGCGTCGAGTCGGGCCCGTGTATCTGGAGCACGGCCATCGTTCTCATGCCACTGAATATGTGATTTTGGCTGCGGTTTTGTTCCGCCGAACTTTGGATCAACGTGTCCGCCTGTACGCTTGTCAGTGAGGCTGTCGGAAAATTCGATAGAAAGCGCACTGAGAATTGCTTTGTGAAGCTGTTCCGTCTCACGTGAAAAGACGTACAAGCGTCGAATCCCTTCGACGAGATCATGGCCAGTTCCGGCCGCACGATATAAGACCCAGTGAGCTGATTCCGCAGCGTTTGTTGAATCTGGAATGCGAGCACGAAGCTGAGCCGGCATTGAAGCCATGCTTGGAAAAATGAGTTGACCGTTTCCTTCGAGAGTCCACCAGGACAACCATGGCCGAATTTCCGGGAACTCGTTACGAATGCTCTCGACTGCATCGAGAAATTCCTCCGAAGAGGTGTGCTCGCTTTCGAGCACTCGAACCAGGCTGTCAAAGCGATAGGAATATTTGACGCCCACCACTTGCTTGATCTTGTGCAGCGATCGTTTCCAGTGGACAACACAGCCCTTTAAGAGCTGTTCCGCTTGCTTTCGAAGCGCACTCTTCTGTACCGCTCGAGCCTCATCACTGAGACTGCTCCATCCGGGGATTCGGGCGCACATGAATTCGACGAACGAGGAAATGAATCCATTTCTTTGTGCAGCCGAAAAATCAACGACCTGAGAGATGGACACATGAGGAGGTATGCAGGTGACAGATCATCGGACACACCGCGCTGAATAACTGTGGATTGAATTCGTGGCCCAGACTTCGAATACAGACCTCTGCTATGGCCGGAAGGAGTTGATCAAAATGCGACTTGTGATGTGCCTCGTCGAGTTGCCCGATCCACGTGTAGAGCACGGGACACCATCGCAATAGTGTTGGGGAGAATACCAGGGATGTAAGCAAGACACCGCGTTTAAAAAAGTCATGGCATCCGTCTGTTGGAAGACCATGGCGTCCACTTTCCACTTCGAGTCTCTCTTCCGACCAAGATTCAATCTGATCGCGCAGAAGCACATCCCGCATGAATGGCGTTTGCATGACCACAAACTGACCGCCGATGAGCTCTGACTTGATGATAAACGGTGTCTGGAACATATCACGCAGGCTGGACATTGTGTCGACCAGATCAAAGCCACTCTGTCTTGAGCGAGTTGGAGCAACGATTCCGAGCCGAATTTTACTCCGTTCGACCTCAGAGCGAGCCTTCCGTGAGCCGAATAAAGCAGGATTGATGACTCCAAGCGGAGTCTGACCCAATTCAGCGCCCACCCGGAGCTGTTGCGCAGTCTGAGTTGGGTTCTGACGGACTTGGACATCCAGTTCAAGCGTTTCTGCTGCACTGAGCCGCTTCGTGGGTGGTCGAGCATGGGAATGGTAGCCTTCGTGCTGTCGGACAATGTGCTCGGCTGCGTCGGTGTCTTCATAGTTGTAAGTTGTGTATGATGCATCACACGGGATATGGACCAGATTTGTGCGGCACTGGAGACACCGATCGTTTTGTTGGGCTTCTCGTGACCTCTTCTCCTTCTTTGGGCGGATCAGACGACTGAATTTTCCGCTCGAATCACGACACGCGCAGTGATAGACTCCAAGGCAGCGATTCTTGTTGACCGAGTACGCGTCGGATGGCAGACCGTGTCTACGTGAGCCTGATGATCTCCAGGCCCATCCTTCGTCATTCCAGTCAGGCGGAAGCTCGGAAACAAGACAGTCAACTTTGAAGTTGCCATCTGGCCAACGAGTTGAGGGCACAGTGCTCGAGTCAGGAATGACCTCGATTTTTGCGGCAGGCCCAGAGTGCGGGATTGTGGCATTTGGAGCCGGAAGAATAGTCGGTGCAGCAGAGGGATGACCGGGCAGATTGTGGAAGGGAGCTGGGTAGAATGGAAACGGTGGATAGGGATAAGCAGTACCAGGATACATCGACCATGGATTGAATGGGACTAGCTTTAATGTGAGCTAATAAGAGCCCTGAACAGAATAAAATGACGCACAGGCAGGGGGATATCCTATCCCATGCACAGATCCTGTCGTTCCAGGTCCAAGTCCAGCTGCTGTGTGTTGGTGTGAATGGGTGCCAGACGCTGTGCCGGACGACGCAGCAGAAGAAGGGGGGATATTTGGGTTTGGACCCAGACTCATATAAGACCAAGCATTTTGAGTTGATGGGCCCGAAAAGCTCAACGGAGGTGGATCTGTTCATGTGTTTGTCTTTTCACTTGATACAGGGAAAAATTATCGTACAATGCATGGGCCCCCATGGGCCATTTCCTGGAGGAGTGCCATAGTAAGGTGGGAATTGTTGTTGGAAAGGGAGAGCTTGCTCAGAGGAAGGGCTCCAACCCAACCAGCGCTTCAGTCGATCAAGCATTTGAGTGCGTCCAAAGAAGCAAAAAAGATTTACACTGCCACGTGTCAATCAGTGCATTGGCACTCTCGTCTGGCAAGCCACTGCAAGCCAATCTGCTTGATGTGATCAGACATGACAGCTTGCACTGGTTGGACAACAGAAAAGAGGATGTCTCAGCTCTTCTGAGCAAAACAGTGGGCAGAAGGCATTCCTTAGTTCTGTGGCAGATCCCTCTATTGACCTGAGAAGTGCGAAGAATTGTAATAATTTATTGAACGAGCAATGCATGGGACATCAATCGCAAGCCATTCTGCCTGATGCGATCATTTGTCCACTTGCACTGCAGATCGGGATAGAATCCACGATTTTTGTTATGTCCAACAACCTCTCTGTGCAGAATTTTCTACCAATCGATATTTAAAGCTCCTCTAAGGCTCTCAAGTGTCAAAAAGACAGATTAGATCAGGCATATTTAGAGTGCTTTCCCGTCTCTCTCTTACACACCTTTTGAATTTCTACGGCTCACACTCTGTCTCCAAGCAATATTCGTTAGAATCAGCGCATACGCGAGTCTATTTAATGTAAAGAAGCTTGCGCGCTTTTCAGGGCTGCCTATAACATATGTCTTCAATAGGTTTTACAAAAATTGGAGAGCTTCCTACTCCGAAATCAATCGAAGTGTGCTTGCTAGCCTGCAAGAGACGGATATTCTTAAGTCACATATGCACAATATAGTGCTTGTTCTGTGCGATTTCACCGAGTCGGACCCTTGATTCATGCTGCAGAATACAATGCCTATGAACTGGGTGTATTCATGGCCATCAACTACTAAACATACTGAGCAGGGCAGCTGCTCGGCCGTGGTGCAGGGCTCGGAGACAAATTAGTCGCGACTCAGAATTTACACAGTATTGCTCACCGCTACTGTGAATAATTCGACGGTAGAGATAGTCTCTGACTTGATTCAGCAAAAAAGCCCACCGGCTTGTAGTTGAAGTTTGAACTTCTACAGCGCCGTGGCGACCCAAGTTGAGATTTTGCGGCAAACCGTAGCTCGTTCATGTGACCATAGACCTTAGGTATCTCTAACGAACACCCGAAAGCACTTGTGGAGCCGCGAAAGTACTAGGATATAGAAATAATCATATTTTATTTCGCCGGACACAAGCCAAAATGTTGGCTTGGCAAGCCGGCATTTTGGCTTGCAAGCCTGATGGCATCACTCACAGGCCAAATCCCATCACAAGCCAAAAAAAGCCACTTGGCGCGGGCACAAGCCACTTCGGCAAGCCAAAAATGTCGGTGTCATGATGCGACTGATGTCGCGTCATGACACAGCATGCGCTGCAACGAGGGACTTGGGGATCCGTCCAACGCATTACCTAGGACGATTAGACGTACGCTGGCACCAACTTTGACATCAGCGGATACACATCTTAGGCCGAGATTTACTTGCCTCTGCAGTGAGTGAGAACAGATGCTGCATCGAAGGAGCGCCATGGTCGTCTGTACCGTAGGCCCGACTTTCGAGCCATCCCGGGGACACTTTCATCCGGCTGAGACTAATATGCATCAGCCTGCAGGCAGAGTTCCCCGCCCGACCAACTGCTCAAGCAGATCCGCCTTCCTCAGCAACAGCGCGATCCCGCGCCGCCGCTCGCGCTCCAAATCAGCGGCTGTCGGCGACGCATCCGTCCGGGGCCGTCGAGCCCGCGCCGCGTCCCTCTCGCGCTCGAACGCAGCGATCTCGGCGTCTTCGTCAACGAGGCCGATGTACCCCGTGTATCGCACGCTGGGTGACGACGATGGGCTGACATAGCTGGCCGTCGGTGATGCGTCGTTTGCGTCGGGTGGGTGGGGAGAGTGTGAGTGGCGAGGAGACGGGATGGCGCTGGGGGTGCTGGTGCTGGTGGAGGTGGAGGTGCGACGGCGTGGACTGGCGGATTTGCTTGGGGACGGAACTTCGTGGATACAATGAGCATCTGTGTCGCTGAGCATCCGCAGTGACATGTCGGAGACATCGTGGATACAGCGTGGGTGCGGAGGCGAGGATTGCAAGGGGGTGGGAAGATGTGCAAGCTCGTCAAATTCTCTCTGCCCTTCCTCCTCTTCTTCTTCCTCGTCCTCGGCATCTTCATCTGCATCCACCTCCCCAAAACTCGTCACGTCCGTCACATTGGTCTCCACCACACTCGTCTCGGCCCAACTCGATGGCGGCACCGACACCGACCCCGTCTCGGGCGTCTCCGTGCGGCGCGCGCCGACGATCCCCAACCGCCGGGCGTACCAGCACAGCAGCCTCGCCACAAACAGCGTCTCCTCCTGACCGCCCCTTGCCAGCTTCCTGGGATCGAGGGCGCTGAGCCCGACGTCCGTCTGCAGCACGTCCGCCTGCAGCACGCCCAGGAAGATCTTCATGCACTGCACCGTCGCGTGGCCGTCCGCGTCGGTCCCGTGGTACAGCGCGTGGCGGAGGTCCGCTGGGAGGAGCAGGCGCGTCTGGAGGAGCGCCTCGAGGAGGCGGATGAGCAGCGAGGGCGTGAGCTCTTCGTGCGTCTCGAGCGTGAACGGCATGTCGAGCGCAGATAGAAGGTCGCGCAGCTGGGGCAGGAGGGCGGACCGAGGGATGGTGAAGGAGGTCTCGAAGTTCGCTGATGGAAAACTTCCCATGTGGCCTTGATGAGTGGATTCATCCATCGGTAGCGGGCTTTCTCAATGAATACCAGCGAACAAAGATGATTGCCTTGCTTGTCAAGGCTTCTCCAGACCCTAAATTCGTGCATCAATCAGATCCCATCAATGATGAAATCAATCAGATGACTCTGCTCCGGATTCCGATCCGATCAATTGTACCTTCGTCTTGAGTATGTCATGGTCTCATTCACTCTTCACTCTTATCTTTGCACTTACGCTCCCTGCTGTTGCTGGCGTTATAGCGCGGCAAGGCAGTGTAATTTATAGTTCCATGCACAATGATGACTCTCTTTTGCAGTGTGCACCCACCTGTGGGCTGTTTTTGTTTCTGCTTGTGTCACTCTCTAACCGCGCTGCTTCACATGCCACCACTGCGCACACAACCACATACACCGCATGATGTTGTCTTGCCTCATCTAGTCTCTGCCAGTGGTGCCTGATATGGACAAGAGCCTGAAGAAGAAGACGAGAGCATCTGGCGCTCAGTTACAACTGCGCTGGTATTTTACTTGTTTTATCGTGTATAAATTTGATTGTATGGATTTAATCGGCAAGCAAGGCATGATGTCGGCGTAGCCGACGCTTTCTAGTATTCGAAGCCGTGTGCGTTGATCGGCAACGCTGTGTTTGTTTGATGCCATCATCAGATCCCAAATTAAGCTGAAACAAGGTGAAACACTTTGCCCCGGACTGCTCATCACAAGCTTATCACCGCCAGGATAACATTCAAACAGAAGTTTTGTGGCACTCGAAGTCTACGATTGCCCAATGTGGTGAAAGGAGAGATAGCCCCTTGACGATCTAGCCCCGATGCACGACATAAATCCTTTCTCGACCCTAGCTCCCAACTATCTGAGACAATTGCCCTCTGAGACACAAGCCAGATCCGTTTTCTTGCGCAATCGGTGGGGCCGATAATAAATACCCGAAGCCAAGTCGCCATTCCACCTGCTGCGCGGCCAGAGGTCTCCCCGAAGCCGTACCCCGACGTTTGAATCGTATCAATGCAGATTGCGATGTAGCGCATGATGTTCACCGGGAGCACCACGCGTCGCTGTGTTCCTACATTCACCAGGTAAGGTTAATGAATGGTGACTTTAAGACCTCTGGGACCAATCACCCATGCCGCCCAGAGAACCGCCCCAACGCGACCTGTATCGTCAACCCGCACTCCAGCGCACGGCGCACATCCGAGTGGTTCCTGAAATGCCTCCGCATATTCGAGTTCACGCTGAACTCGCGCCCGCAGCTGGAGAACGGGCACCGGTATGCTACACGCGGCGTCAGCAGGAGGCAGGCGGCGGACGGGAGGGCACGGCACGCACGCTTGGCGCGGGTGTGGACGCGCGCGTGGATGCGCAGGATGCTCGGGCGCGTGAACGCCTTCCCGCACACCCCGCAGGCGTAGTTCTTGCGCCCGAGGCTGTCGTATTGCGGCTGCACGCAGTCAAACTCGAGCGCAGATGCCGAGTCGTCCGAGGAGGAGGGAGAGGACAGGGAGAGGATGGTGATGGGCTTCGGGCGTCTGTGGGGCGTGCTAACGTCGTAACAGTCGATGTCGGACGTAGAGGAGGACGCCGAAGAGGGTGGGCGGAGCCGAGAGGATCTCCAGTGTGAAGACGAGTGGGACAGAGATGAAGCGTCGGGGCGGTCGAACCGGCAGTGCGGTCGTGAGCGGCGTAAGGGCGAGGGAATCGGTGAGAGCCACGGCATCAGCCGCTCGGGGAGCAGTTCGTTGATACCAGGCAGAACGACGCGCGGAGGCATAGCTCGAGCGGGATGAGAGAGATGGGACATGGGGGTGAGATGAGAAAGCGCAGTGCGATTGCCCTTTATATCTCTAATACCGCATTGAGCGGCCCTCGGCAAAAGCAATAGCAATCTCTATCATAAGGACAGCGAGTTGGACAGATCCGCTCTAAGGGTAGTGGCAGTTCTGTTCATTATAATCGATAATCATTGCTAGATAATTAATTGAGCCTTTCTGCTGGATTATATGGTGGACAGGCGAATGACCGCAAATATTCTCGAGAGATCGCAGCCTTTCCTCGCGTACTTTCTCTTTCGGAAAATGTGGAAACTCCATGCGTGCGAAACCTCGGAAAGCTTAAGCCAACAGATGGCGCGGTTTCCAGAACCACATCGAGGATTGCTCGGCGAAGTCCTTCGCGATGAAAATCGACCTTCCATCCATCCCAATAAGGCAATTCACGTTCCGATCATTAAACTCGCACAGATTGACGCGCCGAGAGGCAGGCACATAGTTGTCCTACCGGTCAGGTCGGCAGTTGGGCGGGACAGAAGACGCCATCCGATTGAGCTTTCTCTGTTCGACCCAGTTCTGAATCCCAGCGGAGCTGTTCAAATCTGAACATCTTCCAAGTTGCGTGGGAGGAGATGAGAGCTCACCACAAACTCGCAATCCACTGATGGCTCGACAAGATCGGTGATCTTTCACGGGAAGGCGTCTCGGGGACGAGAGATGGCGGGTTTTACAATCGTGATTGTATTCCGAGACCCATGTGTCCCAGGTATGATATCTTCTTCGGTGAAACAGAGTGATCTGGTTCCAGGCATGGCTGGTGGACGGGTACGGTATTCATATTGAGTTTTTCTGATTCAGATGTAACTGGGCAAGGCGGAGAGTGTATCAGTCAACTTGGTATATTCCCAAGTTTATCGAGTTTATCTAGTAACGCCGTCAGCGGCATCGTGATCCTGTGCACCGTCCACCAGATACTTGAGTCTGAAAAAACCATTCTCGCGTCTGGCCATGTTGTTTCTCTCAATATCGCCGCCCCCGGACCACTCCGAATCCATCCGTGACGCATTTGCGACCGCAAAAGAATCAATCGGAGGGCAGAGATTTCACTGATCGCTTGCCCTATTTTCCACCATGCCATGATGGCCGGAAGGGTGAAATTGCCCGGAGTACCACCGGCAGACGTGGAGCTGACCTGGGGCCGATAGGAGATCAACTTGCCACGAGAGATCGGCTAATAAAGCTCCCACAACTGTGCAGAAGGCAGTGTCGGTAGTCGTCAATGGTTCATGGGTGGTATTGACAGGAAGCATGGTGATCGGCTCGCCGGTGTTGATCGTGGAGGACACAGCCAGTTCAGGTCGGGTATCGTGCTTCACGGCATGCAGTTGCCCATAGCAGATCATTTGAGTCGAACAACCCGTCCGGCCAGTCTCGCAAACCTCTTCTCTATCTCAGCAGGCGTTAGATCGGGGTAGAGGCGAGAGTTCACCATGCACTCTTCAAGACCGTCGTAGGCACGGTGCCGATGCTATTGGGAAGCGTGGCCTGTATATTCTGTAAAAATCTACTTCATCGTCGTTTCTGATACAATCGAAGTGCTCACGGGGTGCCGCTCAAATATAACAGAACCTTCCAAAGCACTCATCTACCGTGATGGGGCAGTCACTAGTTAATAGTATCATGTGCTATTACTCACATTGCTAGTAAATAAAGTGGCGTGAAATTTTCTGGAGCAGTCGTGTGCTCTAAATCAATTCAAACTCACTCTTCCTTGCTATTGCGAAACTACCCTACAATACCCTACTAGTGCTTAACAGACGTTGTGATCCATGTCCTCATCGCTCGTGTCCTTGTAGATGGTGATCCTGTCCGCACCGCCGCAGAGCTCGTCGTTCTTTCCTTCGCAGCGGAGATCGCACTGGTTATCGGCCGTTTTCGTGGCGTCCCCGATCGAGTTTCCACACCCTGTAAAAAGCGAATCAGATCCAAACCATAACTCTAGAAACCTCCCTCACAGCATTCTGTCAAAAAAGCTCAGAAATTTGACCGGTACTAAGAAATGAGAGGCGTACCGCGCGAGTATTCCAGTCCAGCGTATTTGAAGTTGAGGTTCTGGCAGATTCCGGTGCACTCCGTGATGGTGATACCCTCGGGAACGTAGGTTCCAAGGCCCGGGCCGTCAGTCAGAACGCGCTTGTCGACAGAATCTCTGGAGCGCGGGATTAGAGACTGAGCTCAGCCGCCGAGGGGAGTGTTCACGCACGCGAAGCAGCCGGTGTACTCCCACCGCTTATGGTCGCCGACGTATTTCGGAGTGTGGGCCGGCTTGAACTCATCCGTGTAGTACGACACTTGGACGCGGTCTGCGGCACCGCAGACGTCGGTGGCGTCGCCGGCGCACGGCATGTTGCAGTCGTCGATGTCGGCTACGAGGCCGGTCGGGTTGAACGAGGAGGCGCAGACTGCGTCATTCAGCAACGCACGATCGACGGGGAGAGGAGAAGCGACCTACAGCACTCGACACCGTACTCGACACCCGAGTAGGGCAGCGCGCGCGCGGCACAGAAGGACCGGCAGACGCCGACAGACATGTAGGTCGTATCCTTGAACGACGGTCCACTGAGAGTGCGCTTTTCGATTGAATCGCTGGAGGGGGGCTCGATGTCAGGGTGGTGCGCTCTGTTCGAAGTGGAAGGTAGCTCACACGAAACAGCCTTGAGTCACCCAAGGTGACTGTGGGACGGTAACAGACATCAAGGGGTTCTGGAATTTTGCCAGAGAGAGACGCTGTCTGTTTTGAGCAAGGAACAGAACTCAACAGGTAGGTGCAACTACTCACGGCAGTCAAGAGAGCAGTGAGGACGAGGATACGAGTCATTTTCGGTAACCCAGGTGTTACTTTTACCACTCTTGGCCCACGTCCTTTTTATACCACCCCAGCTACACGTACTCGTATTCGGGTACGGATCGCTCTAGGAATCGACGCCACACCAGTAGCCGAAGAGGCTTCATGAACTGGAGCTCGACGACGACGTTAGTCTGATGCAACGGTTGAAGATAGGCTTTGGGCCGGATATGGGTTCATTCCTTCACAATTCGTCTTCAAGGCGGCGACACGGTGCCCATGGACGCGCTATCACATGATCGTCTAGTCGAATTCAAAGCTTCTGGTAGCTCAGGGAAACGGCACCGAAGCGATGCACGTTTGCAGGGTGTGGAGGTATTAACTGCACATGAAAGTCGTGTGAGGATGGAAGGAGAAGAAAAAAGGCCATTGCGCGTTGAAGGAAGCAAATGGACCCTTGCTGAGCTATGTATGATACAATGTATGAGACGAGTCGGAAACCAGTGATACGCACGTGCGATGATGCTGTTTCCACCAATCTGATTTGATGCCTCATCAATGCTCGCCCGAAGTTGGATACATCCTAAATGACGGAAGCCAGTTGGGCATTCTTGCAATCCATTGACAGGACTCACTCATCAAGTCGCGCTGAAGTTCGTCGGACTTTGCGTTCACGCCAGCGCCAGGGAGTGGTCCTGCTGCTACGATGTCTCCGAGGTGCTTACGACAAATACAATTCGAGACGCGATTAGCATGATTGTAAGTCATCTTAAACTGGATCCTACACCATCTCCGGTCCTCTAGAACAAAATTCGTCATGTCTAGATCCTGACTGGGCTGACCAAGAGGTCTGAGACCGACCTGGCATTCTTGCATGCCCGGTATATCGGCGCGAGCAGGTCCCGCTCGTTTCTGAACATCTCGTCGGACACGTGAGCATGCCGCAAGAGCTGCCTGTGCTCCGGCACACTTCCATTCGCACTTCCAAATCGGGAGCACGGGCGTTTGACTCTCGAGTGCGATCAGGCCGCCCTGGCATGATTCGGAGGAGATCCGACACCTGGAAGCATCCCGGTCAGACTTTCCGTACCCTCGTTCACGACCTTCCATATCGCGAAGACGGCTTGGGATGACTCAATGATGAGGCCGGATTGTCGGGCCTTATCTCCCCATTGGGGAGCTGTCCATCAAATACGTTGAGTTCCGGAATCGCATCGTGGCGAAACTCTTCAGGTCCAGTCGCATCGGACAGCGGAGAGGCTCCAGCTGGTGTGAGGAGAGGGGTCTCTCACTTCTCCCCTGCTCAATAGGAGCATTGGCCTCTGAGGCAGGAGGGACCTGGCATCAAACCGCCAACGAAGTGCCAGTAGTGCGCCACTGAAATGGAACGAGTGCTATGAGTGCCACCCGCCGGGGTTTCCCGACACGATTGATGTCGATTCGCAAAAATCGAGGGTCTCATTCGACAGTATTCCCTTGGAGGAGATCGATCCCCAGGAGGATTCCCTTGGGGAGAATCAACCCCCAGGCAAGGCGCAGAGATGATTATCTCACTGTTCTTGAGGCGCTATGTGCGGAGGATAATCAGAACAAGCTCAAGCTCATTGAACAATGGTATCTGCCGTCGTCCCCAGTATTGAAATCGGGTCTATGTGGACTTGGTGCGGCGGGGCGCTGCTTGATTTCGGGGCGAGCATAATGGATGGGTGGACGGGATTTTCCTCCGGCGAGGGGCGGATACGGCAGGCGGCAATGTTCATCATATGACGCGATCCCGCGGACGACTTCGACCAAGGCCGAGGTGATGATCAGCGCCCCGCGTGTCCGGCGGCACCCGATTCTGGCTCGTGTCTGAGGTCCGACCGTGATATGTGAGACAATTTCGTCTTGTTTCCCTGTGCGGGGATATGTAAGTTTTATCTTATCGGACGTCCTCGGACATGGCAGCGGGACTTAATTTTGACGCGGAGGGATTTGCGGTGCTTATCGCTGCTTCACTGAACCGATCGACACCGAGCAGGGCTGGGAATGACCAGGATTGATCTGTGGAATATGGGAGTCAGAACTGGGGAACGCTGTGCGAGTCAGGACAGGTCAGGACGTCCACCTTGCGTCAGAAAGAAGGAAATGGAGGGCTTACCACAATCCTGGCTCCTGCCTCCCGGATTTGGCATCTTGAATGTGATCGGATGCTGATTGATCGGCAAGAGCGGTGCGCACTGTTTTATCATGTGTTGTGCTAGTGGCTGGCTATATTGGACAATGGCATGCTACAATGCAGAATCCAGGGCGCCAGAAAAACGAGGGGCCACAATAATTGCATCATCTGCTGTGAGGTGTAAGGCTTCGGGCCGGCGATTGGAACCTACGCGGGAAACAAGAGTCAAGCGAGGTGATGAGAAGCTCTCACGATCGAACAGAGTCCCGTTCTGGAAACAATGGGTCGTTTATATAGCGAGCGAGCTAATTGTCTCACTCCCCCCGGACGCGCATCGAGCCACCTTGCATAGCAGAGCTGGGTAAGATCGGGACACGCTTTTGTTTCCGCATCTCTGCCTCTCCCAGCTCCTTCTCTCTTACTGCTCTCCGTGCTATTGTCCAGAGCTACTGTTCTCACTTTCCTTTCGCGCTGTCTTTTCTTTTGTAATGTCTTCTGGAGATACGGATTACATGGCTCGTGGTGCGTCTCGCTCTCTCTCTCAAGCTGGGTGCGCGGGATCTGACGGTCGCGTTAGCGGAAGCGTCCTTCGAACCTCCCTCGTTCGCGATTATCTCACCGACACCCCGATCCTCCGTAACATTCAGCTTTCCTGCGTCGCAAAATGTGGGGGAGTCTCCATGCGACACTCCCTCGTCCTCGCCCTTCGAGCCGGATTTGCGCCAGCTGACATTGGCGAACCCTGGTATGCTTTATTGTCTCGTCCCAAAATGGCAACGATCGCTGATGGAGTCAGGGTTAGGGTCAGCTTCTCACTCCCCATCATCCTCTACCTCGTCCCTACCCTCAGAATGCCCGACCCCGCCCCCGTTGAGCGCCTTCACCCACACCCTCTCCGTCTCATCCCTGAATCTCTCGGACAACTCCGGTCCGGGTCCGATCCGGCGCTCCAAATCCTCGGCTAGCGAGTCGCGGCGCCCCAAACGCGGTGACGACGACTATGTGAAGCGGCCCGAAAACGCGTGGATTCTGTTCCGGCGGAAGGTCTCCCAGGATCAGGCAGCGGCGTCTGCAACGCCCCAAGCCGAATCCACAGCAGCGATGGCCCTGCCTGGCGGTCGGCGACCGCGGCAGGCGGACCTCTCCAAAACGATATCCGAGCAGTGGCGCTGTCTCCCCGCGGAGGAGAAGGCCAAGTGGGAGGCGCTGGCGAAGGAGAAGAAGCGCGAGCACGAGGCTCTGTACCCAGATTATGTGTACCGACCCCAGCGCGCGAGCAAGAAGAACCGCCCGCGGGAGTCGAGTCCCGGGCCTGGTCGTGGCCGCGACGTCGCGAACGCATCGCTGGCAGCTCGTCGGAAACGCGCGGCTCCTCCGACGTTGGGACCGCCGCCAGAATTTCTCATGCCCGTCTTCTCCGCGATCCCCTCTATCTCTTCGTCGTCGTCGTCGTCGTTGCATCAGCCCCAACCGCAAGCCCGGAGCTCCAGCGTGCCTTCGTATCAGCCTTTCCATGCTCCCGATGTCTTCTCCTCTGTATCGACGACTGCGATAGAGCCCATCGACACGTCTCCCGTCTCGCTTTTGGATCTGATCAACCAGGCCTCAGCGCTGAACGGCGCAAACAGCTTATATCCTGACGACACGAGTGGAGGATGGGACTATACCCCCAGCCACGCTGTGAATGCCCAATTCGCCCAGTCGATAAACGTGCGTTTCCGTCCTTGCTCGAGGATTTATCCGTTGACCGAATTGTAGTCGACCGACTTTCTGCACTCCATGACGCCCTCGACTTCATACTCACCCACATCAGCCTTTTTCTCTAACATCGGGGCCTTTGCTCCGCTCGAGCCGACACCCATGTCGCTCTCGCTGCCCAACGCCTGCGACCCGTCACTGCTTATCACGCACAACAACGACGCAAACGTCTGGCCCATCACCTCGCCCTGGGCGGGTCAGCACACGTTCTCCGCGCCGACGCAGGCACCGGCGCTCTCCGAGGGCGACTTTGAGCTCAGCTGCGTGCCGGGCATCGGCGCCGGGTGGGACACCACGGCGCCCACCGGGCACTACCCGGGCAGCGAGTACATCACCGACGCGGACGATCTCGTGAAGGATGTCGTGGACCCGACGAGCTTCGACATGCACAACCAGCTGCCGCCGCTGACGATCGACTTTGCCGGTGCCATGGCCGCTACCCCATGATGGTGGTCTTAACGGCCGCGCGTTGTATATATACCAGCACTGATTGTGCCGTGTGCGGATGACTCGTGTAAAACCATCCCCCAACTTATCTCTCACTTATATCGGTTCTGGCGCTCTGTACATCTATGTATGACACGCTCTCACCTCGCATGCCTCTCTAAACGCTGCGACCGTTCTCGCTTGCTAGCCCTCGTCGTGTAATCCTATCTCCAGATCATGCAGCTACATTTTCGGAAGCAGCAGACGTAGGCAATCCTGTGGAAAGCACTGGACAACGCCGTCATTCTAAGCATTCTATGTAGTTGATAATCCAGTTTGCTTTGACCTTGGACGTTGTCAACGAAAGCACCGTGATGTCTGGAGCAAGAGCTCGCATGTTGAGCGGCGTCGTTGAGGAACTGCGAGAGTGAGCCCAACCGCCGATTTCAAGGATTCTGTGTTTCGCGTCGATGGGATACTTTTCCACTCACGGTTAGGCTTACCTTTGGGCTTTTCACAGCTGGAACGGAAATCGGAAATCGGCAGCTGGCATGAGACTGGGTCTGGTCTCTGGGCTAAGTTCATGATGATGTACTTGTCCCGATACTTTAAAATAGGGCTGATTGAATGAGCATAACTCTATGTTGGACTTCATTTTGGACGGAAATCTTCTGCCCGTACCCAAACTTCGTTGACCAGAACTTGGCCAAAGTAGATTATCCCGGGATTACCGTTTGGGGGGAGGGTCAGGGGTCCTGGCACTATTTAGTCAAGAGATGATCGAGAGACAAATTTACAAGACCCCTGAATCAAAGTAACCTAGAGACCGCCTAGCATGTTCTTCGACCAGGACGAAGTGTTCGATGTGTTCAGCCTCGAAGAGGCCCCCATCCCTCCTCCCTTTGGATCCAAGCTCGCATCGCTCATAAAGGCCCTCGGAGCCGCACGCACCTTCGTCCCAGTCAACGAGCGATCAGGAAACCTCATCCCGACCGACTTCATCAGGCCCTTGAGGCCCGTCTCCGAAGTATTTGAGTACCGCAACGGCAACCGGACCGTGGCGAAGGAGACGATCATCGTGCAGGTCGACGGCGCGTGCTCGGGGAACGGCAGGCCCGAAGCGCGTGCGGGGGTGGGCATCTACTTCGGCCCGGGCTCGGTGGAGAACGTCTCGCGCAGAATCGACGGGCGGCAGACGAGCAACCACGCGGAGGTGCGCGCGGCGCTCGAGGCGATGAAGAAGCTCACGGAGATGTTCGACAACGACCGGCTCCTGCTTGTGCGGCGGATGGTGCTGCTCGTTGATTCCAGCCACGTGTTCCGAGCCATGACGGAGTGGATTTTCAGCTGGAGGGAGAACGGGTGGAGGACTTCCGGTGGGGCAGAGGTCAAGAACAAAGCCTGTTTCCAGGAGCTCGATCGGATCGTCACAGCGTACGAGAGCCATGGATTTGCAGTTCAATTTTGGTTGGTCCGTCGGGAATTCAACAAGGAGGCTGATCTTCTGGCTAAGAACTCGTATTTATGAGCAAATTATTTACATGGATGCCCAGCGATCCCAATCGAATCTCTCGTGCATCCTTGTGATGATGTCAAAGTAGTCAGGCTCCTCGTCAGCGGTGACCAGTCCAAGCCGGATGAACAGATCTATGAGAACGACGGCACAATTGGCTTTGAATCGGCCTGCACGCAGCGCTTCGTCGATTGCCGGTCTAGGAAGGAACTGGAATCCAGAAATAAGCACATGGAAACGGTGGTAGCCAAATCACGAACGTCGAATCTCTCTACTTCGCCGTCGAGAGGTTTTGGCTGGAATGTCGTCGAGTCTGCGTCCGCAGGGATTGCGATGTCGAACAAGTACTCGACTTCTGGTTGCAGCCATCCTTTGTCCGTACTAGAAAAGCGTACGTTATGTGCTGGCCCAAGGGTGCCTGAGGCACGCACCGATGGAAATAACTGATCACACCAACAGAGCGGACATGCTTCCGGACTAGTGATTCTGGCAGGGATGCTTCCTCCATGCATTCTTTGACGAGACATTCGAGGATCGGCATCCCAGCGGGGAGCCCCCCAGCAACGGTGTTGTCGAGGAACAGTGGCCAGCTGGCCGGATGCTGGGTCAATGTTTGACCCTGGCAAGGAATGTTCAAGCTTACGTGGACTTTGTTCGAGCTCTCGTAGGCACCCACACGCTGACACTCCTTGCTCCGTCCTCTCCAGCGTTCTCCTGATAGACACTCAAATGGACGCCGTATGTCACGATCCCAAACAGCGCACACGCCGCCCTCTCCATCTCAAACGCGAAGTTGCCCTCCTCAAACGCGGCATCGGAGTCCGCGCTGACGTAGTCGCGCTTGCCGAACGGGTCCTTGTACACCGGATACCGCTCGTCGCGCCATTTTCCGGGCCCGATAACACCAGCGAAGAGCCCCGCGTCGTGCCACCGCGTCGTCAGCGCGTGCATGGCCGCGGTGCGCTTGCCCGGCGTATCGAGCCGTGCGTGCAGCGCGATGCGGGCTGTGCCAGGCTGCGCACCGGCCCACATACTCGCCGCCGGATCGGCGCTGGCGTGTTCTCGGATGAGCAGATCGACGACGAGTGGGCGGAGGAGGCCGATGATCGGCGCGTCAGGTGCTGGGGACAGGGCAAATGGGATCAGGCGTTCCGCGTCGTATGCGGTCGGGGCGAGAGGCAGAGGACCTGAATGCTGTCCGATGCGTGCGTTCCCGCACTGGTTCACCAAGTCGAGGTAGCTATACTGCGTTGGTGGCGATGCCATGGATGAGGGCGGAAGGAGGCGGCTGATTATGATCGGATTGGGAGATTTATGGGAACGATGTGCTCGGCCGATGAGCTCCGACGTGTGGCAAATGTGGAATGGTGGTGGCCCCATATCGCGGTCGCATGATTTTGAGACAGGATTTCAGCGCAGAGATTATTGGCCCCTCCCACAACATCGGACCAGGGCATTTTTGATGCTTGACCATCATTTGATTTCGGATGATGCTGGCCTAGTATTGGTGACCGTGATCTTGACTACCTTGACTCAAGTATTGACCTGTCCGAATATCTTCAAGGATTTTTTTTAACGACATGGGAAGCATTGACTCTCAGCTTCAACCATCACCAGACTTGAAAAGATAGTGCAGTTGTGTTCTAACTAGGTACTCGTCAAGTGAGGTGCTTCGATGTAAATGATTGATTTCCTAGCCCCGGGGTTTGTCTGAATATTTATAGCCAAGGTTTCGCATCTCTTTACAAGAATAAAGGAGAATCCTTACGATGGAACGCGAGAATGTGGCTGTGTATGTATCGCCCAGAAGGTCACATGTCCTTATCGGCGATCGGACGGCACATCCGATCGATGGATCACACCACTGGCAGAGCTCTGGCCACCTTCCAGACACCTCTACGTCGTGACTCGCCTCGTTCCGATAAAACTCGATCCCGCCCTTTCTCCAGGCCTCCTACCCCCGTCCTTCCCCATCGACATGGCCTCCGAGCTCTCCTTCCTCAGTCACGCGCGCTACGGCAAAGACAAGGTCCGCGTTCTGCGGGTCGTGCGCGAGGGCAAATGGCATCACATCGTGGAATACAACGTCCAGGCGCTGCTCGAGGGCGATATTGAGACGAGGTGCGTCGCCTGCTGTACCCGCGTGGGCGTGATGCGACCGCAGTCCATAGCTACACAGAGGCAGATAACTCTGTCATCGTCGCGACAGATTCCAGTGCGTGGCCCGCCCTCTTCCCGCATCTTCTGATATGCGAGGCTCATATTTCCTAGTTAAGAACATTACGTACTGTGAGGTCCCGATGCCGTCCATAGCCGTCCGAGCTCATCATATCCCCGCCCAGATCTTGCCAAGGTGTCCCCGCACGTCCTTAATCCCGAGCGCTTCGCGCTGCACCTCGGCACGCACCTCGTCTCCAAGTACGCACACATCCACAAGGCCTTTGTGTCAGTGGAGCAGCTGCGGTGGTCGCGCATCCCTGTGGACGGACAGGCGCACCCGCACTCTTTCCTCCGCGATGGCGACGAGAAGCGGATCGTGAAGGTGGAGGTCGATGCGAGCAAGGGCAAGGACAAGCTCGTAGCGACTGTGCAGTCTGGGATCACTGACCTCCTCGGTTCGTCTATTTGCTAGTAGTCCTGGTCCTGCTCGAGCTAAGTCTTGCTTCCCAAGTGCTCAAAACGACTGAATCGGCATTCACCAACTTTGTCCGCGACGAGTACACCACTCTCAAGGAGGTCGATGACCGTATCTTGTCCACTTCTGTCGACGTGACCTATACCTTTGCCCCAATCGAGATCCCCAAGCCGGGTGACGCCAAGCTTGAGGAGTTCATCATCCCGGTCCGCTATCCTCTTGCAGATTTTTCCAAGAGGCTGATTACGTTAGACCGATATTCCTGCTGGCAGCGTCTGGGACGATCAGGTTCCAGTCCGAGCAAGGAAAGTAACGCTGGACATCTTTTCCACAGATAACAGCGCTAGCGTCCAGGTGGATATCATCCTGCCCTGTTTTATGGTTGATGATTTTGGCTGACGTGCCTGGTAGGCCACCCTGTACCGCATGGGGCAGGCGATTATTGCCCAGAACGCGCTGGTGCAGACTGTGTCGTACGCGCTGCCAAACAAGCACTATATCCCCGTCGATATGAGCTACATCGGAGTGGAGAACCTCGTCCCGTGAGTGCCGCCAGATCCGATCCCTGGGCGCTCCATCTCACGTTTTTTTTGCAGATCTCAGGCGGAAGTGTTCATGCCTGTCGCAGCGCCGAGGTTAGATCTCCATTTTTTCTTTCCGCGCAGGGTTTCGTTACTGAGCGTTGCAGTGGCTTGATTACGGCTACTGTGAGCCGCAAATAGAAATTCATATACATATATAGTAGGTTTTGCGTTTATCATGATGAATCGAGCATCGTTTTTGGAGGCATTGACATGATCGTTTGGGCGATATCGGTGATTAGATTGTGGCCTCGCTCGCCGCAGCCTCGTCTTGGTCCAAAGCCGAAGCAATATGTCAGCGCAAACAGAGTCAAGGTGCGCAACTGAACACTGCTGTCTCAGAAGCACATTCTCGCAGTTATAACAAAGCTGTTCAAACTGCTCCCGTTCGGAACAAGGTGTTGTACTCTCATACAACAGGGATAAACTTCCAGGCCGGCATACTATCGATCAGCAGGTGACATCCTCTAAGAATCTGATTTGCTCAGGAAAGCTCCAACTTGTTTAACGTTGAAGTACTTTAATCGACTCGACATGCACGCTGCATTCCGCTGTCCAAGAGGATCTCAAACTCATTAGGCGATAGTTAGGCCTTGCATGTGCGCACCGGGTCGCAAGCTCACTATGCTAACCACATGGTTTACTTTTTTGTCAGTATATCAGGCAGCCACCACCCGGCGGCACTTGAATTCTGAGTGCCAAGCATGAGGCGGAAGATCTTTTAAGACGAGTCCTGGCGTTGATCGATCAAGTAGCTTGTAGGTAGTAAGATGAGTGGAGACTGGGATACAGGAGGCACGAAGAGCTTCACGATTAGGATCGTTCACCCGCACGCTTATTTCCAACAATCTCGTACTCGATCAAAATAGGTCACGAGAACGAGAGCCAAGATTAGGCCATCGTGTCGCAGTCCATCTCTCCGAAAGACTGGTAGGCAGCGCGAGCTGTAGCATTTTGGAGAGAGATGCCGCAGCGGTGATGTGGCAATGGCTATCACATGCGTCGGCGGTTGGAACACTGCGTTTGTCCGATGCTTGAGATCAACATCGACATCATCCTTTCTTCTCCGATCGGTATCACCACCTCGGTATTCACTCACGACCCCGCCTTCCTCGCGATTCCCGAACTAACAAACAAACTAATTGAGATCCGGAGTCTGAAACGCCTCACGGTGAGATGTTCCGGCACATCCCGCGTATTTGTAAGAGCGGATGAGGGTCGAGCCAATCGAACGGGGCTGAATTCGTTGTGCGAGTTAAACAGTCGGCTATCGTCGTAAACGCACTAACGGTCCTGATTGTCCTGAAGCGGGTTGTCACGAGACCGGTTGGTCTGGGCATGTGTCCAGGGCACGGGGACTAAGGGATCGTTCTCTGCTTTACACTCGAAAGAAGTTGACATCCGCCGTAATCCGGTGTGAACATAAGCCTGAGCCCATGAGAGAATCATTCCGCTTGCGAGATCCCGGGTGCCAATCTGGCTACTGCCGAGCTATTCATAATCGGGAAACACCCCATTAATACCAAAGACAAGACAAGATGGGTCCATGTATCCGTTTACCGAGGAGATGAGGATGACATCATCATCACCTGGTGGCCGTGAAATGGGGGGCACCCAGGGGCCAAACGCATCGTTGTTGAGACAGGGCTAATCGAAGCGATCCGGACGTCGGAGGGTCCTTCACAGGGCCCCAATCAGCAGAAGCGTCCGATGTCCGCCAGCGCACTTGAGCCCACACCCAGATGTCCTGAGAGGAGAGTAAACTGACACACATGTCTCGCGTGATCTTCCCGCTCGGGTCTCCGATTTCCCCGGAGTCCAGGTCACCAGAGATCGCATTGAAGAGCAGGGGCTGTCAGTGTAAATCCGGAGAAGATGGAGATGAAACAAACTAACACGCAGTGCACATGCCTGCAGCGCAAGAAGCACCGCGACTTCGTTGGCCTTTCACGAGGGTGTTGGCGCACCGCGTTGTCCGCTGCGCGCATGTGACCGACATGCATATTTCGAAATGCTTTCATAATTGCAGCGAAGTCGGTCACACTGCCCCCCAAAAGTTCCTCCAATGAAGGGTGGATGATAATGATGCCGTGTGTGCGAAAAGAAGGGCACCAGAGTGGAAGAAGAATGACCCCATTGAGACCCATTGTGGACCCCCCGCCACCCGCAGTGTTGAAGCAGTGGTCTGTGCGCAGCGGGTGCGGGTCTAATCACGAACTCGGCGACCGCATAGGTAAGGGCCGCATTCATTTCTGGAAGGTTGGGCGCGATTGAATTTCGAAGCAGGGCGGTGTTGAGGGGCGTGACGAAACCGAAAGCGAATGCCGAGGCCACGGCGAACCACGGCTGGGTGGTAGGAACCAAGGAACCTTCCTCGAATGGAGGCACGTGGCCTTAGCTCCGTATGACAAGGATCCTGCGTGATGGCATCAAATCCCTCTTTCCCTCTTAAGAGGTTGACCAGAAAATGAATTCCCCAGTGATTCATTGCGACTCGCGTTCTCTTCTCAAAACACTCCGCCGATATGTCTGGATCTGCCCCGCTCTCCCCAGCTGCACTCCGACGTCTCAAATGGCCTGCACCCCATGCCTAGTCAGTGTCCACAGTCTAGACTGGTCGTCTGCGTTACCTCACTCGAGGGCACACCGAAGCATCAACTCGCTGACATCTATTCCAGCACGCCTCCCAATTCCGTCCCATTCTACGACCCTGAGCTCTACCCACATGGTGTGATCAACCTCTCAATCGCCGAGAACTCGCTGCTGAGCGAGCGCTTGATTGAGGTATGTCTTGTTCTGCTCCTGAGCCGAATTCGCTGTGTCACGCGCGAAGCATATCTCCCGTCCACTGGTATCATTCCGGGGCCAGCATCTCAGATACAGGGCCACACTGATCAAGACCGACCTGCAAACTGTCGAAGATCTGCTGCCGGCATACATCAATGACCACTTCGAGCCAAGAATCCCGGTCACGAGTTGCGTCGCCGAACTATCTTATCGCGGGATGAGATTCGTCTGACATGAGCTGCAGGGGAGAACTCGGTAGCCGGGCCCGGCATCGGGGCCCTATTGGCTCAGCTCGTCTGGGCGCTCGCAGGTCAAGGCGAAGGTGTCCTGATGAGTGTCGTAAGCCCATTCAATCCATCCATCCACGTTGCGCATCCTGAGATCACGCGCCCTAGCCCTTTTACGGTCCGTACCCGGCTGTCCAACGCACTGCCATCCATTCAACATGTTTCGACAGACGACTATTTCCGTGACATATCCCACCCGGCGCAGGCTCAGCTGATTCGCGCTGAGATCCCGGCGCACGTCGATTCGCTCTCTGAAGACGTGTTGCCCCTGCTGGAGGCCAAGATCAAGTCCAGCGGGCGGCTCGGCATCCCGATCAAAGCGATGCTTATTCCGAATCCACATAACCCCCTCCCGCAGGTCGTGCCCAAAGAGGTGATCACGGGATACGCGCTGCTGGCTGAGAAGGTGCGTGTTCACTTTCCGCACCCGCGCGCACTGGCTCCAATGTTTCTGCAGTACGACATCCATTTGATCGTCGACGAGGTCTATGGGATGTCGACGTTCCACGACTCGGCCTACCCGCCTGCAGTTAACGTCGCCTTCGAGTCGGCGCTGACATACGACTTCTATGCGATCGGTGTGAATCCAGCCCGGGTACATGTGCTGGCGGGTCCGACGAAGGACTTTGGCGCCAGTGGTTTGAAAAGTGCGTGATCCGGTCCGCTCTGGGTGCCGGGACGCCCATCTCATCATCATCTACTAGTGGGACTTCTGGTATCTCCGCACAACATCCCGCTGATGGATCTGATCCGTCCCCTGTTCAACGCGACGCCGATCTCGTCTGCCAGCGACGCCCTGTTCTCCCGGGTCTTGAAAGACCGGGTGTTCGTCGAGCGCTTCCTGGAAGACAACCGCATCGCACTGCGTGAAGCGTACGAGCTCGTCGCTGGCTGGTTGATCTGGCACGGATTGCAGTAAGTGTCCAACTGCAAGTTATGCTTCGTGTTGTCAAATAGGCTTCTCCCGTGCAGCTTCACACGAGCGAACGCCGGGGTCTACGTTGTTGTCAATTTCGAACCGTTCCTGAACCGGATATCCGACCAGGACATGTTTCCGATGGAGAAACTAGACCGTGGCGTCGCTGCTCTCATCAAACAAGGTGTCTTTATGGTGTGTCCTCCTCTCCTTGCTTGATTTCAGTTCGCTAGGCTAACGGGCCTTAGAAACCGACAAACCTGATGGGAGACCCTGTCCCTACTCGTTTCCGGCTCGTCTTTTCGCAGCCTAGGAGCTGGATGTTGGTCAGTCTTCGGGTGTTACTTTCTCTCCATCCTCAACCGTCGTTGAATCGATGACAGTTGGCGCTTCGACGCATCGAACAAGCATTCTCTGCTCCAGAAGCTCCTCTTCCCGGAAACAAGTTCTCGGGTTTAAATGGAACCTATATGAACGGAGCTGGTGCCGGCAATGGACGGCATGTGTACGATAGCGAGCCCTCGAGTGCTTCTGAGTCGGAGTGAGATGGACATATAACGCGGACCGCCTCGTTCGAACTGATGCCATGGACATACGGCGAACGTAGTCGAGTAGGATAAACGGAATCCTTGTAGCAATAAGCTCTCACACTTGCATCGCCTCAATATATAAAGACAAAGAATAGATCATTCATATTCTGCAAAACAATCTTTCTCGGAGAATGCGAGATGAATCATAAAAGGCTTGGTCCTGGAGAACTCGAGTCTACTGCTTATACGGCCCGAGCGCACCGGTGGAGTCGCAGCTGCACGAAAGGTGAGAATCAACTTGGGCCTGAGAACAAGCGCCTTACTTGTAGTGCACAGGCGAGTAGCAGGCGTTACCGCAGCGCAACGTCGCATTGCCTCCAAAGATCGGGCAGAGGAAGTTGCCATCGAGGCAGACGTACTAGAGTAGTGCTCTGAATATTACAGTGCGCAAAATTTCACTTTACACTGACCTTGGAGCTGCTGAAACGGGCAGCGCCACAATCTTCCAACACTTTCGGATCACTCGAGTCCTGGGCAACGATTGTGTCATTGCAACTGCATCGAAAACGCGTCAGCATAGCACAAGGCGCGTACGATTGGACGCAATCACGTATAGCGAGACGAGGAAAGACACGATTGACCGCAGCGGATGAAATCCGTGCCGTTGATCACCGGACACAGAAAGTTTCCGTCGAAGCAGGTGTACTGTGCAGTAGGTAGGTCGTGGTGAGAGACTTATTGGTTGGTAGTAATCGACTCACCTCGGAACGGTAGTATTGAGAGTTTCCACAGGTCAGAAGAGTCTCGTTCGTCGGCGGGGCCGCGGGAGCGCCGTGTGCACCAAAAGCGCTGAATGACGCCAGGAGAAAGGTAAGAAAGCTGGCCATCTCTGCGGGTCCTTGGGATTCAGAAGTGCTGGAGCAGTCTGGATGAAGAACTTGTTCGACAAACGGGCCAACTCTTTATATGCCTTCTGTAACGCGGACGGCACCTGGAATGTTTGAGGCTACCTATCGGGCTCGAACTGCCTGGTTCCGGTTCTTCAAAGACATAGTATAGATCCATGCTGAGAGTAGCACTGGGTCTTTGGGGGTCTCGAAGCAAGTCGGGATTTGTCATATGTGTAGGAGTGAAACGACGATCCCTGACTCGAAAATTCGGGGCTAACCTAACCGGCACGGGCAATTCGACTGATAAGTACATCATTAATTGATATCAAAGATCCGCCCAGCATGCGGGTTGGCACTCTTCTGCGCCCAGTAATCGTCGCGTCGAGAGCGAAATAGGGGACTTGATCTCGAATTAGGTTCCTGGACTGGGAATGGACTGAAATAGATAGCCGATTTTAGCAATCCCGCTCACGTCGGTTGGTTAGTCCCTTGCATATCACTTCGAGAACTTGCTGGGAGCCGAGAGGAGTGCATGGGATTGTTGCGACAAAGCTATTCATATCAGCCCTCCCGCGAATGAAGAAGGTTAAGAGAGGATGTGCAATTACTAAATTACATCTCAGTCAATGTTCAAGAATCGACTCGAGAATGAGGCAACACGAGGCAACTTCATCATGCTGCGCATGTCGAACCGGGAAGGCATCACGGTCTCAGTGAGCATCCGAATGTAGCCCGGGTCGAGAGTTCTCGATAACCGGTAGGGATTGACAGGACCTCTGATTATTGTGTGCAAGACTAGCGCGGGTTCTCAGCAATTCATAGAGGGCTAACACCCCTGTCAGCAAGAATCTGAAGTTCATCCTTCCGATGAATCCTGGGCCCCGCCGCCGTCCTGGTGCGACGATGCTGGCCCCGTCGCTTCGCGGGAGTCGCACCAATCGCGAATACAGTTCTCCCAGGTTCGACTTTGCGTGCAGAGGCATGCCCAGAGAGTACTGAGAGGGGAGGAATTTCCTCATCCTCTACAGAACCCATATTTGGCACGGCAGCCCTGGAACTGGCTGGAGAGATATCATCTCAATCCGGCTAAGGCTTTCCCGCGAAAAATCAAAACATTATCAGATTTCTGGCGCTAGTCCCACTATTCAATCGAAGGAGGTCCTTTGCAAACCATTTCCCGGAAAGGGGACTACGACCTGCTCCGAAACTTCACCTCATACACGAAGGAGCAGATTTTGCCGACGGATGTTCGCTCATACTACATGGAACAATCTAGTCTGGAATTGATTGAGGGGTCTCGAGGAGAACCGGCTCCGGAGTTTTGATGCTACGTTGGCACGTGTCCTATTGCTCGGGATAATGTAGATGACCGTGCATCACACTACTTCCATGGCTAATGGGCCCGGCGATGTTTTTTCGGGACTCGATCTGGACTTTAGCACCATCACTGTCCCAGCTACTCGCCACGCGCTCCGACTGCGGGCCTGAGCCGCGCCGTTTGCCACCACGCGCTCGCAATGCTTCCTGCGCAGCACGCAGCAGTACCCGCAGGTCCTCCCAGGTACGCGCCCGCTGTATGAATTGTGACTCATGCGGATGTTCCGAACCACCCGGGAACGCCGTATAAGACGCACGCACGGTTGCATGGAAACTGTCCGTATCATATCCTTGTTTCTTCCCCTCCCACATGGAGCTCGACACCAAAACCCCCCTCCTCGCCGTCCCGGCCGACGCACGACAGGATGCCGTCCTACGCAGGTCTCGGGAACGCGGCGGGTTCGTCAAAGCAGTTGCCGTGGCGGCGCTGTTCTTTTGGCTGGGACTACGCTACCGTGAGTTCGTGACGGATGGTGTGTCGAGAGCGCTCGTCGCTGTCCACGACGAGCCGGAGCCTGCTGCTGTGCGTCGACGTGCAAAAGGAACCGATTCACATACTGACATTCAATGAAGCCATGGCCCATCCCGGAGGAGTACACCGCCGACTGTGTAGACTGGACTGGGATCGGTGCATCCCCCGCAGGCGACGAGCTCCCCCTCTCCGCTGAGGCTGGACTCGAGCTCCCAGTCTCCGCCGAATCGCTTTTCGTCCTCTCCCGCGCCGTCGAGCACCACGAGCTGTTCGCCAGCGGACACGTCAAGTTCGTACAGTCCGGCAACGCGGACGCGATCAAGGTCGACGCGACGGCGTACTTCTATCACGAGGAGTACCTGGCGCATTCCAAGATGTGTCTGCTGACCAGCGGTCAAGGGGAGAGCGGCGTTGGGCTCTTCGTGCGTCCTCGTATGCCTTGCCCCCTTCCGTCCTGCTCACATATGCACTCAGACAAACTGGGCGTCCAAGCCGGACCACCGCCGCCATCGGCATGCGCGAGTGCGCTTGGATGTCACGCTCACCGTGCCCGCGGTCCAAGGCCTCCCACTCGAGCGTCTGTGGACCGATTTGACTGCCTTTGAGCAGAAGTTTGGGGATCTGAGTGCGATTGCTTTCGACTCGCTGTATATCAAAGGCGCTGTGGGTGCGATCTCGGCTGAGGTTAGTGCCTCTTTGTGTGAGATCAGACTCTCGTGCTGATCAGTTACAGGCTCTGCAAGCGAACGTTGCACACGTCACCACTAACGTGGGTTCCATCGAGCTAGCAAGGCTCAGCGCTACCTCCGCAAATGTCACCACTTCGGCCGGTCAGGTCACGGGCTTGTTTTCGGCGTCAGAATCTCTCGGTCTGGTCACCTCGACTGGATCGATTGTTGCGCAAATTGAATTGTCGGACGACGCTGCTGATGGTCCTGCCCAGCTGGTTCTCCACACATCCGCCGGGTGCGTCTTGCCATCGCGTTTCTGACACTCCACTCACAACGTCCAAGATCGATCGACTCCACCGTGACACTGTCCAGCACCAAGGCCGATGCAGCCTTTAACGTCACAGCAGAGACCTCGACTGGCAAGCTCACGCTCGCGGTGCCTTCTGCCCCCCTCGACTCAACGATTACCATCGACGCGCGGAATGGATTCGGGGCGGCGCGGGTGTCGCTCCCTCCCACTTTCGAAGGATCCCTGCGTGCGAAGACAAGCTTCGGCTCGACGTCCGTCAATGTCGCGGAAAAGGTCGAAGATCCTAGTGGCCAAGGCCGCAAACGCCAAGTTTCCATCTCCACAAAGCGATCGAGCGTCGAGGGGAGTGTTGGCTGGAGCACAGAAGGTCTGAGTCGGGGAAGCGTGAATGTCGAGACGAATGTTGCGGGTGTCACATTGGACATTTGAAGATGAAGATACAGGGCTTTCCCGTTCCAATTTTGAAGATCATGTACCTGGGCTCGGGATTGGGAACCCTGCTCCAACTGCTTGTCGTGGGCTAGTTAATAACTGGGGTGTACTGGAATTGATGAGTAATGTCGCGAGCCCTGAATCCGTGCAACTTCAATGAAATTCCGCGCAAGTCGTGGTTGTGGTCTAGGTTCTCCGTATACGACATGAAAGTGCGCCGAAGTTTTCCTATGTGAATGTGAATGAAGGGGATATATGCAGTAGTGGCTCTCGGGATTGAATATGTCATCCCCATCCATTTGCCAAGGTGACAGCTGTGGACCACAAAAATTTATGTGAAACACCAAAACGTGATTGGAGTGGGATTCGAACCCACGCCCTTTCGGACTAGATTGCATGTTGCCATACAAGTTGCTCTCCTACGGAGATAATCCTTAGTCTAGCGCCTTAGACCGCTCGGCCATCCAACCGATGGGCGCCGACGCCCTGGCGGTATCATATTCTGCCTGTCATTATTACCTAATCTCCTTCTTGACAGGCTCGTTCTGTTTTACACTTCAAAGAACAAATACAATCGGAAAACTAGTCTATGCTCGTCCATGATAGTGCTAGCTCAAGAGACAAATACGAAGTGGCCAGATTCAAAGCAATAGTGTAACACGTAACATGTACTAAACTAGGAGACGCAGCGTAAGTTAAAGAGGGCCCCAGTATGATTCACTAGTAAGTACAGATATCCCAAAAATACAGGTTTCAGTGGATCAGAAATCCCGCAGAAGTCGGCGAGACTGGCTCGCTCAGCCTGCGATTCCGTTTTTGGCCAAGCGTCGAATGCGCCGGTGCCCGTAGCGGAATAATCGGCCGGTCTGCAAACGAGTTGAACGTCGCCACCGCGGCTGGTGCTGCAGGCTCCAGGGAGCCCGCAGCCGGGATGCTACGAGTCGCGCTGATGCCGCCTGGGAACGATCCATCAGGCCGGTCTTTCCGCCGCTTCGCGTGCAAAGACTCTAATGTCTGGCTCGGCAGTCGTTTAAAGGAAGGTCTGGCGGAGCCGCCGCCGCTGGAGGAACCGTCATCCCCATCTCCGTCGTCGGACGTCGTGGAGTTTGGTGTGCCCGGGTATGGGGACCCTGGTGCGGAGCCTGTAGGGACCAGGGCTCCGGCCAGTGAACTCGTGGTGCCGACATCGACTGGATGGTCTGGCGGCTGTCCGCTGGTGGTTCCCCGCCTTGCAGGCTTCCGCAGGGTGAGTTCGGGGGCTTTCCTCGCGAGCACGGCAGCTTCGTACGACCGCAGATCCTCTGCGTTGTGCATCGTCCTCGAGGCGGGTTGTGCAAGTGGAACCTGAGAATGGTGATGCTGCCATGAGCTGGTCTCGACTTCGGGTGTCCTGACGCTCGGCAAACTCGAAACGCGCTGTCGGCGTCCTGTAGGAAGACAACCAAGCATCCCCCCACCAGCCTGTATCGCCGCAGCCGCACTTGCACTGGGCGTCTCCATCCCCAGTCCCTCAGCCGGCCCGGTGAGCGGCGTGCGCATGTACGTCTTCCAGAACTCGCGCAATTCCCGGGTCTCGGCCTCTCTTGATCCAGGCGTCTGGGGAGGCGGTCCACCCGGCGATGGGTAGCTGTAGTTCATTGGTGGCGGCATCACCAATCGCTTGTCTGGGTGCGCTAGCGGCGTCAGCCCAGAGCCAGGTGTAAGTCCGGTACGAGCCGTCGATGTAGTCCCGCTGAAAAATGGCACGCCGTCCTGTGCGAGCCCAGCCAGCACCTGCGGGTCATCGAGGCTCATCAGGCCGAATGCACTGGAGAACTCTGGTGGCCGAGGAGGATGAACGTCGTGTGCGGGGTGCAAGTCTGCAGCGTGCGATCGCAGCTCACGCAGGTCAGTCCCTGGATGCCCTTGGTGTAGATCAGGCACTCGGCCGAGATCTATGGAGTGTCGTTGATTCGGAAAGTGAGCGGTGTATCCACCATAATCCTACGCTCATCAGTCTCGGTCTGCAGATACTTGGAAAGATGGCTCACACTCAACCCAGCAGAGCTTGCCGGTCGACTTCCGACACTGCCGGAATGTTCACTTCCTTCATAACCCTCGTAACCGTCTCGGTAATCGTTCGGATAGAATCCAGATCCTGGGTGGTACGCAAATTCGCTTCCCCGCCCTGAGAAGCATTAAAATATGCCAGAGAGAGCACGATCCGCGACAGCACCTTCATCCGCGTACTTCATGCCAGAAAATGGCACGGTCGGGCTGCTCCCTGCGCTTGTCGTCCCATTCGGCGGGAAAGAGTACGTTGGTCCAGATTGAGCATACATGTAAGGCTGGGTGTGTGGGTCAAGTCCGTGCGGAGGCGCGACAGACAGCGAGAGTGGGGAGTGGTGGCCATGGTGGTGAGAACCTGCAATACAATTTCTCAATCAAAGCCGATTCGTGCGTGATAGCCATAAACACGCACCTATCGATGAGAGGGAAGAGGTGCTGCCGCCCATAGGCCCGGCACCAAGAGATGATGGGATGGTAGCGGTGAGAGACGTCGGATGCCCAGGCCCGACTGGTGCGGTTTGGCGGTGAAATTTGACGAATGTGCATCGTGTCTTCCTGGATATGCATTTTGCTTCGCATAATGAGTTTCATCTTCGTACGTCTAGAGAACAACATGAGAAACGCACAACACGGATTGCTCCCATCGCATGGCAGACTGCTCTGAACGCATTGGTCGCATGCCTGCTTGCTCGTGGTCGCTCGTGCGGCGGTGCTTGTGCCCTGCCAAACAAAGATCGTCAGCCATCAGCGGTTCGAGAGAGGGTATTGGGAGAGCTGCGTCACCTTTCTTCTTCCGGCCGTTCCGCCCCCAGACGCAGAAGCGCCCTTCTCTCCGGCATGGCACTTATTGACGTGCCGCGAGAGCAGATCGGAGCGAGCGAACTGATCCCCGCAGTGAACACACTTGTAAGGACGGTCACCGGTGTCTGCGAAATCGGTGAGCGTCGAGAGTAAGGGCGAGCAACGATAATGCAGATGAGTGAGGAGAAACAAGCCCGATGTGAAGAGAATCGGCACAGATACGTTGTCCCTGGCAGCGACTCTGCAACCGCGGAATGTAGTAATGTGGGGCCACGAAGAATACAATGTTAGTGCGGATAGCACCAGGTAGGAAGCCGTAATAACGAATTGTGGAGCGTAAAGGGTGGAGATGTGACTCGAGACTCGGTGGATGTGGGGCCCCGAGTGAAAGCGCGAGAGACAGAGGAAAGCACGTACGGGATCGCATGTGGCGTGCAACATGTTGCGGACGAGTGAAGGTCGCCTGGCATACAGGACATTTGTGGTCTCCTCCCATCGTGCGCTGTGCGGTTGTCGTGTAGTGGTGGAGGTAGTGGTGGTGCTATCCTACTGCCGTGTGGTGAGTGGTGGAGTGAGAGAAATTGGAGTAATGGGAGCCGTAGAGGGAGTAAAAAGCTATTGGAAGTGTAACGCAAGAGTTACGGATCGGAGACCGTAGGTGAGCAGTTCTGCAGGCATCATCATCAAGTTGTGGAGCGCTACTCCCTACGTCATACATGTCACATTGTGACAGCCACGGGACAGCGTTGTCAAGGCGATTCCGGAAAATTTAATGCAGCCTCCAATCGGCAAGGGTCACTCATCCAAGAGGAGAAAAGTCCGGTATGTCGGATTTTGTCTCTCTTGGCCTTTTGTCGTACCATGAAGCTCAGAACGCGGTCGAGAAAGACAAAGAGTGCGACTCCGTCAACTAATGACGTCAGGAACACAATTGAATTGATCGGTGATGCGGTACACTGTGGGAACCGTGACGTCAGTTGCTTCCCACTGTTCAGCTAAACTTCAACTATCATAATCCAGGAATACTCACATCACGGTGGCTGTCTTCTTTCAGAGCGAGCGTAATCTGAAGAGCAGCAAGTTTTTGCACTTCGCTTGTTCTGATAGTCGATCTCTCAAGCTCCGAGGTGCTTGAACTATTCAACCCAAGCTCACCTTCCCTGAGATTGCGCCGGATTAATCCTTCCCTCGGAAGGATGTCGGCTATGTAATCGATCTGTGTGAGCAAAATGTCAGTCCACGGATTTAATGACTTCCGAAATGTCGTTCAGTGATGCAAGCATGATGCATCGCTCTGTGTTCTCCTTGGGACTACTCTCAGCGAGAAGCCGCTAGGAGTTGCAGAATTTTGGATATGTTCGGTCTCGGCAGAAAACAGCCGTGAATTTATATCCCTGGTAACCTGATGACTGCCTCGTCATTTTTATGGCTCATAAAACGTGGTCCGATTCACCCGCCCATCACGGCACGGTTCATTCTTCTTCGGAGCTTGCTCCGTCTCATGAGAAAGTGAACGTTGACACCGCGAATACCCGAGCAGTAGAACTTCCATGATTTACTCACGTCAGACCCCAACAAGCTGTGTACATATCAACGCGACCGGATTTACACGGCTTGTTCTTGATTCTAACCCTGTCGGTTGGCTTCCTCACCTTGCCGGGAAGCTACTTGTTTCACATTTTTGTTTACATGTCAGATCCTGTCAGATCTACAACCTCTTCCATTTGGTATTTTCGGCAGTAGAGCATTTCAATGAAATGCGATAGCTGAATGATAGAACAACAATTCTCGCGAAGAGGAAGCGAAGGCTGATAACATAAGATGCAGCTCTGCGACATTGGCCAGATGAATAAATCCACTAGCAAACTTCCCAGTCTCCCATCTTGTCAACGGTCACAAGCGCGAAGCTCCGAGTTTCACCGGTCGGAGATCGAGGAACTGTGCAATCACAAGAGCGACATCCCCTTGAATCATTCGGCGACAGACAAGAAAGCGAGTCTCCATCCGTCTAACCCTGAATACTACGCCTTCCAAAACGTCTGGAGCTGCCTTCGCCTGCAAGACAAGATATCCTGGGTGGCCGATGATTTGAAGAGCCGTACTTAGAAATTCGACTGTCGGTGCAATGGCTGAGTGCTAGGGATGCAGTTTGTGCCGCACACCCATCATCAAATTCCATCGGCAGGACACAATCTCACCCCAGGTGGATGAGTCAAGTTAACAGTCGCTGCAGTAGAGCGTATTAGATTTCTTAGAAAAGAGCGTATTAGAATTTGTAAAAAGTAACCTTCTACAAAAAATCTATCAAATGTCGCTTAAATCTGGGCCACTTTCTATAGCGAAAGGAACTTCACATACAATCACATTACTTGTCACGCCGCCAACTCTCGCCAATTCCGCCGTCTCCTGCCTCCCATGCTCCCAGTTGTGATGAAAAGAGCAATCTCCAGTGCAGAGGAGGTGCGAGACAACACGCGCACGCGCGACGCGTTCGACGCAATTTGGATGGAAATGAATGGCATCCATTGTGACCAGTGTGACCACGTCTGACAATTGCACAGATTTGAATCACTTCCCATGGAAAGTTGAGAACTTTCTATAGAAGCTTTTTGTAGAAAGTGGTGGTTTCTAAGAAATCTAATACGCTCTAAACCACCACTTTCTACAAAAAAGCTTCTATAGAAAGTTCTCAACTTTCCATGGGAAGTGATTCAAATCTGTGCAATTGTCAGACGTGGTCACACTGGTCACAATGGATGCCATTCATTTCCATCCAAATTGCGTCGAACGCGTCGCGCGTGCGCGTGTTGTCTCGCACCTCCTCTGCACTGGAGATTGCTCTTTTCATCACAACTGGGAGCATGGGAGGCAGGAGACGGCGGAATTGGCGAGAGTTGGCGGCGTGACAAGTAATGTGATTGTATGTGAAGTTCCTTTCGCTATAGAAAGTGGCCCAGATTTAAGCGACATTTGATAGATTTTTTGTAGAAGGTTACTTTTTACAAATTCTAATACGCTCTGACTAGTTCCGTGTCCGAGTTCACCAAGACTGACATACATGTGATTAGATCCTCGCGATACATTTTACATTCACACGGCAGCGTATTACAGCTCGCAGACCAACGGCTCAGGCCACTTCTCCTGCAGCCACTTCCTCAGCACCTTATCGCCCTCTCTGACGACCTCCTCGTCGTCACCGAAATCGTCGTTGATGCAAATGAGCGCAGGCTTGCGCATAGCGAGGTTGCGCAGCTGGAACTCGGCTTGCTTGGGCTTGAGCAAGCGGACGAACTGGTCCGGAGAGCGACCGATGGCGTACGAGTAGCGGTGGATCAGGCGAACGGCGAACAGGCGGGGGTCGGGTGGCAGCGGGACCGGGGTGGAGCTGACGACGAGGGGAAGAGTGAGCGGGTTGGGCACGACACGTTGAGAGGTGGTGTTGCGATTGAGAACGTCAGGTAGGAAGACCCCGAGACCGCTTCTTTGCGATTGAACGAGTTTGGAGATGACTGGCAGAGACTTGAGCATACGACACAGAGAGAGATGGGGTGGAAGAGTACCAATGTCTCCGCAATGAGTGTCCACCGTTGCGAAGCGCCGGAACAATGCCCATGCGGACTCGGTCGTCGGCTTCATACATTCATTGAAGGTAATGAAGCCTGGTCTCCGGTGAGCAAAGCATAGTCAGATGAAGTGGTAAGCGCACCTCGCACGTTCGGTTCCTGATTCGGGATCTGCCTCCAGCTCTGGTAGAATCCATTCATAGACACTGCTTCGATCAGTCACGACCATGGGGAGAAGGCAGCGAACGTACCCCAGCCGTACTGACTTCCGACCTGCGGATTCCCCCCACTCCGTCCAGTAGCCGGGCCTTGCAGGCCAGCCCTCTTCATGTTGTCCTCGACATCGATATACGAACGGCCCACAGACCATATCTGGACATCCTTCCGCTTTCGCCCCTTCCCGCCGACCTCAGACCACATTAGCTCTTTTGTAGACTCGTCAAGCCGCCCCTCGGTCCTGCCTCCCCACTTTCCGACGATCCAGGACCACAGCAGAGCCTCGCGATGGCGCTCTGCGACGTAATGCGACGCGAAGAACATCGTGTTCACCTCCCATTCGCCATGGACGTCATGCGACCCTCGAAAGCGTGACAGAGGCGTGTGTGCGAATTCAGCACCGAACGCGAGTGAAGCTTCGTGCAGCAACGGGAGTGAGAGCGCACGCGCGTGGTGTTGTATGTAGGCTCGTTTGCGTTCGCCAAAACGTGTATCTAACAAGGCATCATTCAGCGTCACGGAAGCAGAGGAAGAGCGTAAGACTAACCCAGGACATGGTTACTCCAGGGAATCGAGCGCCATTCGCCGCTAGCATCTCCCGCACCTGTCGAGTCGCCACCCACAAAGAGCTGACCGTCAAAGCGGAACACTGGGCCATAGAGTGGAGAGTGGAATGCGGAGGGCGGCAGTGGTCGGACTATCATCTGATCGTCATTGAGAGCTACACTGAGGGGATTGAGTTCGGGGCAGAGATCCAAAAGTGGACTAACATGTTCTCCGAAACGACGTCAGGGTCTAGGTGTGCGAGTTGAGACTCTACAGCATGACTGTAGACTTGTTAGCCATTCTTTTTGCTGTTATGCGTGGGAGTGGAAAACCTATTGAAACTCGGTAACACTCGTTTCAGCCACTTATCCGAGTCCACAGTCGTACCGCCGGTCGGCGTATATCGAAAGAGTTCATTGTCTGTCGCCAATCAGCGCCTGCGCAACAACCAAGAAAAGCACTCCACCATGATGCACCAAAATCGGCGGCTGCCCCAAGGTACTAGCGGTCGCATTATGTCCTTCAATCGCACACTGGACGTCCAGCCACTGCGGAAGCTGACCAAAGCGCTTATCAGGATGTTGCGGATCCGCCACGTCGTTCGTGACGATATGCCAACGCGAGCCGATCCAGTGCTGCGTCCCGATCCTAGCAGCGCGCAGCGCATACTTGAGCTCATCGTGTTCGCGGTACCGCGCGTCCTCGGCTTTGAACCCGAGCTCTGTCTGGAGGACCGCCCGTGCCGAGACATGCAGTGGGTCGCTGAATGTGCCCTCAGAAAGGAAAGGAACGGGAAGAAGATGCAGCAGACACGCACGAGCCGTTGACCCAGAGATATACTAAATCAATCCGCGCGTCCTGTACCATCTCCCGCGTGCAGGGCAGCTGCCATTTCCCGCTACTCACCCATACGTCCAAACACTCGTCGCTGATCCGCTCGTGTGCTCGTATGGGCCGGACGTGCGCGTCGGGCAGGGCATCCTCAGCGCTGAGCCCCGTGAAGGCATGGTAGCGTTTGCCGTGTAGCAGAACAGGGGCCGGAGGGTCCGGCACTGGCGCTTGCGGGGGTACGTAAAATACAGGTAGGTCGACGAGCGGATATGGGTCCGGTGCGCTGAAGAGGTAGACGCAGACGAGGAATCCGAAGGTCGATAGGGCGAGGACAATACAATGCCGAGAGCGGAGGCGGCGCGGGACTGCGATGGCATAACCTCCGGTAATAGGGACGTGAGTGGGGAGATCGTGTCGTTTGCGCATTTTATAGTTTGTGCTGGAGAGGCACTGGGAGGGAAAGTCCCTTGAGAGGACGAATCACGGATCGTCAGAGATGAACGCACTGAAGACCAGGAACCTTCTCAGTCTAGCAGTACTCTGAGTGTTTCCACTGCGTGAGAGACCACAAAGGCTGCACACGACCGCGGCGAACGACCTGAACCATATCAACAGGTGGGTGAATGTTGTGCAGTATTGATCCCGCTCCCTCTCGGCGGTCTCTCGGCAGGCTATTTTTGTAATCTATTGACTGATGGGCTTATCCTGGATCAAAATCGTTGCTTTTTCTCCAGTCTTTGTCAAGCTCTTGAGCTGTCGTCGAATTTCCTCACCTCGCACTAATCCCCTTGAATCGAAGGCCAATCGACCGTCTTTTCTTACACCGCTACGCCCTGTGTCTGAAATCACAATCAATGCTTACCCAATTCCCCACAGTCCTTATTACTTAATGTACATTGCTCCACACTCAAGAGATCAGCCAGCATTTATATTCCATCTTGTGTCATCGGAATTGGGAGACGTAGGGAAATATCATTCAATGCGCGCGCACTGGAGTGAGCCTTTGAAAATTCAGTATAGTCAGTCATATGCGTTCAAATGAATAAGAGATTGCGGTGGAGACTTGTCGAGATAAAGCATCCTCTCGTTTTGCGCTCAAGGTTTGGACTAACCACAGGTCCTCCCAAACGATGAATCAGGAGAGCCAGACTGAACATCTGCGATATCGGAAGCAGCCAGAACTTTCAAAACGTCAGCCATGCACATCATCGTCGCTAGGAAACGATGTCAGCTTGAGTCCTGTCCTTGGTCATAAGCAGAAAGCCCTGACGTGTGATTGCACGGCTGCGAAAGACGGGGAAGCGCAAGGTGCCGGTACATCATCCCGGGACAGCTCCGCGACGAATACTTATAAAGCATGACAGATATCAAGAGGGATCTGGTGGAAAAATAGGACAGGTTCTGGGCCATGGCCGACTCGCGCAGACGGCAGAGATGCAGAGGATGGGATCGTCGGGTGGGGGTCAACCGATTCGCCAGCGACCCATCCTTTCAAAGTACCTTGAAAAACATCTACTCGAGTGTACTGTGACCTGGATCAAGCGCTATTCTGCCAAGGACCAGATGATCTCCGAGCTCTCAGCTCAAGGAGTATGACATAATCGAAGTCGGCAATTTCTTAAAAAAAAAAACTCGCACTGAATTTGGCATGGGAGACGCAAGGAGGTGCGATACATTGCCCGACTTGAGCAAGTGCTCTTGAGTACTTCGTTCTTTTTTCATCAGTTCTGCGAGTGGGCTACCCTAATGATCCAGAGTTGAGAGCGATGCGTCTCCAAATGGCCGAATACTGAGAACGAACGAGATCCGATGGAAGCCAAACCAGGTTGGGAGTCAGAGTAAGGTCAGAGCGTGACCTTGTCACGGTAACATCGTGAATTGCCAAGGCTAAACCGGGTGACTAACGATCCGATCACCAATCAATGACATATGTATGTCAGTCGATCATCGCTCGCTGGGGACAACTTCCGGCGCACGCCGTCACGCACCCTTGTCTCCCCCACGATGTTGATGCTCAAGCAACTTTTCTCCCTCGTCGTCCTGGCCAGCGCGGCTGCCGGATCCGTCTTGTCCCTGCCGAAACAGCTTCCCATTGGCTCGAGCCCGAGCTCTGTTCTTCCTCCGGATAGCTGGAGCTACGAGGATTGTGGTATGTCGGCAAACCCGATAAGGTCTTGCGCAGAGCAGCTCATTTGATATCAGGCAACGAAAGTGACCCGGTTTCAATCACCTCTATCTCTGTCTCCCCAGACCCGCCCAAGATTGGGCAGGATTTGACTGTGAGCGTGGCGTTCGAGGTGACGCAGCTGGTCGAGGTGCGTGTGCTATGCTATAACCATTTATGCCAATAAACGCTGACTGTCTCCACTCTCCGTCCTCTCTATCCTTTTCACTGTCATCTATCCATCGTTGCGCCTGTAAAACTCGACACATTCTCAGGAAGGCGCCTTCGCCGATGTCCTTGTCAAAGTCGGTCGTATTAAGCTCTTGAACCAGAGGTTCGACCTGTGCGAGGAAGGGTACGTCTTTCATACTCTTCTCCTCAGAACAGACCGCTCAACCACACACGAATCCTCGTAGCCGCAAGGCGAACGCGTCTGTCTCCTGCCCCGTCGAGCCAGGCAACTACGTCATCACGCAGACCGTTGAGCTCCCCAAAGAGACACCCAAACGTAAGCACCCGTGCTCGGTGCCTCGTGCTCCACCGTATTCTCCTGTTCTCACGTCGCCATCTCACAGTCCGCTACGTGATCAACGTCCAGGGCTGGACGAAGGCGGAGAAAGCGCTCGCTTGTGTCGACCTCGGGGTCTACTTCCGGCCGTTTTTCCAAGTGTGGGACTGAATGGATCAGTCGCGGTCCCGCAGTCACGCGATGACTTGCTCTTCATTCTGAGGCTCGGACCATGCGTCATCACACGACACGCGCATACGTACTGTCCTCCTCTGCATGTACTTTTACATTGACGAACGTTATGCTCTATTTCATCCGTGCATGTGGAGTGCACATGAATTACTGTGCCGCGGCATGGAGCGCTACTGTTTCGCCGGAAACTACGGACTTTCGCTGGTCATCACCGGGCAAGGCACACGCGAAGAGACTGCTACAGGAGTCATCCACACCGAAGGATTGGGAATCTAAGGAAACGGGATCCTGAACCTTATGTGCTAGTAAGACCTGCCGCTGATAGGCCTAGACATCGTCCGCGCCCCAGCCGGGGCGCATGCCACTGAGGAGTCCTTACACGCAGCTTGACGCCCAAAGATATGCCCAGCACAGACTGCCCCGCGACTACCCGCTGTCCGAAGGACGAGCGGTGAAGGCAAGCGGGCACACCGGGAACAAGTGCCGACTAGCAATGTACTGTCTTGGGTCTGATAAGCCAGGAACATGGAACCCGAGACACACGGGTACAGACGTCAGACCTCTGGAGCATAATATCCCAGCCGGAGCTTTTGAGAACTTCATCTGAAAGAGTTATCGGAAGAGCATCATTCCTGAAGCCCCAAGAAGCGGAGTGAGAAGCCGTCTCCGATTCCGTTTATAGAAAACGGCTGGACCCTGCTGCTCGGTAATCGACGAATAGATGGCGAGGTTTAACACATCCAGCACAGTTGATTCGGTGGCGCTGCAGTCGAATCACTATATGAGACGGAACAGGGGACGGATAGGTAAGAGATATGTACTAGTAGCGGAGGTGCTTGCTGCGCGGAGTTGTAAGATGTGAAACATATTCACTAGCATCAGGCCTGAGCAGCGGGACTGGACGCATCGACTAGGGTCGATGGTCATTGGTCACTGGTGGGTGGGCTACCATAGTGCCTAGTGCTCCACTGCAACAACCTAACGCGGGACTGATATTTGATCGCGTGAGTTGCCGCACGGTTGGATGGCCGAGCGGTCTAAGGCGCTAGACTAAGGATTACCTCCTTGTGGAGGATCAATTGCGACTTGCGATCTAGTCCGAAAGGGCGTGGGTTCGAATCCCACTCCAATCACGTTTTGTCCCTCACGCCGTCGACTAGTCCGCGTTTGTTAAGCTAGAGATCCTGTAACTCTGGGCCATCGGCACGCTCTCAAGCAGATGGAAGGGCAGGAGAACCCTCAGGTTCTGCACGGTCCGTGTTTAAAGACGCTGCAGATCAATGTCGTTTCATTAACAACAATTTATGACCAGACCATCTTATGACAGTCGTTCAAGCAAAATCTTCATCTGCTTTGGCCATATACTTATATCGACGATACACGGCAAGGCCTATTGATTCCCATGATTGTGCATACGCGTGAGATACTACGGAATTGAAACCCTCGGGATCAGTTACTGCCGTCGTCCAGGATGATGAGCAGGCTGGCGCATAGCACAAAGCACCTTCACCAACGACTTGACAGTATCCTCTGGCAACGGTTCCCCGATAGAACAGCCTTGAAGAACGGTGACCGTTTCCTGAACGATCTCCAGATCTTCGATGGAGAGTAAGACCCGGTCAGAATAAGCATTGGCTACAAGGACAAGACCATCGATGAGCTGGGCCTTATCGCGCTCGAGCGCATGGCCGTTCTCGGACAACTGCCGCAAGGCCGCTACGTGATTAGTTTCCCGGGTTTGGTGCCACTGAATCTGGCTCCGCAGCTGCGACGTCTCGGCACGACCACGAAAGTTCTCTCCAGCAAGGCGCGTGTTCTCCTCGTGCAGCCGGGTCAGCTCATGGCCCACCCTCGGCCCCTCCGCCGTCAACCGGGTGGCCTCCGCCCGCAGGCTCGCCACGGCGTTCTTCAGATCCTGGCGCTCCGCTTCGTGCGCAGCGGCATCCGCCTTCCTCTTCGCCTCTTTGCCGATCAACGCGTTCCGTTCGACGCGCAAGCCCATGTTCTCCACCCGCGTCGTCTCCATCTCCTTCCGGATGCGCGCATAGTCGTCGCGCTGCGCAGCCAGCTCAACGCGCAGGACGCGGATCTCATGGTTCTGCTCGCGCGTGCTCGGCTGCAGCTGCCGGCCGGCGGAGGGACCGTCGGCGATGGAGAGCACGGCGCTGGAGAGCGCGCCGTTTGGGTACATGAGCGCGCTGAAGCGCGTTAGGGCGCGCCGTGCGAGGCTGGCTGCGTTGAGGGCGTGGGCGGATTGCGCGTTCACGAGTGCGAGAGCGTGGCGATAGGCGCAGTCGTGTGCGAGATCGGAGACCGCAGGGAGTCTTTCCTCGTCCTCGCTTCCGGGAGCGGGGCCAGAGACATCGGAGAGCTTTTCTTCGTCGCTGGCTTTTGGTTGTTCCTCGGCAACACGTGGAGAAGAGTCGGGGGTCGCAAGCGGGACGGCTCCAGGAGCGGCTGCTGCTGAGCAATAGTTAATGATACGATGGAGTGAGACAGACGAAAGAAGGACGCACGCTCTTCAGAAGAACACATAACCGGATGCGCCGGACTGTTAGATCGCATCTCCAACGCGACACCATCCATCTCCTCGGCTTCGCCTTCTCCTTCAGTATTCTGCACCGGAGTCACAAGCGAGTCATCGACCTCGAACGAGGTTTGAGGCGTCTCCGGTGCTACTTCAGTCGGCTCGATTGAGGGTTTGTCTCCGCAAGATGCGAGAAGAGGCGGGACGTTTTCTTTGAAAGTCGCGACATCGAAGGCGGGTAAGACGACCTGCGATTCGCTCACATGGCGACGCATCTCGCGTTGGATGCCTGTGGGATGCGTTTAAGAGATGCTTAAAATCCATGATATGGAGAATGCCTACTGAGAGGATGACGACTGGAAAGCATGGTTCTTGAATGGTGGACGTTAGGCTTGTGCGCTTTGCGCTTTTATATCCATCGGCAGTCGACAGCGAAGACAATGGTCGCATCACCACGCGCGGTGGCATCGACGAGGACAAAGCTGGATCATAAAGCGCTTTGGAAGAAGGTTTCGGGAAGAGAGGGACAAAGCAGTTGTGTGCAAAACCCGTTACAGTTTGAAACAATCAGTCACTCTGTCACGATGTCAGAGGTCGTTTGTACTTCGCCCGTGTTCTACTAAGTATCGTTGTGAGTACGGGACTCGTCGTTCAACATGTTCGACAGCGACTCGGATATTCTTGAGCTAGTCTGCGATGAGCCTGCGCCCAAGCTGCCCAGGGAAATCGCAGAGTCTGGCCTACGAGTCCGATACCGGCGAGCGAGACATTCCCACAGGCGAGAATTTCAAAGAGATGAAGCCAGTAACAGATTCATCCGTGTCCGGTAAGTATCCCTCTCAGCCAGTGTGCTCCTCACACTGTACCTCGGTGTCAGGAACGGCAAGGTCATGAACCGCCAAGGCCGCCCAGTCTGCCGCATCATGAGCGCCGGGGGATGGGAGAAGGATAGCGTATTTGTTCAGCATCTCTGTCACCATTGTCGCGCGCGCGATGGCCAATGATCGTCAAGTTATGCAGCGCGGGCGACTACACGCATAACCAACTGTCCTGCAGAAGAACTCTGAGAGTGAGCTTGAGTTTCTCGAGATCCATATTTAAATGGATTGAGAAAAGCTTTCGAGCTGAAGGGTCCTTACCTCTTTGCGGCCGATACCGAACAATTGAACAGTGACCTTCCTTTTAGGGATCAAGGATGTTGTTCTTTGATTATCTTTGCAACTTGGAACAATCTCGTTGCCTCGGAGCCGCCGAAACGACACGTCTGAACTGTAGTCCTTCTGAACTGATTCTGGACCCAGAAGCAAGAGACTTTGTTGTCCTGTTCTTGCCGGACTACGCTGATCAGCACGGTGAGAAACTACGAAGGAAAGTTAAGCACCAAGTGATAGAGTCAAGTTCCAGAACCGTCGACCGGTCAACGACGAGTTATACACTATGGGTGTAGATTTGACTAAATCCTAGCACTATGGGTGCAGTTCAATCCCTGATCGGCGCAAAGACTCCCTGTACATATATACGGGTATTTAGTTTACAAGGTAACATAGCTCTACACTGGGCTTTCCAGAGCAGACCGGTACGTAGAGTGGCCCACAGAGCTGTCAAACGTCGAACCCCTGCGTCTATCCACGATAGACAGCTCTCCCAAGTCCTCCTCGGAGTCTTTCGAGTCAGACCGCTGATCCCAATTCGAACCGGACAGGGCCGGCAGCTTTTCCTGCCCCCATCGCCCGCCACCGCCCACAGCCATGTCCGGCGACCCCGCAGCCCACTCCACCCCGGGACCGGTCGCGGTCAAGTCGAGGCTGCCGATCCCCGCGCCATTGAGCGTCTCGCTCACAGTCGTGTGCCCCAGCGTCGGAAAGCGCTGTGCAAACGCGAGCTTCTCGGACGGCCCGTCGAGCGGCGTGACGGCTTCCACGGCCCAGCCGAGCCCCACGCGCGTGTGAATCAGCGCGTTGACGATGCCGACGACTTCTGGTGCGCACTGGATCACGAGGAACTGCAGCAGCGAGCGTGTTTTGTACGTCGCTGTGAACAGGATCGCCCACGAACTGGGGTGGACGAGAGGCAGATGGTGAGTCGGGGAAGTGAGAGTAGGTGGTGGCACGTACGCGTAAATTGCCGCGGACTCCATCACGATTACCAAGAATTCCTGGAAGGCCCGTCAGAAAATAGTCGAGCTCTTGGCCGCTCAATCACACTCACACGAAGACTGGACCCTCCCACCGGTCTGACAACGCGCGTGATGTTCCAGATTTTGTACGTGATGAAAGCTGTCGTTTCCACATCAGTGAATGAAAAGCGGAGGGCAGAGAATCGACACCCACCAGTGCAGTAGACGTTCGTTCTGTGTTTTTTCGCTTATCAGGAATGAATTGCTTTGCGTTTATGTGAACGTACACGAGAGTAAGGACGCAGTTGCTCGTCAGCCACGGATTGGAGAAGATGTCCTCTTTAGTGTTCTTCCTGCTCACAGTATACAACGAAACGGCACTGCATGCTGCGCCGAGATGAATGAGAGGGCCTCAAAACACAGCTAAGAAACTCACTCGTCAGCGCGATCAAGCTGCATATCGGAAACAGGACGACTGAAACACGGCGCTCCCAGACGACCCAGAGCCGGTGAATCTTCGAGATGCCAGTCAGTGAGTTCTGGGTATCGGCTCCAGCAAAGGTGCACGCACGATTAACGAGTCGCCCATTAGAATCGAGAACATCAGGAAGCTTGATTGCATTATATCCGTCGTGTGTGTTGCATCAAGATAAAACTGGATCGCCGCCTGGCCGTTATCAAAATAGATGAACGCGAGGAACGCGCGGTAGACCGTCGTGATCCAGTGCTGCGGAAAGGGGATTCAGCGGACGGAGGAGGGCGACAGGCGTCTCCCGATCACGGAGGTGCGAGTCGCAAGGATCTGATCCAAGCACTACTCACTGCAGTGACGGCGAACCACATCAAGATCGCCGCGATGAAGACAGTCGAGCGGAACAGAGACGGAGGACTGTGCACTTTTCTCGACCGCCGCACCGCCAGGTACCGTGCGACCAGGAGATACAGCGAGGTCACGAACAGCACCAGGAACATGCCGTAGAACAAGGACGAGCATGTCAGCGCGGCCAGGTTGACCGCAAGAAGCTCCCGGGCGGTGGACGAGGACGACGACATGGCGAGACGGAGCAGGGTGGGAGCGCGGCAACTTCTCATCTCCGCCTTAACCTCGACTTTGGCTTCGCACGTTTGGCAGAAGGAATGTTACGTAAGACAACTGCTGTACCTGGAATGGATGTGGCAGGCATGGCCTGCCCATTGCCTCGGCACCCGGCATTCTGATCCAAAATAGCTGGCAGTTCGTGTCCGGTAATCATATTCCTGAGTTGGCGCACCAGATGACCGCTTCTATGCGGTCTGGCAAGCACGAAGAGAGGCTTAACAAGCTGTAGAATCTAGTGGGTATTCCGCAGGACGATATCGGAAAGCACCCCGGCAATCAAGTCTGTAGTCCTTCCATAGTCTAGAGCCACTCCCATCGCTGTCGATGTCGGTGTCAATGGCGCTGCATTAATCTTCTGTAACGAGCGTGCCTGCTCAGCCCGCTACCGAAACGCACTGAAACGTCTGTGCACATGGCTGAGAAGTTGCGCGCGGGAGGAAGACAGATACCAAGCACGCACCGCCTCAGGAAAGAACCCAAACGCTCTCCGCCACGCGTCTAGGTCACCTGTCAGGACGAAAGCAGCTGAGAACCCCAGACCCGTTTCAGCAGATTCGTTATCAAACAAGGAACCGCGACGGGCGAGACACACCATCACTGTCAGCCTTGAACACCACTTTCAGAGGCACCGTCTGCGCGCCGTCGTTCACCCAAAACGCGCGCAGATCCTGTGAAACAGGGCAGTACTGCCAGACGGCCGACTCGACGGCCTCCGCGATGCCTGTCCGCATGGAGAACGAGTTGATCGTCGACTCGCCCAGACTGGGCGCACCGCCCGGTTGGGCCTGCGACGTCGCAGAAAGGTACACATAGCTGTGCAATGACAGTTACACAACGCGAGGATCTGCGTGAACTCGGCAGGATCTGCGTACTTTCGGGATCCGGGTCCGAGCGTGTTGTTGGTATCACTGTATCCAACAACTGCAGCGGATCAGACAGTGCGAGCGGTCCGGGGAAGGGAGGGACGGATTACCGAGCCCGAGGTACATCTCCTTGAATCCGCCCGCCGGGCCGTTCAGCATCTGCAAGTCGACCTCCGATACGTTCCCCGTCCCAGGCTTGTAGGGAAACCGGACCAACAGTGCGACGGCTCGGTCCTGCTGTATGGCGTTGAATTCCCCGAATGGGTTCAGTGTGGGGGCCAGGAAACCCCGCAATGTGCCGCCAATGGACACAGAAATCGCGCACGTTTGTCTGCCAATGCGGACAGTCAAGGGCAAACGGACGAGTGATGCGGGTAGGGACACGCACAGCGGGATGGGCGCACTGGACGGACGGGGAGGAACTGCTTCCTCGATCATCTGTTTGACAGGGGAGCCCAGTCCTTGCAGCTTGCGCCCGGGCTTCATCAGGGGCAGTCGCAGCCTCAGACGTTCCGCGTTGGTCCTAGGGAGCTGAAGCGGCAGGGACTCCGGCGAGAGAAGCACATCGGGGTTGGGGTTGATGCTGAGGAGGGCCGATGCGACGACTGGAAGCGCAAGGAACAGGGAGAAGATGCCCGGAAGTAAATTGAAGCGCATCGTTTTGGCACCGTCGGTCTGGTGGCCGGCCTTTATGTGAGTCCGCCACAACGATAACGTCGAGAGAAGTGAATAAACTTCCCAGCCAAGACCGCTCACACGCAACTTGCCACCCCGGGAAGCCTAATAACTCTTGCTGGACGTTCCGCCGAGCTAGTGGACGTTTGGTCCCTCCGATCCCACCGTGCATGAGAGTGGTAGAGCAGATTAGAGCGGCCTTGAGGCCCCGGAGACCCTCGCAGGTCTCACGCTTTTTCAAGAACGTAGGTGTCACGAACGCAGAGCGTCACAACAAAATCGGTCTTTGAAAATCTGATCACGTGCAAACTCTCCGCTTCGATGATTTGATCCTCATGATCACTCGGTAGGCTCTCTCAGCATTGAGTTGGTTGATACAGCTGGTGTCAAGCTTCGCAGGAGAAGCTATGGACTATCTCGGTTTCCGTTCCACTCAGCATCGTGAAGGCGGGGATACTGGTAGACGTCAGTCGATGAGGTAAATATCCTGCAGGTTAACGAATACATCTATGTCATACCCCTGACGCGGCCAGAAATCGCGCAGAAGCATAAAATGTTTTCATCCCATTCAGTCAAGAAGGCAGACTCAACCGATTCGGAAACATTATCGACTGAAACGACCAATTGAACGCGACAATCCGAGGCAGCAGCGGATCTAGATTCCAGATGCAACATAATATCTGACCATTCGCATGGAAATCGGACGGAGATAGATCTTGAATGAGTCACCTCCGTGATGCATAGTCTCTGCGCTAATCTTTGGTCCCTCCTGATTCTCACCTCGGCTGTTGAGCAACGAACGATTTCTTCGAGGTGGCCCTGATCAAGATTTTTTTGCTACCTTTCAATTTAAGCCGAGCATCGATACATCGTCTGAACACTTTCCGCCATTGATGCGCCGCCTTGGACTTCTTTTCGAGATCGATCGTCCAGGAATCAACTCTTATGGTAGTGCGCGTAGGCGTGTAGAGAGAATCGGCATCTAGAGCTGGGGAACACGATGATAAGGCTCAAAACGGAACTTCTCGATGGAAATGTCTACCTGATTGGGAGCACCCCTCACATAACGATAGTGAAATATTCCATCAGCGGCCTGGCAGGGCACGTTGTCGTGCTCGGGTTCGCTCGACCGAGGAGAAAATCCATGTCACTGCACCTGAGGTTCTCAGAAAACACTCAGAATGTTCTCAAGTAGAAATATGGCGCATAATCTTATGCTACGCAGCCCCATTCGCAGAAATTGCATTTATTTCATTCAACACATTCATTTCAAATTCAACACTCGAGAAAAAAGAAAACACCTAAAGAAGAAGCGAAGAAGAGTGTTCTTTCAGGCGTCATTCAGTTACGATGGGGCATAATCCCCTGCTCACAATCCCGCGAGCGAAGTGAGGATCGTGACGATGAGGCCGGGCAGCGTAGCGACCAGGGTGGTCGCCAAACCGAGCAAGGCCTTCACCGAGGTCAGGAGGGGGTTGAGCACGTTAGCGGCGGCCCCCTGCGATATTCGAGCGATGAGAAATTTTTCTACGCAGGCGGGGCATGAAGCCGACTCACGACGAGGGTGAAAGTAAGGCCAGTGACGATGTTGACGATCGAGATCGCGGCGTTGGTCGCGAGGGTGATCGCGTCGGTCAGAGTGCTGATGACCTGGAGAAGAAAGCTCAGCGTTTGATGCGCCTGCGACGTTGCGCAGGAGAGATACACACATCGGCCGGGGTAGGCGCCGCGGCGCCCATCACGCTCGCAGCGAGGGCCTTGTTCCCCCCAGTCGCGGACTTCTTGAGCGAGTCCAGAATCTGGTTGGCCGCAGCCATGTGCTGGTTGACACCGAGCAGTCCCTGTTAGTATCGCATCAGCTGTCGTGTAAAGACAACGGAAAACGTCGGTGTCGCACCGGGGCAACACCGGTGCACTGGAGGGCAGCGGGCTTGGTGGGGGGCGCAGCGGCGAGGCTGTTTCCTTTGCTGACCTGGAAAGGGGCGAAATCAGATGTTGAACAGCGAGAACCGGAGGATTGTTGTATACATCGACGCTGGCTGCGCTGACCGCGGTGAAGGCAGCGAAGGCGGTAAAAACAACGGCGAAGAGCTTCATTGTTGGTTAAGTCAAGGGCTGAAGGCTGAAGATGTAAGGGAGTTCAGATGTCCTGGAGAGGATGAAGATATCTTTCCAATGTGCAACTCTTATACAACTTCCGCCTGCCAGAAGGAGATATACATATCGTCCTAGTACGTGTTGGTTCGTGGAGGCTTCTGGTAGAAGCAGGAATTAAGACCCGGTTCTGGATCGCGCGACATGCAACATTTCGAGAGAGCGGCGATAGTCATGCCCCTGTATCGGCAATCGTCTGCTCGCCACCGCAAGCGACTGTCTATATCCGGCGAAGCGATCCAAGTAGCTTCATGGGTCCACATGTTGACTCTCGCGCACGGACAATGGGGTCAGGGATTGGTAGAAATCATTACCGAATGTTGTTGCCGACCGCGGTATTCACGCCGCCGGTGAAATAAACTCGAGGCTACCGAGAATTAGGAGGTGCGATGCTTGGAAAGGGGTAGCACTTTCCCTCATCCAGAGGTAGACCCATGGAAGTGAATAACGAGAGAGTTGGGCGGCGGCGGCGGCGGCGGGGATCTAGATACTTCTCTGCATGATGGGCAAGCCGCACAAGTTGACACGAAGAATCCGAGTCAGAAGACGCAAAAACGGGGGGCCATTGTAATACACACGGAAAACTACGAGGACGTGAATACATATAGTGACAGGGACAGAGGCAAATGGGAGCTACAATACAGCGATTTACACATAGCAAGAGGAACGAAACAGAAGAGCGAGAATCATGATCTACGACGTCCACGGGGAGGATCAACACACATTCCACCAGGGGGACCGGTCACGGGCAGACCCGATGTCGAGAAGCGAGGGAATAACAGCAGCTCCTTCACTTTCTTTGGCGACATGGATATCCGACACCGCGATGGGGTGTAGCGGAACGGAGCAAGAGTACATCTGTAATCATTTAGCATTCGGACCGCACATACAGAACTCAAACAACTAACGGGTTTGATGGGAGACTCGGCATTGGGAGAGGTGGAGGCTGGTAAGGGTGAGGGGGGGCGAGGACGGTCGAACCGTGTGGCACAAAGATCCATTTCCCCACTTCGTTTTCAGTAAAAGGCGGCTGAGAGTGAGAACCGAATGGTAGCTGCGACGACGGAACCGATGCCCTGAAGGCTCCCATCGCCGAGGCGTCGAGCGTTGGGTGGTGAAATCCAGATACGCCGAACTGTTGGCTGCAGGCAGATGTCAGGATTGGCAGTCTGACAAATGTGGAGTGGGACTGACAAGTCGCCCGGAGCAAAGGATGGTTGTGCAACGTAGGGAAGCTGGGTCATCAGAGAGGCATCGCGCAGTGGGTTATCGAGTGGCGGGTAGACCATTGCCGGCTGCCTCAGTTCCTGACTTCAGATAGTGTTAGCGGTAGCACATTGACACAGAACGAGCAGTGACGTACTAGCATTCTCGAGTTCCATCAACTTGCTCTGCCTCGAAAGAACGGGCATAGTCCTGTGCCGCAATCGCTGGTTGGCTGAAACGACCATCAGTTGAGTACGAATGCATTGAAAGGGCGAACACGGACAACGGCAGATCTCGATGCATGAGACCTTGGTGTCTGAGAAAACAAGTTAGGAAATGGTAGAGAGGGTGGAGAGAAGACACGGCGTACGATTCTGGTTCCGGCGCAGAGCTCCTCTCACGACCTTGATCGCCGCCGCCTTCCTCCAAGTCCCGCCTGACCACGATTGACCAGACCCAATCGAAGAACAAGAGTATCGCCCATCGGTCCAGCTTGTCCAACAGATCGAGATTCTCATCGAGAACAATCTGTGCCGCCCTATGCAAGGCGTCCCCTCGATCGATTGGCGCGGGGTCCAGCTTGTAGCCCTCGGCAATGTCGGAGGTACTCGCACTCAAGATCTCTGGAGCGAACTGCTCGAGGAACTGGTCCACAGTTTCGTCGTCGATCAGCTCGAGATGCCGGAGTTGCTGGTAGGCCGGCGGGATCGCTTTACGCCTGGGGAACAAGGCATGTCGGAACCGCAGGACAATGAGCGAGAGCAGGACGAGGGGGAGAACGCCGAAAAGGAGAATCGGAAGCGAGGAATACGCCCAGACAAGCGCCACCTGCAAGCCCGATGGAGTCGCCTCTGGAACGCGCGTGTGAACTTGGACCCACGCCAGGTGCCCGCAGATGTCGGGAAGGTGGGTGTATTCTCCGAAAAACGGTGGTCTGACTAATGTACCGTCTAAACTAGGAAAGACCAGCTCTAGACTCCTGGCACAGCCACAGGTGCCCCCCCTCAAGCGATGTCCGTCCTCGGACATGTCCCCCCGTCTTGTCAATGGAAACGCCACGCATTGGGCTCCGCAGTTGCGGCCCTACTCGCCCGACGCAACCCCAGCTGCCCACTGGTTTTAGAGACTCGACTTCCACGCGTCTTCCGCCATCCGTTCCTCCGCTGCGGCGATCTCCAGGTCCTGGGTCGTAGGATCTGGCGTTGTCGTATCCCGCGGGTGCTTCTGGTCCAGGGTAGAATCACGTAGCGGGATGTAGTGTCGTAGCCGTCTCGAATGAACGAATTGTAGATTGGCGAGTGGTTTGCCCTCTAGGTTGCAGAGGGAGAACGAATTCAAGTGCTGCGCGTAGATTTGCACCGGCGCAGACCAGCGCGGCTTTAGCTTGTTCACCGAGAGGCGGTTGTTGTCCGCTTCCGAATCGTACCATTGCACCAGGTCGCCGATCCTGAAGTGGACAATTTTGGAGTTTGCTTCGAAACTGGACTTCTGTTGTGCTGCCCGTTGGAGCGATCTGAGGTGTGCTGTCCAGCGGATGCTGTCTGCTATCGCGAAGTGAATGTCCGCGTCTGATGCGGTCGTTTCACTCAGCTGGTCTGGTATGGCCTGGTCCCGCGTGAAGGGTCGTCCGAATAGCAGCTCCCTCGGTGTGGCTTTGAGGGCAATCAGGATCCGGTCGTTCATCATGCTCAGCGCTTCGTCGAAGTGATCTGGCCAGTTCCTCGGTATATCACCTGGGTCCACCGTCCCCTCGTCTGCATCGTGATCGGGTGCGCACAGTCGTTTCAAGATCTTGAGCAAGATCTTGTTGCTTCCCTCGATGAGGCCATTGACCCACGGTGAGTATGCCGGTGTCGTAATGTGCTTGACGTTGTTAGCGGCGCAATAGTCTGACACTGCGTCATTGCGAAAATGCTTCCCCCCGTCCGCCATGAAAGCGTCAGGCACCGCGTGTTCGTGGAAGATATGACTTAGCGAATCAATGGTCGTTTTTGCGGTGCCCGCCGACTTCAGTTTCGTCCCCCACACAAAGTGGGAGAACACATCCACGTAGAGACCCACGTTCTTGAATCCACCCTTGCCGTCCGGTAACGAGAGATAGTCGCCTGCAATCAGGGCAAATGGAAGTGTACGGCGGATCGGTTGCAGCAGTGAGTTACGAGTCGGGGCCCCAAAGCTCTTGCACCGCGGGCATTCGAGTATTACCGACCGGCAGTCTGTGTCCATACCCGGCCAGAAGTAGCGGTCTGAGAGCTTGAGCTTCGTGCTCTCCACATTGAAGTGCCCGTTCTGCGCATGGACCTTCATCGCTAGATCAAAGCCCTGCGCTGTGGGGATGCATTCCGTCCGTGCTACTCGGCGCGCTGCCGTATCCGCGACTCGCCAGAGTTTACCCTCTGCAATCATGAACCCTTCCGCGCGGTGCGCGAGTCTTCTGCGCTCTGCAATCGAATCCCCGACTGTATACCCCAGCAGGTAGTCGATTACCGGGGCAAAGAATAGGTCGTCAGCAAACAGAGCTTGGAGAGGGTGACTCGCCGCGTGTGTGTCTGCCACTGTAAACACGTCCCTTATGACCCCTCGTGGTGCTTCCCAGTCTGCTAGGACCGACCACGCTGATCCGTCCTGCTCTGTGCGGTCCCGGTTCGCCCACTTCCTGCTTAGCGCGTCTGCCACCGGGTTCTCAATGCCGGGTCGGTGTCGAATGTCGATGATGTTGCGCGCAAGGATCGACTCCTTCCAGCGGCTATGGTGGGAGTTTAGTTTCTCCCGCATCAGCGTGTCGCGCAGGGCTTGGCAGTCCGTCTCGATCTCGATGGGGGAGCCGTAGGTGTACATTTCAAATTCGTCTAGTGCGTATTTCAAGGCAGCAAACTCGAGTAAGAACGGTTCATACTTAGCTTCGCTCGTTGATGTGCGTTTGGAGCAAAACGCTATTGGGTGCCATCGTTTTGATTCCTTCCCGTTCTTGTCTGTGTGGGGGAACTCCTGCGCCAAGTAGCCCGCAAAGCCTTCTGCTGAGCCATCTGTCGTGATCTTGAATGGCCGGCCATCGTATTGGGGCGTCTTCAACACCGGTTCCTGTGATAATAAGCATTTGAGGGTGACAAACGCACGTTGTTGAGCATCGCCCCATTTGTGTCTTATTGACGCTGACTTTAGGGCCCGTTTGTAGTCGCCTTTCCGCACACGCCAGTTTGAGCTTGGTGGGGCTACCTCCACGTTTCGCGTGAGGTCTGTGAGTGCACTAGATAGTGGCCCTATTCTATAGAACAACCGGTCATTAGAAGCATGCCCATTCTTCAGTAAACCCTCTAGCTTAGAGCAGGCCTGCAAGCCCTAGCCGTATTCCCTGCCCGTGGCAGCCAGACCCCCTTCCCCACCGCTCATATGTTGGGTGTGTTTGGTCAGTATTGATCACACGCCTTGATCGCTGTGCCACGTCATTCCTCATTGTCGTCCACGGTGAGCTCAGGCACACATTTTGATGCATGATGTCTCATCATTCACCGTGTCATTCCATCACTTTGATCACAGCGATCACACCGTCAATTCATCATCCGTCATTGCAACAACATCTGTCGTCGCTGTCATCAGCGCTCATCAGAATCTCTTGGCGTTGTCTTCCGCGATGAGCACCAAATAATTCAAATGTAGAAATAATCTGAAATGTATGCGTATACTACAATCTAAAGGCGGTCATCTATCTACGTCCAAGTCTATGGCCAGATCCTCTTCAGCATCTGAGGCCTCAACCGTGCTCACCACACCTTTTCGGCCTGTCTCGATTGAGCCGGGCACTGATTTCCACATGTGACGCAGTTTCCCTGCTCGCCGGTCATGGAAGCGTGCCTGCTTTTCAGCATACGCGTGCAATGCTTCGTCCATTGCTGGGCCCAGCTCCTCGGCCTCACGGCCAAGCCTCCGTTCTCTCCACCATGCTGCCCTCCACTCCTCAAACGCTAGCACACGTCGCATCTCTTCTTCAAGAAGATCAACCTCCTCCCGCCACCTTCCTGCCCGAGCCCTAGCCTTAGCCCATTCAACACGAAGCCCGGCAGTGAGCAGCTGTGCTTCATGTTCGGCTACGGCAGGGGACAAACTTGTGCTGTCGGTCTCAGGGTTCTGCGAGGAGGATGCTACCTCAGCCACTGGCTTCAGGCTGGTTCGCCAGATCCATGACATCTCTTTGGCTAAAGTCTCTGCCTCCCTCTCCTCCACGGTCTGCAGCGTACGTTTCTTCTTCTGCTTGCGCTGGGGATCAGCGAAAAGCGCCTGCGGCATTCCACGGATGTCCTTCTCTTCCAGCGGCCGCAGGATCCTTGACCATGCAGCATCACCCAACAGACGAGCCAATGCAACCAGAGCCGCTCTTGCTGCCCGGTATTCTTCTGCAGTCCGTTTGATGCGCCGCTGGATGTTGTCAAGGGACTCCTTTGCACGGGTGTTGGCTGCGACGCCAAATGCGTGGCGATCCTTCGCTTGGTAGTGATGCTTCTGCACAAGCAACAGGCGACGTAGTTCGTCCAGGCACTCATGGGCTCTTGCCTCTCGCATGTCAAATTCGTAGCGTGCAAATGCATGCTTGACCGTGCACCGAGATTCACCCACTAATTCTGAAGGTAGCCACAGCCTGGCAGTGAATGCCGGAGCTGGTGGGAGAGGATCCATTCTGCTAGCAGCAGCAAGCTTGTCGGCGTCTGCCTCCCGAATAGCTGTGACCTCAGGGATAAAAGTAGCCTGTGTCGCAAACCAGCTGGCTATCTTCCGCCAAAGCTTATTGCCCCGTTCCTGGATCAATGTCTTCTGTCGTGCGGTGGCGTGGATCCCGAGGGCCTTTACGTCGCTGGCAAGTGCTCTCTGCTGCTCTCCTAGCTGCATTCCCATTGCAATCATCTCTGCCACGTGTAGATCCCCACGGACCTCATCACTGTCATCGCCAGCGAGTATCGCCTGCGTCTCCGCTGCAATTCGACCCCGAACTGCCTGAAGCGACGCATGCTTCTCTCCAACAGCAAACGGATTTGGCTCTGATGCATCCTTCTCCCATCTCTCCATCTGTGTGACCCAGGATGCCAGTGTGTCCTGCGGAAGCGACTCCTCTATGTCGCGCAGCTCAATGCTCCGATTCACCATCTGGGGTATAGCGTCCTGCATGTGTTTCAGGAGCAGCTGCCCCATCCCCAGCACCTTCTTGTGGTTCCAGTCGTTGAAATGGTTGTCAATGTGATCTCGGCGCGATCCTGGACCCATCTCACGAGTGCTTGCTGCCAACGGATTTGTGTTTGACCAGCCACGCTCCGGTGCTTCACCGTCTGTTCGGCCAACAAACGGTGTCAGGTCAAACGAATACAGGACGTTGCACGCTTCGATATGGGCCGGCAGATGGAACTTGGGGATCAGCCACAGAAAGAACCGCTCCCCGCTTCTGGCTCGCTCCTGCAGGCATGGCTTGTATCGTTTCAATCGCTCCCAGATGTTGAGGCTCCACTGACACACAATATCGTACGAAACCACAAGCTGGACTAGCTCATCATAGCCATCCAAGCTCTTCCACAGGGCATAGTCCATGTTGATGTATCTTTTGCAAGAATGAGTAACGCACAAGTGCTCTAAAGTAACGCTCACCTCTCTCCTTTCTGCAGGTCTACAACACCATTGGGACGCTTCATGTTATGGCGAGCGCAGTCTACCGTCCCTATTCCAGAGGATGCTGTTCCTCGAGCCTCGCGATTTGGCTCATTGACAGCATCATGGGACACACATCTACTCTTCTACTGAGAGACATCAGCAGTGCAGAATGGCTATGTGAGCAACGCACCTCCTGCTCTGTATCCCAGTGGGCTCGGACGTGCTCCATATACTCATCAATTTGGCTGTAGAAGGCGCACCCTTGATTCAGATCGGGATCTACCTCTTCCGAAGACACTGCCTTGCGCTTCATGCGGAAGTTCGCGTCTATTGCCAAGAACAGCGCATAAAGGAAACGGAGATGGGGAGGAGCAGCTCGCCATGACCCATCTTGTGGAAGGTTCTTCCCTGGCTGTGGACAGGCTGGACACAGGACCGCGCACGAGCCAGCTGGAATGTTTCGGCAGCCGGCTGTTTCATGAGCCCGCCCGAAACGCTTGAGCATTTGAATATGGGCCCATTCCCGTGTCATTCGAAGGAACTGACTGTAGCGGTCCTAGGTTTTGAGTCAGATTATTGATTGAGGGTCATGACATCTGGATCACATACCCGGGGCTGAAAACTGCCGCTGTTGTTCGTCATCCGGGCCAGTGCATTGTAGAATTCGTAGGCAGAGCACTTGGTTTCAAATGATAACAGTTGGTAGCCTCGCAGGACTTCAAACGTTGCAGCGCTAGCGGGACGAAGTGTTGTTGCGGGGTATAGCTTGGAGCGGAGAAGCTGGACAGAGTGCATGGGTGCACCGGCACATTCACAGTAGTCTAGATTGACTTCGTGAATGCCGTTTGAATGCACAATGCAGAAGGTGGTGGTCTTATCTAGGCGAGGCGCAGCACATCTGTCAGCGCCGGCGTGACCGATCTGGATCCGTAACCCAAGGCTAGCCAGCGAGGTTCGTTCGAAGCACATGCCATCCCAAGCCTGTGCTCTCTGCGTCAGTACCCTGTGGCTGAAATCTGCAGGCATGATCATCGTACCTCAATGTGGTGTAGCGGATGCTCCCGATGGCGAGACACCAGGCACGACGAGCAGAACAATGAGCCCATAAAGCATTGCTCACAGCGGTGTGTCCCATCAGACTTCTTGCAGGCATTGCACGGTGTGAAACCGCTGCCTGTGTTGTCCCCTCGCCCAGCTGACCGCAACAACTCATCCACAAACGTGGGCATCTCCTCCTCAAGCCAAATCCTCAGGGGGCGATCCTGCTTCCGAGATGAGCTCATGCAAGGTGAGCAGATCAATTGTTGCTCGCACCGTATCTCGTGGACGTCGAGGGTGCTTGTCCGGAGGATGCCCCTCATCGAATTCAAATTCTGCCCCCAGGTCGTTCCCCCCCTCGTTGAAAAGCTCAGGCAGAGGTATGAGCGGTGGATCATCATGCAACAGGCTGTCCCCCCAGTCCGCTGCTCGCTGTCGTTTCCGTGGTGAAGCTGAGCTCTGGAGGAACGTGGTCTTGCGGAAGAGGCTGGACCCAGAAATGGTCGTGTCGTGTCGCATCATCGAAGCCGCTGGCTGGTAGGATCGGGCAAGGGACACAGTGTCAAGCTCATCGTCAGAGTCGAAGATGTGTGTGGAGAAGGTGGCCTTGGTACGACGGGACATGAGTGGCCAGAGCAAGCACGCGCATCGCGGTAAATAGGCACGATCATGTGCTCAATGGATCGCGATCACGGGTGCTTGATCTCTGGACTGAATTCACGCGCGATGGAAGATGAGCCTGCAGATCACCAACATGTTTGAGATTCGGGCTCCAGCGCAGAGGTCTTTCCTGTGGGCAATTACAGAATCTACGCGCCAGGGTTGAAAGAAAAATCTATTTTTGAAACTAAAAAAAACTACCCTAGGAGTTATTTTCTTTATTCACTTTGAAACCGTGTTGTTCCTACACCGGAGCAAAGGACCGGCAGGCCTCACCGTTGCTCTTTGGCGCTGAGGAAGTGCGCCGGTCTCAGCAGACGGGGTACCGGGAGGATTGGGGGCAGAGGATGAGGCAGCAGTTCGGGCACTCGATGGCGCGGCTAGCGAGGGATCGACGGGGGGCTCCTGTCGTCGTGGGGGACGCCCACCCGTAGACATCCTTGCCGTCGTTCGCTGGCGTCTACCGGTCGCAGCAGGCGGGGCACCGGTCGCAGCGGGCAGGGCGCTGGGAATTCGGGGGGCAGAGAGCAGGACTGGTGCGGCGCTTCGGGCACTCGATGCCGCGGCTAGGGAGGGAGCGACGGAGGGCTCCTGTCGTCGTGGGGGACGCCCGCCCGTAGACATCCTCGCCGTTGTTCGCTGGCGTCTACCGGTCGCAACAGGCGGGGTACCGGTCGCAGCGGGCAGGGCGCTGGGAATGTGGGGGGCAGACGGCAGGACTGGTGCGGCGCTTCGGGCGCTCAGTCTCGCAGCTGGAGACGGATCGGCAGGGGGCTCCTGCCGTCGTGGGGAACGCCCACCCGCGGACATCCTCGCCGTCGCTCTCTGGAACCCACTGGCCACAGCAGGCGTGGCGCTGGGAAGGTTGGGGGTGGAGGGCGGGAACGGCGCGGCGATTTGGGTGCTCGATCTGGCGGCTGGGGACGGATAGATGGCGGGGCTCACGGAAGCGCTGGGGGCGCCCTGCGGAGAGCAACCCGCGGCAGGGAGGGTGGGCACCACGGCCTGGGCGACGATCTCGACTGAAAACTGGGTCAGAAGAGAATTGGGGCTGGCGCACCTGCTCACCGATC